TCTGGGAAGCACTTTATCTGCCCTTCATTCTAAATGATAGCTTTGCTGAATAGAGTAATCTTGGATGTAGGTCCTTGCCTTTCATAATGTAGGCACCTGGGTGTAGGTATTTTAAATACCCCTTTCCAGCCCCTTCTTGCCTATCAGATTTCTTCTGATAAATCAGCTAATAGTCTTATGGGAACTCCTTTGTAGGTAACTGTCTCCTTTTCTCTTGTTGCTTTTAAGATTCTCTCCTTATCTTTAATCATGGGTGATTTAATTGTGATGTGTCTTAGTGTGTTCCTCCTTGGGTCCAACTTCTTCGGGACTCTCTGAGTTTCCTGGACTTGCATGTTTATTTCCTTCTCCAGATTGGGGAAGTTTTCCTTCATTATTTTTTCAAATAAGTTTTTAATTTCTTGCTCTTCCTTTTCTCCTTCTGGTGCCCCTGTGATTCAGATGTTGGAATGTTTAAAGTTGTCCCAGAGGTTCCTAAGCCTCTCCTCATTTTTCTGAATTCTTATTTCTTCATTCTGTTTTGGTTAAATGTTTATTTCTTCCTTCTGCTCCCAATTGTTGATTTGAGTCCCAGTTTCCTTCCCTTCACTGTTGGTTCCCTGTATATTTTTCTTGGTTTCTCTTTGTATAGCCTTTACTTCTTCCTTTATTTTGTGGCCATACTCAGTCATTCCTGTGAGCATCCTGATTACCAGTATTTTGAACTGTGCATCTCATAGGTTGGCTCTCTCCTCATCACTTAGTTCTGTTTCTGGAGTTTTGATCTGTTCTTTCATTTGTGCCATATTTCTTTGCCTTGGCACTCCTGATACATGTAAGGAGTGGAGCCTTAGGTATTTGCAGGGGCGGGGCAACCCACTTCCCTGCATTGTGGCTCTTTGTGTGGGGGAGGGGTCAGAGAGGGAACAATGCTGCTTGCTTGGCTCTCGCCCCACTTTCAGTCACTTCCCTTGCTACCCACAAGTGAATTGAGCCCTTTGAGGTGCTCCCCTGGTGCTAATTCCTCGGTGGATGGGCTTGTGTCCATTCTAGGACCCCTGTAGGCCCCTCTGAAGGGCTCTCCTGTGAGACTGGCAGTTTTCTCCCACCCAGCCCTCACGGGTTTTTACATTCAGAGCTTTTGAAGCTTTCTTTACCAGCACTGGAACCCTGGGTTGCGTGATCTGTCTCACTCCCAAGTAGTTTCTCCTAGTTTATATGTGGGACCACCCTGTCCACCAGCCGCCACCTTGCTGGGCATCCTCTCCGCCCCAGCTGCCCATCTCTGCCCCTCCTACCAGTCTGGATGAATATTTCTTCTTTAACTCCTTGGTTGTCGGACTTCCGTACAGTTTGTTTTTCTGGCAGTTCTGGTTGATTTTTGTTTTTGAATTTGTTGTTATCCTTCTTTTGGCTGTGTGAGGAAGTGAAGCGTATCTACCTACTCCTCCATCTTGGCCAGAAGCTTCCCTCTCTAATTGGTGTTTGTGATACTATGCTGTGTCTTGATTTACCCTCTTAACTTTCTTTTGAACTCTTCAGAGATCTCTAAATGCCTTTTAGGTAATTTATTTTTCTCATGCATTAGAACATTTTACAGTGTATACTCCTTTTCTTTCATTGCAGCATCCTTATTTAACTATTTTTTTCCTTCTGTTGTCTTAAAAGCCAGAATAAATCTCCTTGGGTCTCTTTCTCACCCTTGACATTTATTTCCTTTGAAAATGACTGTAAAAAATTCAGTTCTAGGAAAGTGATTTTAACAGTGTTTCAGGCCAGCCGGAAGGAAATGCAAACCATCTGGAACAAAACAAAAAATCAAAAAATGATAAGACATCTGACTAATTAAAAAGTTTTGAAGAAAATTCTGTCTTTAATTTGGAAAGGGAAAAAAGTTAATGGGGTTCAGACCAGTTCTTACAAATAGTAGGATTCTGTTCTTGGGCAAAGATTAGTTATTCCTTATCAATCTGCCTTCAAAAAGAGTTACAGAGATTCTACACCCCGACCTGAAGATTGAAGGTGCAGAAGATGAGTCACTGTATTGGCTACATATTTGCTTCCTCAAGGACCCTGTCTTCCTGCTGTAGCTTGAGAATGAGAAGCTGAGGTGAAGGCCTAAACTATATTTGTAGACTGAAATGAAGCTATCTAATGGACCTATGTAAATGTGAATAGTATTCTAAAATGCTTTATTATCACAGTAATGATCAGGGGGAAAATTTTTTCTTTTGAGCGTAGATTCTTTTTCCTTGCTGAATGAGTGTGTCCTATTAGATTAGATATTTATGGAACCACCACAGATGCATCTGACAGAGTTAGTTTTGTGCCTATCAGTAAGTTGCTAGAACCTTTTTTAACCTGGGCCATTTCCAATATTTTCATTAACCTCCCATTAAGCATTCTCCTTTTTCTCTTGTTCCCTTCCAAAGTATTCTCCACATAATTGGTAACATGATCTTTTAAAAACAAATTGTCATGTTCATGTTACCTCTCTGTCTAATCCTCTTCAGTGGTTTTTCACAGCACTTAAGATAAAACAGTTGAACATGGCTTACAAGGACCTAGTAATGTAGCCTGTCTTGCCACTTTCATCTTGTAACCTTGCTCCATTTGGGAAAGTTAAATTAGTTTTATTGGCCTTCTTGAAATTTCTACCTTTTTTTTTAATTTCAAGGACCCCACACATGCCAGTTCTTTTTGGAATGTTCTTTCCCCTGCTTTCTACTAGACTAACTCCTCTTTTTGATTTTCAGATTATAATTTACTTTCTCAGAGAGGCATTTCCTAAGCTTTGTATCTAAAGATATAACACCCACACCACCCCCCATATCCCCACACACCCATACCACATTTTTCTTTACATTTATTAGTATATGTTTGTGTTTTTGTTTGTTTAACATCTGCCAATCCTGCCCTGCTGTAAAGTTCTTTGAAGCCAAGGATCACGTCTGTTTGTTTCACTGTTGTATACCCAACTTCTAGAACAGTGCCTGGAAGGTTGTGGGCACTATTGAATGAATGATTGATACTTGGGATTTGAGATATAATATATTAGTGTGGCTTATCATTTCCTAATAGTTAACCTTTTTTACAAATTTTCTTTTTTTTTAAGATTCTATTTACATATTTATTTCTTTTTTAATTTTTTTAATTCAATTACATTTATCCCCATTTTCCCCCCATTGCTCTTCCCCACAGCACCCACCCCCAGGTTTTATTTATCTATTTTTAGAGAGGGGAGAAGGAAGGGAGAAAGAGGGAGAGAAACACCAATGTGCAAAAGACATCATCGGTTGCCTCTCTCATACCCCGCAACGGGGGGCCTGACCCGCAACCCAGGCACGTGCCCTGACTGGGAATTGAACCAGCAACCTTTTGGTTGGCAGGCTGGTGCTCAGTCTACTGAGCCACACCAGTCAGGGCTACAATTTCTCGTATTTAATAAAATTTTGTTTTTATAATAATGTTTTAAATGCCTTTAATTAATTGAATGACAGTTTTAAGTAGCTTCTAAAATGAGCCTCTTTTTTTTTTTTTTTTTTTTTGGTGGCGTTAAGACCAAATTTGATAGCTATATCCCTTTCTAAGTCATCTAAATTAAGTTTTTTCTTTAACAAGTGAGAAGGTTTTTTTAATCTTTTAAATTACAAAAGTAATTTGCTTTTTACAGGAAATGCAAATGATACAAAGGTACAAGCTCTTCCTTTATTGTTTCCCTAATCTTGTTTCCTAAAGATAATTACTGTTATCTATTTGGTGTAGGGGTGTATCAGATAAAAAGTAGGAAGATGTTGATAGATACGTAGATTCAGGACATGACATACTGCTATATTTACCATCCCTCTGCTTAGATTTTCTTATATTTTGTATTTCTGTAGAATAGGTTTCTAATACATAAGTAGTGGACTGAAGAGTATACATATTTTGAATTTTGATAGATACTTACAAACTGCCTCCCCAAAGGGTTGTAGAAATTAACTTTTAAATAACAAATTTGTGGCTTTTATGGTTAGAAAAGTTATGCAACGTTTATTATAAATAACTTGACATACAGAAAAGCACACCAAAAAATAACTTACCCCACCCTGACCTGAGTGGCTCAGTTGGTTCGGCATCAGCACGCAAAGCGAGGGCTCGCCGGCTGATTTCCATTCAGGACATGGGCCTGGGTTGCGGGTTCAGTTCGCCGTCTGGGCGTGTACAGGAAGCAACTGATAATGTTTCTCTCTCACATGGATGTTTCTCTCCCTGTCTTTCTCGCTCCCTTCCTCTCTCTCTAAAAATGAATGAGATCTTTAAAAAAACAAAATCCTTAATTCATCATGAGGTGGTATCCTTCTGGTATTTTTTTCTGCGTACATAAAAAAATTGTTTTTCCAAGATTGGAATCGTACTATACACGCTGCTTTGCAATTTGCTATTTTTAAGTAACAATATATTATTTTCTCATGTAATTAAAATTTTTTATATTCTTTTACTATCTAATTATACGATAGTTTAACACATTCTACATTTTGAACATCTAGATTGTTTTTCATACTTGCTCTTACAAATAGCACTGGTGTGCATATCTTCGTATATATATACCTCTCAGTCCTTTTTCGGTACATGTTTTTAGAAGCGAATTTGCTGGGTCAGAGTCTGAAAATTTAAGACTTTTCATACATTTTGCCAAATTGCTTTCCGGAAAACTCCAGGTTACATCTTACTAGCAATCTCAAAGTGCCCATTTTCCTACACTCTGATAGATTTTAATAAAACCAAACAACAAATTAAGAAATTAAGTTTTAAGAGTAATAAAATAAGAAATGGGAGATATGGGTAGTGTGTAGAATAGACGATAATTGTTGAGGCACAGTGTTAAGTACTACATAAGCTGTATTCTTACTCCTTATATTAAACAGTTAATAATGTGTCCTTTATTCTTTTCGTTATTTAGTTTTCTTTGATTCCTTGTGTATGTCGCTATTCTTTGGTTTTCCATTTTACATTCTTTTTATCTATACTTTTTCACCTAGAGGCCAAATGAGAGGGTTGACCCTGTTTCCGAAAAACCAAGAGAAGATCCATTACTAAAAGAGGAAACCCTGGTGAGTTTCCTTACTGAATGCTCTCTAATCAAATATGTCATAAGAAGGTGAAAGCAGAATGTTGATGTGAACACATTTAACACATACTTCTTTATTTCAGAAGTTATACTGAAATAAATCTTAGAACTGGTTTAAGAGGAAGATATTTTCAGTAATCATTTTCCTTTTGAAAACTATAACCACCTTTTAATGGATTATGTGAGACCTAACCAGTGTGGCTCAGTTGGTTGGGCGTCATCCCGCAAAACGGAAGGTTGTCCGTTCGTTCCCAGATCAGAGCATGGGCCTGGGTTTAGGGCTTGGTCCCCAGTTGGGGCATGTACAAGAGGCAGCCAGTTCATGTTTCTCTGTCACATCGATGTTTCCCTCGTTTAAAAAATTTTTTAAAAATAAATTATGTGAATTTTCAAGGTGCCTTATCAATAATTTGGCAAACAGAAACCGTTGATTCTATTTTTAATATTTGGAGTTGGGCTTATTATTTTCCTCCTGTCTCCTTCCCTTTTGCTAGTTGTGGATAGCAGTTATCAGAGAAACATGATTGAAGATAAAGTTTACACGGATAGAATGTTAAATGTACTTTGTACATAGTTTCTTCAAAATTTCTCTGCTGATAAAGTTTTATGACCTTTTCCTGTAGGTTCAGCCAATATTATCTTCTGTCCCTACACCAGAAGTGTCTGCTGGTGTTAAGTTCCAGGTTGGCGATCTTGTTTGGTCTAAGGTGGGAACCTATCCTTGGTGGCCTTGTATGGTTTCCAGCGATCCCCAGCTCGAGGTTCATACCAAAATTAACACAAGAGGTAAGAAAAGATATAAATAAACATTAGGTAAAAGGTTGGAAAGAAAAAAGTGAATCTGAAATGTTGTATATAAATACAAGAATATACACGACGAATGAGGGGGGACCCAAAAATGGAATTTATTAATAAAAAATTGTGGATTTATTCTTACATGTTTAAACTTCAGTCACCTTCAAAGTATTCTCCATTGGATGCAATACACCTATCAAGATGTTTTTCCACTGCTCAAAACAGTTTTTGCTCTTGTAGATTTTGATGCCTTTTAGTGCTTTTAATGTTTTTTGTTTCACCTCTTCTACATCAGCAAAACGTTTCCCTTTGAGAACTTTTTTCTTTGTGGAAACAAAAGAAAATCACTCTGGGGCAAGATTGGATGAATAGGGAGGGTCGTACACAGGGGGCATGCTGTTTTGGGTCAAAAACTGCTGAATACTCAGCAAGGTATGGGCCAGTGCACTTGTAAATCACCCATCATGAAATGGGCAAATGTGTTGAAAGAGTCTTCAAAGAAAAAAAATTCCCTGAAGCCGAATGCAGCCTCTCACAGCGACGCCAGCTGGTACACCGATACAGATGGGTTCCTAGAACATTCACCTAGTGGAAGAAGCCTGTACTACAAGTGGCCTGCCCTCCAGAAGATAATTCTGGGGTTTTTTTGGGTCCCCCCTCATATAGTCTGACATCAAAATTTGCATATTTATATCAGTTTTAATAACCAGTGAAATAATTTGAACACCTTAACTGGTAGGCAGCCTCTACAACTGATAGAGTCCTTGTTTTTCCTTAAACACCCTGTATTAGTTTTGTAATTTCTTTCACACTTCTTTTTGAAAAGGACCTTAATCTGACATCTTATATGAGTTCCAAAAGAAAGCAGATAGATAAGTAATGAGATGTCTTATACGTACTTAACAGGCATTCAGGCCAAGTTTTTTTGAACATTAATAATTTCTTCACTGACTCCTATGAGTAATTTTTAGCAGACAAGTAAGTGCTTTTCCTATTGATAAATTTTGCAGGATTTTTTTTCTTCCTCTACCCCTTTTCCTGGATTTGACCAAAACATGTAGATTAGATTCCTGAGATTCTGGCATTTGGAATGGACTTGCTTAGTAGCCAGAGGAAAGTTTAAATTTGGAATTTATTTCCGGATATTTGCTTTGAAAACTCATTCTTGTTACATATTTGAGTTCCGTATTGTCTGTGACAACTTTGCACCTATTTTTTTTTTCTCTCACTCCAAACTTTGTATCTTGGTCCTTGTTCACTGTTCTGAGAAGAAAAAGTGTCTGCGTAAATCTGGTGAGTCAGATTCGTGACAGGGTCAGCCGTATCTGTAACTCTTGTGCTGCGGAGCCAGGATTCTGCCCTGGTACCGAAGGCGATCGTCTCATCATCATAACCTTCTGATTAAAGGTTGGGTCCCTGGCACGGTGAGGTATGCCTGTAGTCCCAGCTGCTCAAGGGGCTGAGGCAGGAGGATCGCTTGAACCCAGAAATTCGGGGCTGCTGTGCACTATGCAGATCTGGTGTCTGCAGCAGTAGTATGGCGACCTCCCAGGAACGGGGTATTACCAGGTTGCCTATGGAGGGGCAAACCGGCCCAGGTTGGAAACAGAGCAGGTCCAAACTCCTGTGCTGATCAGTAGTAGGATCACACTTGCCAACAGCCACTGCACTCCAGCCTGGGCAACATGGCAAGGCCTCCATCTCTTAAAAAAAAAAATTGGGGTAACGAGAAGCATCAATGAGGCAGAAGTAAAAAAAAAAAACAAAAACCCACAAATGTTGAGTATTACTTCTCTGCAAGGCACTGTTTTAAACACTTCTCATGTATTTTATTTTTTAAAAATATTTATTTATTTTTAGAGAGAGGGGAGAGGAGGGAGAAAGAGAGGGAGAGAAACATCAGTTGCCTCTTGCAGTCCCCCATCCAGGGACCCAGCCCGCAACCCAGGCATGTGCCCTGACCGGAAACCGAACCAGCAACCTTTCGGTCCGTAGGCCAGCGCTCAGTCCCCTGAGCCACACCAGCCAGAGCTGCTCTTATATGTTTTCTTACGCAGTCCTCTTAGCAGCAACATTATAAAATAGGTACTATTGTTATTCTTATGTTTCAGATAGGTAGATTGAGCCTCAAATCTTACTGTATAACCTCCACTCTTAAACACTGCTACATATAAAAGGAAAAGAAATTGAGTTTACCTAGTCATAATTTACAGAGATTTGGGGGAGTAGTCCTGTTTCCTTCATTTATATAATAAGGGTATTGGACTAGTAATCTCTGAAGGTTTAACAGTCTATGACTCTGTTAATAGAAAAAAGAGACAAGAGTTTTCCAAGCAAGTGAAGCCTTCTTAAAAAAAACAATTCTATAGCTGTGCCTCCAGAGTGTGCTAAGATATTATATCATGTGAGATTTGTGACTCTTTGGTTCTCTTCCCTTAGAAAAGCATCCTTTTGAGATTATATAAACAGCTTCACATTTAATTACTTCATTAAAAGCTGCTAATTTCACCTTTTTTAAAATGGGACACCTATGAAAGCACAGTTTATGTCTCATCTGTATTTCAAAGGAAATCTTTACATTTATTTTTATAAATTAATCTAATCTGATCTGTTACCCCTCGCAAGTCTCTAAGTGCAGGAAAAACTGATTTTTGTTTGTATTATTGAGGCAACCATAAATCTGAGAATTTAGATCTAAAAAAAATCTAGTCTGATTATATTTCAGATTTTCTCTTTTTCTGCTGTAGTTTTTAAAATAATAGCTTTCTTGAGATATGATTTACATACCATAAACCACCTTTAAAGTATAAGCACTTTAAAAATAAAATAAAATAAAGTGCTTATTTTGGCACAGACTGACTTATTTTGGGAACCACACTCTCAGAGTAGCACTATGTTTTGATGAAAAGTAACTATTTTCTTAAAATTAATGAGAAGAATGATACTGCTTTACATTTTTATAAATCTCTTTAATGTCTGACTTAAGACACTAGATTTTCACACCTGCTTCTACATTAATTCTATTAGAACCTGTTATTTTGGTTGAAATATATAGTTAATCTGGCCTCACCCAGATGTGTAGATGTAAATGGGAAAAGTAGTTTAATAGCCTTTTCTGATAATTGTGGATATATTTCTTTGTTTTTAATACCAAAACTCAACAGGTGGTAGGTTAGTTGCAGTGTGGAATCTGAAATCATGTCAATAAACTTTTTCTACTTTGTTACCTTAAAATTCATTGGTTCTGTCTTGCACTTTGAATGGATCCTTTACCTTTCACGATTTTGAGACATCATATATACATTGGCCATTTTAAAAATATTAGTTTACCAAGTTATACGTAACTTCTGAATATTGATACATTTCTTCACAGATAATTCTAAAAATCGCATTAATTAATATCACCACTTTATCACAAAATTATGTAATTATTGGGAAGTTAGAAGACTAATATGGGTAGATACTAATTTTTCAAAATTCTGCTTTTTGAGAGATCAAATTTTATTGGCAATAAATGTTGTCAGTTGTTTGTCCTCAAGTGACAAACTTGCTTTTGTTCGTTTTTGAGGAAATATCTGCCAGAAGCTCAAGTTCAAATACCCATAGTTTTTCTTTCAAGTGAAAAGTGTGTTCCATGAAAAAGTGGACAGTTTATCTTGCAGCAACTCCATCATACAAGTACTATTCTTCCAGATAACTCATACTTCCTATGCAAAAATGCTTTATGCATGCTTCCCATTTTTTCACACATAATATTAAAAAGATAGGTACTTGGATAAGGAGCCTGTGGAACAACCTCAAGTGTACTGACAATCACATCATGGGGCTGCTGGAAGAAGAAAGAGAGCGAGAAAGTAAAACGTGTTTGAAAAAATGACAGAAAACGTCCCTGAGTTGTTGAAGGAAATAGATATGTAAGTCCAGGAAGCACAGAGTCCCAAACAAGATGAACTCAAAGAGGCCCACTCCAAGACACACAGTTAATTAAAATGCAAAAGGTAAAAGACACGCAGAAAATCTTAAAAGCATCAAGAGAAAAGTAGTTAGTTGCCTACAGGGGAGCTCCAGTAAGACTGTCAGCTGATTTCGCAAAAGAAACTTTGCAGGTGAGAAAGGAGTGGCAAGAAATATTCAAAGGAATAAAAAGCAAGGACCTACAAGATTATTCTACCCAGCAAAGCTATCATTTGGAATCAAAGGGCAGATAAAGAGCTTCCCAGACAAGAAAAAGCTAAAGGAGTCTGTCACTAGCAAACCTGTATTCCATGAAATGTTAAAGGGTCTTCGTCAAGAAGACCAAAAATATGAACAATAAAATGGCAATAAATACATATTTATCATCAGTTGAATCTAAAAAGCTAAATGAACAAGCAGAACAGAAACAGAATTGTAGATACAGAGAATGTTTTGTTGGCTGCCAGATGGGAGGAGGGTAGGGGGGATGGGTGAAAAAGATGAAGGGATTAATAACTATAAACTGGTTTTTATAGAATAGTTATGGGGATGGATGTAAAGTACAACATAGACAATATAGTAGCCAAAGAACACACATGTGTGACCCATGGGCGTGGACAGTGCTGTGGGAATTGCCTGAGGGAGTGGGGGATCTGGATGGAGGCGACCAAGGGGGGAAACTGGGGCAACCGTAATAACATAAACAATAACATATTTAAATTTTTAAAAAATTTAAAATAAAATTAAATAAGACAGGTACTTTAGAGTTGAGATTTAGTAAAATTAATCATTTTTACCGCTTTATGAAGTAGATGTCATAAAACTGGCTTTTTTTTTTTTAAACTACCATTTTATGGCTGCGAAGAGTATGACACTAGTTTGGTCACTTACTCCCTCTCTTTGTGCCAGGAGGGCCAACTCTTCCCTGCCATTGCTCTTGCAATAAAGGACAACTGTCAGCATAGTAAAAAAGACAAATAACACCTTAGTAGTGTGATGAGGAGTTTCACCTCACAGGGTCCCTGAAAGAGCCTGCGTGGCCACTCTTGCTTTAACCCTGCCTGTGTCCCACCCTTGCGTGCAGCTAGAAAAGCAATTTGATCAGCACTTGGCTTTTAAAAGCCCAAGGAAATGTGTTACATTTTTGGAGGAAAAGTTATTTATTTAACCCAGATTTGTTTGTAAAAAGCTTTGAGGCAAGTAAAAATAAATTGTTCAACCAAGGTGACAAATCTGATCATTGGCAGAATTTATTATTTTCTTTCTCTTAAAACTCACTGTACTAATTTTAATCATTTGGTAACTATTACAGTAACTATTAGTTGTTTAATTGGTAGATACTGGATTATATCTTGATACAATCCAAACCATGCAAATTTTAATAGGTATAATGCTAAGGAACCAGCTTAGGTTCTGTTTTTTGCAAAGTATAGGTGCATTGTTTGTGTTCTAAATGGTTAATAAGGATTTTTACTTTCAGGTGCCCGGGAATATCATGTCCAGTTTTTTAGCAACCAACCAGAAAGGGCATGGGTTCATGAAAAACGGGTACGAGAGTATAAAGGTCATAAACAGTATGAGGAATTACTGGCTGAGGCAACCAAACAAGCCAGCAATCATTCTGAGAAACAAAAGGTAACTGAAAATTTGTTAACATTATTGATTGAATATGGTTTTTAAAGAACTTCATAATTTAGTAGAACTTTCTATGCCTGAATTCAGACATTTGTTAGAATGACTATTTTAACTGTTCTGATTTTAATAATTTATTTTATCGATAAGTTTTGTAAGTCATGTAAACAGTCCTATAGTACTGTTAAAAACTTGAACTGTCTGCTCAATATAATGCTGGGTCCTATTTTCAACTGATTAATACATGTAAATCTAGCAGATGCCAGTTAAATGTAGATTTTGCCAGCAATTTTTATTCTTTTTCCTGTTTTAATAACTTTCTGTAATTTTCCTTTATTATTATTTAGCAAAATTTTTTATGAAAGTAAATTTTTAAAAATATTTCATGAGTACCTACTGTGACAGAGGCGTAAGCATATTATACATATATAATATGTATATCTTTATAATCTTTATAACAACTTAAATGAGGTAGATGCTATTATTCCTGTTTCTACAGATGAAGAAGTTGAGGCACAGAAAGCCTGAGTAATTGGTTCAACTCAGGTCACACAGGTGATGGAACCAAGAAATACCTTTGATGTGGTAGATATTTTAGAATTTTGACATGAACTGGTGATATTCTCTCTGGTTGAGATTTTTAAACTCAACTAATTTTAATGTGGGTCTCTTGTGATTCAGAAATTTGTCATGTTTTCAGACTTTAAAAGCTAAATTTGATTACAGAGGATTTTGATTAATTTTATCACACTTAACATTTTACAGATTTACATAGCAGTGTTTGACATATACTATGCCATCTCATACTTTCATTAACTAATTTCTAGCCACCTCAGTCTAAACCCTAGATAATTCCTTATTGCTTTGATCATTTCACATAGCTGCTCTACTTAAAGTTGTCTTATTTGTGTTGCCAATCCAGTCTTCTGATCAACCCTGAACATAACCTGTGGAAACCGTGATTCAGGTTCATTTCTTCTCTCATACATTTCTGCTTTGCTATTCTTGTCAAGTTAACATTTGTTCCTCTGGGCTCTCTCCTTTCTCTTCATTCTGCCCCTGTTTGCCTTATGGTACAAACCAGCAGTAAAACTTCAAGTGCTGGCTCTTCAGGTGCCAATTAGCTTTATTGTGATCTCCATAGCAGCTGGAGCTTTAGGGTGTCATTCTTTTCTTTTTCCTTTTAATCCTCACCCTAGGATATATTCATAGATTTTAGAGAGAGAGAGAGAGAGAGGAAGAGGAAGAAACAGGAACATTGATCAGTTGCTTCTGATAGGTGCCCCGACCAGGAATCGAACATGCATCCTTTCGGTATATGGGATGGTGCTCCAACCAGCTGAGCCGCCTGGCCAGGCTAGGGTATCATTTTTAATGTTAGTATTTTATTGGCTGCTGAAACAAATCACTTCTATAATCTTTCTCCTCTTTGTCATTACTGCTAACTTTTTATGAATATGGTGGTAGAAAGACAACTCCCTCTTTGGGGGACTTGTCCAGCAGAGTGGTCAACAAAGGAGGGTATATTAAAGAGAGTAAACCTACAAGTTACCTGATAGTAAAACCCATTTATCCAAGTTATGTAGTTAGAACATTTCATTGATTTGACTGAAGAACCTGAAGATACTTACGTATGCCTAGGACGATGACAGGCTTATGGGGGAAATACCTTTTGGGTTCAATGTATATGTTAGATTAAAATGATTCTAATAATGCCTACATCTCTTTTTAAAGATTCGGAAACCCCGACCACAGAGAGAACGCGCTCAATGGGATATTGGCATTGCCCATGCAGAGAAAGCATTGAAAATGACCAGAGAGGAAAGAATAGAACAGTATACTTTTATCTATATTGATAAACAGCCTGAGGAGGCTTTGTCACAAGCAAAAAAGAATGTTGCCTCCAAAGCTGAAGTTAAAAAAACCCGGAGACCAAGATCAGTGCTGAATACTCAGCCAGAACAGACCAATGCTGGTGAGGTGGCCTCCTCACTTTCAAGTACTGAGATTCGGAGACAGAGCCAGAGGCGGCACACGAGTGTGGAAGAGGAAGAACCACCTCCTGTTAAAATAGCCTGGAAAACAGCAGCAGCGAGGAAATCTTTACCAGCTTCTATTACAATGCACAAAGGGAGCTTGGATTTGCAGAAGTGTAACATGTCTCCAGTTGTGAAAATTGAACAAGTGTTTGCTCTTCAGAATGCTACAGGAGATGGGAAATTTATTGATCAGTTTGTTTATTCAACGAAGGTACCTCTTTTTTTTAATGATTTTTAGAAGGGAACGACATTGAATAAGTAGTTAACCTTAGCATTAAAAAAAAAAACAACACAACACAAGGTCATAATTTAAATACCTTTTTTTATCCACTACATTTGAAATGCACGGCCAGTTTACTCTTTTTAAGATGGGGCAAAAAAAGACATAAACAAAAAGGTTATGTTTTCCTCTCCCACCCCTTTTGTAATATCCCCATCTGTACTTGATTAATCTTGAGCTGTGCAGCCAAAATTGAGCCCTAATGCCCTAAAGTTGTGGAAGAAAACTGGGTGGTTTGCCTGTTTCTAGTTTGTGTAGTTAGTTAGTTTTTCTTACTTGAAAACTGTGATTTTTATTAAATCATTGTTGTCAGTTAGCTGAATGAACTGAAACCGGAAAAGCTGGCATTCGGGCTGCCTGTCACCGACCAGGCCCAATAAGCAGAGACAGGGACTGAATCCTTACGGGCGCACTATTCAGATGGCTGGCGATCTGAGGGGACGGTGGGTTTGCACCCTAACAGAACACCTTATATTTCCTTTCAAGCCAGCCTTTTTCATAAGGGGGAAACAGTGTAGGGAAGGGATTTGGAATCAGGGGAGAGGTTAATCAGATAAAAGCTGCAGTCCGGCAGTTTCCCTAGCATCCTTTCCTCCGCTGGCCGGTCATTTCCTTTATCTGTGTCCTGTGTCCTGGGTGATTTTCTTTATCTGTGTCCTGGGTGGTGGACTCTCTCTCCCTGGAACACAGTGGCTTGGATACCACTGTGATTGCTGACGGTCTCTACTGGAGCACAAAGGTCAACGGCTTGTGGTCTCCTGGAGTCGGCGGGGGCCCTACCTGCAGTTCCCAAAACAATGCTTTTTATGTGCATTAACTGCTAGGCTTATTAACTACAACCTGAAACTAAAATATTCTGTATCTTGAGTTCTCTATCAGGTCCTCTTATTAAGCTGTTTCTGCCTGTTGGTTCAACTGATTTCATTAAGGCTAAGCTACTTGGAAAAGCTGAAGTTATGGTTCCCACTGCTGATAGCTTTGAGTGGCAAATGAGTACTCTGCATCTTTTTTGAATGTAGATTGGCTCTGTTCTTTGATCAAGCTTTTATCTGCTTTTAGATGCACAAATCAAACTTTTCAACCCCTCCAAAGAGTGCTCTGTGTATGAAATTGGAGATACAACTGACCTTTTGTAAATGGAGGCTTAAAAAATACATATACATTTTTAAATCACTTCTTTATTTCATTGTGTTAAAAATACCTAAAGCTGTCTGAAATTGCTTACTGGGTACGCATTTCAGTCACTATGAATGGCATATTTCTGTATCTATGGATGTTCTTGTCTTTCAAGATGTATTGACATTTTTATCTGAGTATTAGGGTACGTAAGCAAATGAAAGTGACTAGACTTCTCTTACTGTAACATGAGTAAAAGGAGAGACTATTCAGGCCAGAAAATACTTTGTTTTTGACAGAAAACTATGCATACACATTTTTTTTTTTTTTTAGTGATATTTATCATCTGGACTTAGACAACTAGATTTTTTTCACATAATCTCATTGTACATTTTGGAATACATCCTGATGACTTAATAAAATTGTTCTGATATTGACTAAGATAATTAGCTGCAATCAAGGCCATATAAAATTAATCTTACTATCTTTATAAACCAGTGACACCTATCTTTTATTTGCTTTATTTTGAAGGGAATTGGTAACAAAACGGAAATAAGTGTCAGGGGACAAGACAGACTTATAATTTCTACACCAAATCAGAGAAATGAAAAGGCAACTCAGAATGTATCATCTCCTGAAGCAACACCTGGTTCTGCAGGTCGGTATCAATGAAGAGGGCATTGATCCATTTTTAAGGTCGTAGTTCTGCTGTGCTATAATGGGCTAGCTATGTTTCTAAGAAACCTTTAGTTATCAAAATCTAATTCTGTCTTTAAAATGAAACTCTTAAAGCAGTTATTTTAATAAAAAAGAATGGTTGAAAGGCTAGAGAGTTTATAGTAACATTTGTTTTTCCTACAGCAATTTAAATAATAGGAGGCTTTCACATTTAAAAGAATATAGTTATAAAATTTGCACATATCTGAGTAAATGCACTATTTAATTATCTCTCTTTGCATGATTATAAGTTTTACTTTTCCAGCACTAGTAACACATTCTTAGCATTTCTTCCTTTGTCCCCCATTGGAAACAGATTAGCAGAGGCCCACGTTCCTTTTATTTTTCTTAGATGTTGTATGTGTTAGTAGCTGAGGGCCTAAGCCTAACCCTCCTGTAACAATCTGTTCTTTGATGAGCAGACACCATAAATTGAAAATCAGGCTACATTATTTTTGCTCATAGGGGAAATGCCTATATTCAGTAAGATTGTGCTTTTGTTGGAATAGTCAAAGTAATTTTTATTAAGAGACTGACTTACTGAGGATCTTATAATTTAACTCAGTGTCAGGTGGCTTTGCCTTATATAACAGTATTACTTGCTTCATACAGCCACCAAGAAAAGATGTAGATGTCAAACTAGGTTGGCCATTTGGAATCTTAGTTTAGGAGAAGGAAGTTTGTTTTACTTTGTTCTTTAAAAACTTTTTTGGAATCTAAGAAGTGACCAAATAGTTTTCTAGAAGGGTTCAAGTCTTAAGACCTGTGGTAGTATCTCAGCTCATTAGTAACTCAGACAAACCTGTGACTTAGTAACACTAAGGAATAAATATTTCCTGTAAGGGAAGTTTTGAGTAAGACCCTTATTAGTATAAAGCCTAAATAAAAACAATCATTGTTCAGGAAAGAACTTGGCTAGCTGTTTTTAAAACAAAAAACTAGGATGAGGGTTGTAGGACAGGGAGAGGCAGTGGCAGAGGAGATGGGCGTATATTGGACCGAGCATATTAAACAACACGCCTTTATCCAAAACTGATTTGGGAAAGAAAGCCACGTTAAAGTGAGGAGGGAGTAACAAAGTCCAGAACCAGATTTACAGCTTGTATCTAGCGGTGAAACGGTACCAGAATGTTACCAGACCTCGGGTTCAGCAGCCTTGGTACTAGAATTCGGCAAAGAATTCAGAGTCAAGGAACTCAAAATATAAGAGAAAGTTTATTTAGAAATCAAAGAGATAGAAAAGGTGAGCCAGCTGGGCTGCATGGACCCAGGAAATGAGTTAGAGAGGCAAAAGAAGAGCCTTTGGACCTTAGGCAAAAGAGAGATGGAGAGAAAGAATGCTCCTGGGAGAAGGCAGGAGGGAAAGGCGTGGGCCTGTTCCAGAGAGAGAGACAGCAAGCTCCGGGGAGTGCGAGCGAGGGAGCCCGAGTCTGTGCTGGGTGCGGGCTGGGGCGTGCCTGAGTGAGCACACGCCCCTTTGCGGGGAAAGAGGATGGGGAAAGGCCAGGGCTGCTCACAGGGAGAAAGAGCCTGAGCTGGGTCCTCTGTCCTGAGGGTTTTTACCTGCTCTGAAGGCGGGCATCTTAGGGGAGGCCCCAGAGAAGGATCTCAACAGAATATTCTTCAGCTTTCCAGGTGTGTCCTTTCAGGTTCATGGTCTCCACCGACCATGGTCTGTGCCAGGACAGGCGGTCAACAGTCTGCGTCTAGTCCTGAAGTCAGCCATGGTGTCACTCTGGTTTTGCTGCTTTTCTGGGCCTGGAGCTGAAACACAACGGAGGCCATATCTCTAGTTTGACCAAAACTCTGACTCTGTGGTCAGCAGACCCAGAGGTTTGCCCCCAAGATCATTTGATGTGGGTCAGAACCTCACTTTCCCGAGAGCTTAATGCTTAAAGGAGTGGTCGTGCAAGGGCTTGTATGGGAATCTTATGAGGCTATTATTCTCCAGCCCCCTTGTAACTTCTCTTAGAAGTCTGCCTCATGACTTGCGACGTGCCAGTGGAGGAAAGGTCAGTGGAGGATCTGAACCGCAGGAGCAGCGATATGAAAGGTCAGGGGTTCTGAACCACATGACCAGCGATATGTGAGAGGAGGGAAGGTCACTGTAGGGGTGCGGCCCCACCTGCAGTACTTCCCCCCCAGTTTTGCTTGTTGCTAGGCACACAGGGCTTTCCAGACCTGACCTAGCATCCTTGCTCTTCTCATGCCTAACTGCCTGCTGCATATTATTTGAAAATACTGTATTAAAAAACTTCGATTTTATATTAATTGAAAATGTTTGTTTCTTTGAATATTAAAGAACCTTTTTTGAAGAGGAAAAAAATACAGTCTTCTGGCCTCAGCTCTCCATAATCAGTTTTGTTGTCCTTCTTTACACTACGCTGTTGGTAATTTATCTGAACTTAAATGTGATACTTAGACTAGGAGGGTCTTTATTTAAACATCCATATTTTCCTAACTAGAGAGAAAGCAAATTCCCCATATAATATTAGACTGATATTCAATATTATACTTTTATTTTTAATGAAGCTGTTTTGTGGTTTTTTTTTTCCTTCTCAGCTACTGAACATTTTATTTTCATGTAGTCTTTTCATTGTCAGATTTAAGTTCTGGTATGGACTTTTACTCTTTACTTTTTTTTAAGTGAAAGGTAAAGTGGAATTTCTTTATATCTGGAAAAAGCCCTGTTCCTTCCTTAGGCAAGCACATATAATTAATTTAAGGTTGTAAATTAATGTTGGGACCATCATATAGGGATTTGTTCTAAAGCTTTGACCTTGGTTTAAATTTAGTTCCCAGCTGTAGTTGGTAATCATGTTTTATCGTTTTAAATGATCATTTTGCTTCTTGTGAAAATAACTTCAGTACAGGCATACCTCATTTTATTGCACTTCACTTTATTGAGCTTCACATATGTTGTGTTTTTTTCAAATTGAAGGCAAGACCCTCCACCAGCAAAAAGATTACAACTCACTTTATTGCGGTGCTCTGGAACTGAACCCGCAATATCTCCAAGGTATGCCTGTAGTTGAAAGTCAGAAAAGAGGTTTGATCTTTCTTCAGAAATTAGTTACATCATCATCTCAGCTGGTAGGGTTAACTACGTAGGGAGAATTCTTGAACCTTTTCCTAATAAATTTAGGGGATACATAGAGTGTGTGGCACTACTGCATTTCTGGGGTTTGCAGAATTATATTTGCAATTATACTAGATTTTTAAGTAATCTTCCAAATCCAAAGATACTTACCTCCTCTCTCTTAGAATGTAAACATAATACTTTTTGGTGGTTTTAAATGTGGTAGAATTTCTGTGTTCTGTGCATAGCTTTTAGAATTTTAAGAAGTCATGTTGCCTTCTCTATAAGACAGTATATACATCAGATACCTGTACTTGATGGAACAATTATGTTTTCATTCTTAAAACAAGTAAACATTTTTTGTTTATTTTAAGCAGTCCTGTTTTCATTTTCTTCTTCCTTGGTAGGTACTTGAATATTGATGACTATACTAAAGTATGAGTTTCTGGAATACTCAGGTGTCTGTGAGGGTAGAATATCTGTTGTTTTGGTAAACATTCTCATCACTGTGAGAAGAGCCTGAGGAAAGGAAGGAGCTAGCACCTTCATTTGTGATTTCCCTGCTAGAAACAATAATATATTATCAAACTACCTACTCCTTCCTCAAAATAAAAGTAGTGGAATCCTTCTTTGTTTTGATCTTGAACTAAGGTGAGGGAATCCATTTACACATAGACAGGCACAATGACATATACAAATAATATACAGGTGATCAGAAGGCTTTACTAAAGTAGCTTCTGCCTGATTTTAGAGGAGATCTTAGCAGCTTTCTTCTATGGTAAGTGAAAGATGATGATTATCTAGGAAGGACCATTTCGGTGGTCCAGGCACTGAAAAGATGGAGTACAGCTACACTGAAGGTACCATTCCTTCTCAGGGTCACAGAGTGAAATCATTCCTGCCTTAGTGTTCTTTCAAGTTGTGGTCTTCAACCTAAGTTTTATCCTTTCCAAATGTGAGTTTTCTTCTGTTAACTTTCAAAGAATTTTCCCGTTTAAAAATCTTAATAGTTTCTTGTTTTACCATTTAATATGAAAGTACTTGATAATTTGTTTAAGCTAGTTTTCCATGACTAATTTTTTTTAATTGACTTTAAGAGGAGGGGGGGATTTGTTCCACTTATTTGTGCATTCACTGGTTGATTCTTATATGTGCCTTAACTGGGGATTGAACTTGCGACTTGGCATATTGGCATGATGCTCTACCAACTGAGCTACCCGTTCAGGGCATGACTAATTATTTCTAAGTTTTAAAAAGTCCCTCGATAGTCATATTAATGATTTGGTTTGGGTCAGCATTTTTGTGCATTTCCTGCTTTTTCTTCTTTTGGTGTTAATAATAAAACAAGAGCAAAGCTTTTGTAAGTGCACCAAGCACGGTTAAGCATTTTACATACAGAATTAACATATTTTGCCATGTACAGTGTATATTATTTTGCACAAGTTTTTGAGGGGAAAATAAGGATGCACATTATACATGGGTAGTACCTGGAATACCTTGTATTTGTTCTTGTGTTTTATAATTATTTGTTACATAAAATTTCTTGAATCATAATATGTTCAAAAGTAAATGCTAAAATTCCTTTATAATACAAAAAATAAGTATCTAAATATAAATAAATAAATACGGAAGATTTTTTTTTCTCCCTGAAAGTTTGGGACAAAACATGGTTGAGCATTAAAAACAGTAAAATACAGCAATTTCATTCATTTGTTAAAATGCAAAATAATATAGTACTGATTGAATTTTGAACAAATAATTCCTAATGTCATCTGAGAAAAGTCATTTTTATCTGTCCTCTCAATACCTTCATTCCTTCAATTATAGTTACATAAATCTGTTTATCTGCTTTCAAGAAGACTAAACTATGTCTCTGCAACCTTATAATGTTAAAAAGTCCAGTCCCTCTTCATTTGTATAATTTAGGTTCTTTTATTAATCCCAGTCTCAGCCTATCAGCCTTTACTATTTGATCTTGTAAAAATTTGTATGTGCTCCCAAGTATTTAATAGCTTTTTTGGTCATTTATAATTAAAAGACAAAAAATAATGGATCAGAAAAACAGGGAATTGGGTCAGATCTTAATTACATAAATGTCAAGCCCTCCTTAAATGAGTTTTTACTTATTTGTTTGTTTAAATCATCTCTTAGGCTCAATAGAAAAGAAGCAGCAGAGAAGATCAATTAGGACTCGTTCTGAATCAGAGAAATCCACTGAAGTTGTGCCAAAGAAGAAGATCAAAAAGGAGCAGGTTGGCTTCCTACATGTAGAGAGTTAAAACATTGTATTTGTAAATGTTGTGACTTATATTGGTACCTTAAAAGAAAGGAAAACTTTCCCCACATGGGATTTCTTTTCTACATTGTCCTGTGCTTCCATCCTGGTGAATTCACTGCCCTAAACTAGTCCAACCATTCCTGTGATTCTGCTTCAAGCATTTTCACAGAAAACAGTCAGGCTTCAGGATGTGGGAAGCCAGTGGTGCAAGGCTCTTAAAGAATTCCTCACAGTTATTTTGAAATTTCTGTTACAAGCAAAATGATTTCATGTTTTCATGATTTTTATTTGGACCCGTCAGTGAGTTCCCTTTTTAAAAATCTTTTTGATTTTTGATTTAAGCTGCTGGTATGTGTTGTTTTTTTTTTAAACAAATTGAAATGAATTTTATTACAAAAATTATATTTAAGAAACATGATCAGAGATGATCTGGGGTTTCTGTTGGTATCACAGATTTTTTGGAATGTTATTTTCCCAGTGGATTATCAGGTAAACTCTTTTCAAATGGACAGAAAAATAAGGAGGGACAGTTTGAAGGGTTTTAATCCAGTGTAATCAATGTAGTGATAATCATATTAAGTTACCATTTAGAAACTATACTCCCTTTTATTAAACTTACAGTCAGAATTTATTTTTATTTTTTAAACTGAGAGAATACCCATTTTAACAGCCCAGACAGATACTATTAAACAAAAAGACTCCTGAATGTTATTAGTTCCAATAAGCTTTATAGTTTTAAAACCACTTAATACGGAGCAGTGTGAACTTTTCTATTTATTTCCTTCAAGTTTTAAACTTCCAAACTTAAAAGGTGACTTTGTGGGTGCTCTGTGGTATGTAAAACATGTAAAACAATTTTCCCAGAAATACTTAACTAAAATTTCAATAATATACTAATTTGTCACTCATTTATCATAATTAAGTTTAATACTTAGGAAATTATGTTCCAAAAAATCTTTCTGAGCTCTTGCAAACTATAGTATTCATTACCAAAATGAAATTGTTATTTTGCCAGCTGGTTCCCAAATTCAGTCTGTGACCATTTTAAAATTAGTAAGCAGAACGAGTATAAAATGGGACTAATTGTTAATGCCACTGTGTTATAGTTAGTAGTAGAACAATATCAGTGATTGTTTAGAAGATTTATATTTGTATTACTAATTGTATCTTATAAAAGTGCTTCTGTTGTATGTTTTTTTACCTGTTGTAAAAAAAAATAAAAATTTTTTTAAAAGTTTAGAACCATCCTTAAATATTTACAAAATGTGTTTCAACATGCATATTTCACCACATCTTAAAAAAACAAAATTCAATTCACAGCTTAAACAGGAACTCCTCCAAACAGCATCCTTTCTTTAATTCCAATGGTTCAGTCCTCAAATTACCACGTGTTTTACATATACATTGGCAGAATAACTTCTGATCTCGCTCTCCTAATGTAGGATCAAGACACTGTTCATAAGACACTCAAGAAAGTGCTTTTGCAATATCACAAACTTATTAAGTTTGTACTAGCAGCAAAAGTATTGAGCTTCCAGCTGTATGGAGCCCTGTGGCACTCTCTACAGAGAGGGTCCTGATTCCCAGCAACTTAGCTGTGAGTGCAGGCGCGGAAGGGTCTTAAAGTGGCGTGAGTTACATTAACCTGAGTATCATAGTAAGTAAAAATTTATCCTAACGTCTTTGGGGCGGGAGGGGTTTATAGCAGCATTGGGCTGGTTGCAGAAACAACCCCTCTCCTGCCTCCCAGACTCTGAGGAAAGTGTTCTTCGTCTCCCAAGGGAATGGTGGGAGAACTCTTCGCTAGAGAGCATGTGGCTGTGTGTTGTCACTTGTATTCAGCACAGGCAGCTAGGATTTAAACCCTCCCTGACCTTGAGAGAGAGAACTTTACCCAGCAGATGGGACTGAGTTCAGATTTCAGATACATTAATCACTCATCATTACTTAGATTGATGGAAACATTATTTTTTCCTTAATTAAAAGTGAAAAAAATTCCTTGTTAATGCTGTATTTTTCTGTCCAAACAGGTTGAAGCAGTTCCTCAGGCGACAGTGAAGACTGGATTACAGAAAGGTGAGTTATTATAATGTTGCTTTGCATTTCCTTGATTAAAACCAATTTTAAAGAATTATTTGTACTTCATGTTTTTTTGTTTGTCTCTGTAAATCATTGTTGTTGCTCTCCAGTCAATGATTTGTGTGAAATTGAAGTATTCCCTGGTATGTGTGTGTATGTGTGTGTATGTGTGTGACTTTTAGAGTTGATAATATTCTGTACCTCCATGTGAAAAGTCTTATTTGTTTTATGTAAATTGGAGAACACCACGTAGACTTGATACTGTTTCAAACTTTTCTCCATAAGGTTCTGGGGTTTCACTGGTTTATAAACTAGGGATGTGACGAATCCACTTTTTTTGGTATTCGACTGAATACCGAATAGTAGCTACTAATGTTTGTCAAACATGGACTATGACAAATCAGACAAGACAACCTGATTGAAAAAAAAATCTTGCCACGTTTATTTTTACAGTGCTGTAAAATCCTTTTGTAAATTAAAATGATTCATAGCATATTTATGGCCATTATTAGATGACCTTATGCAAATCTATTTGAGATACGCACAAAGTTTAAGAAATCTTAAACGTGTATCTGTATTTTCTGTGTGCAATTTGACTACAGTACAAACTCCTTAGCATGATTCGTGCGTTTTTTGGTGAGATCATTCAGACTGTATTTAATACCTGTAGTTTACTTTGGGCAAATTGCATTATTAAAAAAATAAAATAAAAAAACACCAGCCTCTCTGCATTCTCGGGGAGAAGTCTGCAGCGATGGTCTCCGTGGAGATCCTCAGCAGAACTGAACAGCCTCTCGGAGGGAACACTGCTTGGCGGAGCTCCAAGAAAAGACATCGCGATCGCTGCGAGATTAGGAGGCCTGATTGCGTTGTGTTTCCACCATTCCACAGGGTCGGCGGACCGGGGAGTGCAGGGCTCTGTCAGATTCAGTGACAGCTCCGTCTCCGCAGCGATTGAGGAAACTGTGGACTGAGATTCCTGTACAATTTCATCCCAGAAACTCCAGACTTGTAGTCTCCATGCAAGATTTCTTTGTCGGCGGCTCGATAAACAGTTTCTTTGTTTCCAATTTTGATTTTGCCAATCATCATTATTGGCATTTTCCTGCCTGTTTTCTTCTTCAAGACTGAACAATTGCTTTAACATTCAAATGATTTTTTTTTATCAGTCTGAGCTGGATAGGTACAGCTTAAATCATGGGTCCAGCCTAAAAACCACAGTTTAACTTACACTGATCAATTTCAACATGGACTGTTTTTGTTTTTTGTTTTTAAATAAAGCATCATCACTAATGTACATCGGCAGGGTTTTGCCAAACAGCCCAAACTGTATACGTTACAATCATTAAAAGCTCTTATTATTATTATTTTTTTTGTTAGTGCCGTTATCATGGAGAACAGCATGGCAGCTGTCTTTGGCAGTCTGTTGTTTTTCTAGCATTTTCAGAAACTCATCGGAAATGGCGGTACCTGTGTTTCCCTTCGAAAGCCTCTCAGTACAGCACTCCTGTTCCTCTGTTAAAACTCCTTGTTAATCCAGTGATCTTTTAGGCCAAGGAAATACTTTGTGGTGGTGTTCTGGGTTCATACACCAGCAATGAAGGAGATAGATTTGTGTACTTGTGTTTTTTAATCAGCGTTAACATGGGCAGGCACCCTCATTTATAGATGTAAGGAAATATTCAGTGCAAAACTTGTAGGCTGGGATGTGATAACGAGGTTCCAGTAATCTGAGCAGTCTAAAGAGACCCATATTCTCCACCACAGAACATGGCTATATACCAAGTGCTACTCTCACTCAGCCTGTTGCGGATCTCCATGGCCCCTGGAGACTTGTTTCTCCATGGTCTCTTCTGGACTGCACACTTCCGCCATAGCTTGCTGGGCTGATCTAGATGTCTGTTTGTTGTATGGAAATTTTGGGGGAAAATCCAAAACACAAACTGTGGGTTTGAAATATTAACCGTCTCCTTGGTTCCTTGGTATTCACCGTGCCTGATCTGCACATTTCATCGTGGCTGTTTCTGTATAGCCTATACTGCATTAGCCCAAGAGATTGTTGCTTTGTAACTTTTTGCACTATTGTTTTGGCTGGATTTGTATTACACACAGTTTTAAAAAAAAAATTCCACACTATTCTCTGCCTTTTTTTTGTTTTTCATATTTATTCCTTCCCGCACAAATTCCACATAGAGGCCTCTCATCCAGCTCTTCGTGTTTTGGCTGCACTTGAACATTGATTGTCTGTTTACAACCCTCAGCAATGTGCCTCCTAAATGGCATGACATATGTAGATGTGCTGCAGCACTTGTTTAATGGTCACAATAAATGACACTTCACCAAGGAAGTCTCAGATGAACAATTATGAACATCCAAAATTTATTTGGGGGGGGCAATACTCAACTAAATTGCAAAATTCCGGGGAAAATGGCACTATCCGTGTACGAATCGAATACAAATCAAAGATTTGTCACATCCCTAATAAAAACAAGATGGAGATGTCTCTGCGACCATATTTGTAAGCTGCACAGTGTGTTGGGTTTTATGTCTTCCCCCTCCAAATTGAATGGTTCTTTGGATTGCTCCAAACAAATCAGCTATCGTGCAGTTTTGATAGAATTGGTTTTTAGGTTGGAACTTGGGCTCTGTTGACTGAAAAGAGCTGTAGGGCAGGAGCACTGAATTAAATGTTGTAAAAGAGCGGCTGTAAATTAAATCATGATCAGGAAAGTCAGAAGCTCATGAAGTTTTGACTCGTGACTTCAGTGTTACAAAGAGAGCTGTGCTTTTTCACACTACAGATGAGCTTGGGGAAAGAAAATACTCTCCCACAAAAAAATTAAAAGAACAAACTTTAAGTACTATTTTAGGATTAATTTCGGTGTATTGTATTAAGGTGCCAGCGAGATTTCAGATTCCTGTAAACCTCTAAAGAAAAGGAGTCGCGCCTCAACTGATGTAGAAATGACTAGTTCAGCATACAGAGACACATCTGACTCCGATTCTAGAGGCCTGAGTGACGTGCAGGTAAATATGCTCAAGGGTCTGTGCACAGCTCTCTCTTTTGCTTTGCAAAACCAAATAACATACATATTGCTTTACCCAACTTATTTGGGGAAAATGGGGAATTTTTAAAATTCATAGTAAAGAAACAGTTTTGGTTAATTTATAATGATGAGTGTCTTCATTTTGCTGATCTCTTACATAACAGAAACAGTTTTGTTTTGTGGGGTTTTTTTTATTTTTAAACTAGAGGTTCTCTCAAAACACCAGACATGGTATCCAGTTGTAGGTAGGTAGGTAGGTAGGAAGGAAGGAAGGAAGGAAGGAAGGAAGGAAGGAAGGAAGGAAGGAGAAAGAGGTATTTGATCAAGATTTATTTGAGCAACTCTTACTAGGATTTTCATAGCACCTAACTTTGAGGAAATGTTTTTAAGTTTTTTATTTATTGAGTTGAGAAAGAGAGAGAAACATCTGTTTGTTGTTCCACTTATTTATGCATTCATTGGTTCATTCTTGTCTGTGCCCTGACCAGGGATCAAACCACAACCTTGGTGTATCGGGATGATGCTCTAACCAACTGAGCTACCTGGCAAGGGCATATCTTTGAGGAAATTTTTGTTTTTCTTAAAAATGTGCTATGTTTTCCATGTAGGTAGGCTTTGGAAAGCAAGTAGATAGCCCTTCAGCTGCTGCAGATGTGGACGTTTCAGATGTGCAGTCCGTGGACTCAAGTTTGTCGAGAAGAGGCTTTGGGACGAGTAAGAAGGACACTGTGTGTCAGGTGGGCAAGTGTCCTATCTTATAGCATGAAAGAATTGCTGTCATATTCTGCCAGCATTACACTTACCTCCTGTTGGAGAGGGTAATATCTTCCTAAATTTTAATACCCCTTTAAAACTATAGATCTAAAAGCCATTTCAGATTCTTTCCTCCCCTTTCTGAGTTTGAGTATTTAACTATTCACATGCAGGTATCAATCCTCATTGTTATGAAATGGAAGTAAATGGCAGATGACTGTTTCAAAATTTAGCTGTATTAAGTTTATAATGTATATACCCTTTTTGAAAAATACTGCTTTGTCCTGTAAAGAAGAGTTGAAGTACCCAGTTTCCAAAGAAGAATCATACAAAATTAAATATGACTTTTAAACTTTAACCATATTGGATGTGGAAATAGTTACATAGCTGGGCGGCTCGCACAGTGAGGGCCCGGGACCAGGAGTATCAGCACTGTCAGGATGCTTGTTGTGAATGCAAACTACTGTCCTCATCCCTCCCCTCGGACCTAGTGAGTCAGAAACTATAGGAGACAGGCCCTCCAGGTGATTCTGACGCCGCTCAAGTCTGAGATTCACTGCTTTTTGCTGCGTTGCAGATCTGTGAAAGCTCCGGTGACTCTCTGGTTCCTTGTGAGGGAGAATGCTACAAACACTTTCACCTGGAGTGCCTGGGGTCGCCTTTGCTCCCTGATGGGAAATTCATCTGCGTGGAATGTAAAACCGGTAAGCTGACTGACTTCCATAGATGTGCAAAGCCAGATAGGAAGTAATGTACAATGCCACCATCTCTCACGATATCTAATTTTATTACCACTGTTATGTAGCTCTTTTCTCCTAAAGGTATTTCAACAAATTAAGACCATTTAGTATTTAGGCTTCTTAAAATCAAGAATCGTTAGCAATATTATTGTCAAATTTCCTTCTACCAGTTCCTTAATCATAAAATCTACCAAATCATCGAGAAGTATTTGTGTTTTATCTCAAGAGCTATAGAAAGTATGTAGAGTGAAGTATTTTTCAAATGGGTTTGAGATTTTTATGCTTAATACATTGGCTTAAAGTGCCTTGATTTTACTGGACTGGAATACATGTCAATTGCAAACTGTAACCATGGTGATAGTATTTTTTAGTGGGAAGATGAAATTACTGAAAATTGTTTTTATTTTTATTTATTTATTTTAAAGACTTTATTTCTTTTTAGAGAGATGGGAAAGGAGGGAGAAGGAGAGGGAGAGAAACATCAGCGTGTGGTCATCTCTTGCGTGCCCACTACTGGGCACCTGGCCTACAACCCAGGCATGTACCCTGGTTGGGAATCGAACCAGCAACCATTTGGTTTGCAGGCTGGCACTCAGTTCAGTGAGCCACACGAGCCAGGGCTGGAAATTGTTCTTAAAGCATGCAAGTTTTGGATTCACCATTTATTTCATATTCTCCCCCTCCTCAAATACAGACTACCACCTATCGAAATAATTTATAGAGCATGGGCAAGTTTATATTTCTTCTCTTCGTAGCCATGATTCTAGTTAAAGTGATGGAAAGCAGGAAGTAGAGTTGTTTAATCTGCAACACGGCAAGTGAAAAGTCAGCTAGACATGGCATGGTCGTGTTTCCAGGAACCATGTTTGTATGGTTTTCTGGTTTTTGTTTGTTTTTTTGTTAGGGGGAACTGGATATCAGGTATTTAAAATGCTGATCTTACTCATGACACTTTATTTTCATACTCGTTTTTTCTTCGGATTCTTAAAGATATTTATTTTATCCTTTTTTATTTGATTGCATGCCTCATGAAATCATTTATATAGGCAAAATTCCATTAGAATGGTAATTTTTTTCCCTAAACACTTAATATAGGTCAGGTGCTATTAGTACTAAGCATTTTATCCTATTATTTCATTTTATCCTCATAACATAATGAGATTGATACTCCTACTATTTTCATTTTACTGAGGGTGAAACTGAGGATTAGAGAGTTTAGTTTGGCACTTTGCCCAAAGTCACAGAAACAGCATACGATGAAACTGGCATTTAAACCAAGGAGGCTGCTTGCCCCCAGAGTCCTTGCTGTTCACCACTGCCTTCTGCCACCTTGACTAAGCAGAATAGCGGTCATGTATCGTTTATTTTTAAACACACATGCCCTGAATTCTCACAAATATACATGTGCAAAAATTAAGGTATAAAAGCTGTTTTAAACATTTGACATATTTTCCCTATATAAAATATTATTTTATTCATCACATTTAGACTCTGCAATAAAACTTTTGAACAGTTTGTCAACTAGCAGCCTCAGGGTCAAAGTATCTGCACATTGTTTTTTTGGTTCTCAAAATGTGTTTTGAATGTGTGAACATGGATCAGGCACGTACTCCTGGTTCTTCACATTCTCTATCATTCCTTTTTTCTAAACTCTGTCATTCCAGTCATTTATGTAACCTGTCCAGCCCCTTTAAGCACTTAAGTTTGTAATCTCTGACTCAAAGTACTTTTAGAAATGACCATGTAGCTCACTATTAAAACGCTCTTTCAAGGCTTCCCTCCTAACTCTGGAATTCAGCTAAATTCTGCCAACAAAGGTTAGATATAATTTAACGTGGTACACATATACTAAGAAATTTAAGAGAGAAATTTGCTTTACAAATAATCAAATAGAACCAAGTTAGAGGATTCACACTTACCAATTTCAAAATTTACTTAAAAAAGTACAGTAATTAAAACAGCATGATACTGGCATACAGACAGACATATAACCCAATGCAATAGAATAGAGTGTCCAGAAATAAACATTCACGTATGTAGTGGAATGATTTCTTGTCAAGAGTGCAAAAAACCATTCAGTGGGGAAAGGATGGACCTTTCAGCAAATGTGCTGGAAAAGCTGGATATCCCCATGCCAAAGAATGAGATTGGGCCCATAACTAATAACCATATACAAAAAAATAATTCAAAATGGATCAGAGATCAGACATAAGAGTTAAAACTATAAAACTCTTAGAAGAAAACATAAAAGAAAAGTTTTGTAACATTGGATTAGGCAGTGATTTCCTGATAGGTCATTAGAAGTATAGACAAGCAAAAAAAAAATTTTTTTTTCAAAATTAAAAACTGTATACACCAAATGGCACTATCAACTGAGTGAAAAAGAAACATGCAAAATGGGAGAAACTATTGGCAAACATATGTGACAAGGAATTAATATCCTAAATATGTAAAGAACTACTACAACGCAACAAAAAACACACAATCCAATTGAAAATTAGGCAAAGAAATTGAATAGACATTTCTCCAGAAATCTACAGATGCCCAATAAGCACATGAAAATATGTTCAACATCATTCATTAGTAATTAGGCAAATAGGTATCAAAACTACAATGAGACGCCACCTCATACCTATTAGGATGGCTATTAGAAAGAAAACAGATTATGGAGAAATGGAAACACTTGTCCACTGTTGGTGGGAGTGTGAAATGGTATAAATACTGTGGAAAACAGTATGGCGGTTCCTCAGGAAGTTAAATATAGAATTACTGTGTGATCCAGCAATTTCACTTCTGGGTATATACCCAAAAGAATCGAAAGCAGAGACTCACACAGGTATTGGAATACCCATTTTATTACGGCAGTATTCACAGTAGCCAAAAGGTGGAAACAACTCAGATGTCCCTCAGTGGATGAATGGATAAATAAAATGTGGGATAATAAACAATGGAATATTACTCAGCTTGAAAAAGAAATGAAATAAAAACTGATACATGCTACAGTGTGGATGAACCTTGAAGATACCACCCTGGGAGAAATGAGCCAGGCATAAAGACAAATACTTTATGACTCCACTGACATGAGTTACATAGAGTAACCAAACTCAGAGGCAAAAAGTGGCACAGTTGTTACCAGGGGTTGGTGGGGAGAGAGGAGTGAGGAGCTATTGTTAATAGAGTTTCATTCAGTTACGGGATGATGGAAAATTCTGGAGTTGGGTAGTGGCGATGGTTGCAAAATAATGTGCGTATACCTAATGTCACACAGTTAAAAATAGTTAAAAATGGCAAATTTTATGTTATATATTATAACCGCAATTTTTAAAAAACCAATTACAGTTCATCCTTGAACAACAGAGCTTTGACCTACAAGTCCAGTGATAGGCGCATTTTTTTCCCCAGTAAATGCTGTCTGTTGGAAAACGCGGGGGGGAGATTCCCTTACTACCACGAAGCAGTCATGTCAATTGTACTAGGCTGCAATAAAGCAATTGTATTGCTGCTTCCTTGTTACCAGTGCATAAATGATTATATCTGTAAATAAATAAGAATTTCTTCACATTATCTTTCACTTTTGATGTCTAATGTTAGTAATATGTATAACATGTACAGTGTTTTGTAACATATAAGACTTGATGTAGGTACTGACAGATGATTCTTGTAAACAGGTGACATAAACATATAGTATCAATATGCACAAAAGGTATTTTCTCTTACAATTTTCTTATTAACATTTTCTTTTCTCTAGCTTTATTGTACGAATACAGTATATAATACATATTAACCAACTCTTTGTTATTGGTAAGGCTTCTGGTCAACAGTTGACTATTAGTAGGTAAGTTTTGAGGGAGTCAAGAGTTATGCAGATTTTCAACTGAGAAGGGGTGTTGGTGCCTTTAACCCCTGTGTACATTATTTACTTATTAAATTGCTTTTGATTTATTATCATGTGGAAATTAATTTGATACTAATCTGCTACACTTCTAACATATTAGGAGTGAAAACTCAGATTCTTTAAGCCATTGTTTAAGATCAGTTAGGAAGTTTTCTTTTGTTTATCAAAAGATAAACACTTTACATGCAAAAGGTATTATAAGATACATGCCTAACAAGGTCTTATGCTTCCAATTTCTATCATTTAAGACAAATGCGTGGTCCTGGCTGGTGTGGCTCAGGGGACTGAGCACTGGTCTGCGAAACCGAAAGGTCGCCGGTCAGGGCGCAGGCCCGGGTTGCGGGCCAGGTCCCCGGCTGGGGGCGTGTGAGAGGCAGCCAGTCAGTATTTCTCTCCCTCTCTTTCTCCCTCCCTTCCCCTCTCTCTAAAAGTAAATAAATAAAACCTTTTTAAAAAAATGTGATTTCTAAAGAGAAAGCATTTTCATTTTCCCTTTCGGTTAAAAAGTGTAACAGTCAATTTTACTGATTATTTACTTATTTTAAATAAAGACCATATCCTAGTGAGAAGGGAGGGTATGGGAAGCATTCACACGCTAGAGCTCTAAGCAGAAGCCTTAAAGGGGTTTGATAGTTCAGCTCTGTATTAATGTAACAGCATTAGTAGGTACAACAATTTTCATTTCTGTTACACTTATTTTGGACAATTTGCGAGTGAAAGCCTTTTTCATTTTTACATAGAGCAGTTTATGCATTAGGCAAAGTGTAAAGTCAAACCTCTTAACCTTTAAAATAAGGTTTTTAAAATTGATTTTAGACAAAGGGAAAAAGACAGAAACATCAATTTGTTATTCCACTTATATTTATGCATTCAGTGGTTGATTCTTATATGTGCCCTAACCAGGGAATGAACCTGCAACCTTGGCACATCAGGACAGTGCTCTAACCAACTGATCTACCTGACCAGGGCCTAATCTTTTTCTTTTTAATTCTAAAAGTTATTTTAAAAATAGTACTGTTGCTTTTCTACCAACATACATGGTAAAATATAATTTGAAATTATATCTGCGCAACAGGACAACAAAATTTCCTGCTGAACTTTATTTCTACAACAAAGCCAGTTTAAAAAAAAAATTGAATACCACAATTATATGTAGTAATTTTGGAGAATTTTTATAATTCAGCCAACTTGTAAAGGTTAGTTCTTCCAAAGCAAAATCTAACTTTCTATAAAAAATCAAAACCAAAAACTAGTAAGAAAAATGGGCAAAAGACTTGAACACTCCCCAAAGATGATATCCAGATGGCCAATAAATAATCACATAATTTTCATATGTAAAACAGACACAAAATGAAAACACATAATTCTAATAAAAAGCAAAAAGGTACAGCTAAATGTCTCACTTATACTGTAGAAAATCAAGGACAAAAAGAAAATATTAAAATTACCCACAAAAAAAGACAATTACCTTCAAAGAACAACAAAAGAAATAAATAATTAAAATAATGTTAGAATTTACAGAGTTCTGGTTGCAGCTAAACTTTTTATTGTATTTTTATTGACTCTCATGAATGATCTATTCCTGTGTCTTTTCTGTTTCTGTATTGCAATGTTAAAGTTGTTAGTATTTTAAATTTATATCTAATTACACAAGTAATACATAAATATAATGTTATGAACATATTATCGTTGTAGCACACGCTGAAGTCCCCCTAGATCATCTCTCTTAATTCTAGGCTCCTACTTACCTCTAGGCATCACCAGAGGTAACGGTTGTTATCCGTTTGGGGTGTGGCGCTGTACGTCTTTTTCTGTGTGTGCATGCGTGTTTGTATGTGTGTAACATTTTTATGTGTTGCAATAAAAATGTATTATACCATTGTTCTGCAGATTGATTTTTACCTTTAAGTTTGTCTTCTGTCAATACAAATACATTTTATTGCTGCACAGTGTTCCACAGTATGCGTATATCATTGTTTTGTTTTTTAACTGTTCGCCTGTTGAAGGATGTTTGAATTGCTTTCAGTTGTTTGCAGTTACAAACAGTGCTTCAGTCAGTGTCCTTTCACCTACACAACTCTATCCTACTGTAGACAGCAAGAAGTAGAATTTCTAGGCCACAGGAAATGAATGTACTTTTCTTTTTTTTAAGGATACAGCCTTGTTTTCTTCGAAGGTAGTTCCTTCCCACTTAAACTCCCAGCACCCGTATTTAAGAGTTTCTCTTTCCCTGCACCCTGCTCAGCAATTGGTATTATCAAACTTTTGAAGTTTTTTCCTATTGATGAATTTTTAAAATGTTCCTTGTGGTTTTACAAGTGAAGTTGAGCACTTTTTTCATGTTTACTGGCTGTCTTTCTGCTTTCTGTAAATTGTTCATTCCCTTTGCCCACTCTTACTAGGCCGTTTTGTCCCTGTTTTGATTGATAGTTCTTTTTTAAGTCTTGTTTAGCTCTCTTTGCCTATATATGTTGCATATATTTTCACTATATTTGAACTCTAACAAAAAAATCCTTTGTCATCTCTGTTGAATATATTTTTCCACATCTGTTTGTCTTTTTCTTATTCCTTCTTTTTTTCTGTTCTAATTGGCATCATTTCTTCCTTTAAATATTTGGCAGATTGATCAGTGGAGCCATCTGGAATTAAAGTTTTCTTTGTTGGAAGGTTTTTAATTGTGGTTTCAATTTCTTTAATAGTTTATATAACTAATCATATTTTCTATTCATTTTTCTGTGAGTGTTAGTAAGTTCTGTTTTTCTAGCAATCTGTTCATTCATCTAAATTTTCAAATTTACTGGCAAAAGTGTAGTGATTTCCATTTGTTATCTTTTTATCCTTGTAGGATTTATAGTGATGTATCATTTTTTTAATCTCTAATATTGTTAATATGTATTGCTTTTCTTGCTTTTTTTAAGTAGTAATTCTTACCAGAAAAAGCAGTTTTATTAATCTTTTTCAAAGAAACAACTTGGTTTTCTTAATCCTTCCCAATGTATATTAGTATCATTTCATTTCTGAAGAGTGTTTTCATGAGTATAGAATTCTGGCTTGGTAACAGTTTTCTTTCAGCCCTTTGAAGATAACATCCCATTATTTTCTGGTTTCCATTTTTCTCTTTCAGTCAGCTCTTAGCTTCTTTGAAGGTAATTGTCTTTTCTGTGGCTAATTTTAATATTTTCTCTTTGTCCTTGATTTTGTACAGTTTGAATAATGTTTAGCTGTAATTTTCTGTGTTTTTTTAATTGGGATTATGAATTTTCATCTTATCCTTTTTTATATGAAAATTTTAAGTGATTATCTAATGGAATCTGTTTTTTCTTTGGTAGTTTTATTTATTCTGTTTTGAGAAGACCTTGCCACTCTCAGCTCTTGTTGAAAAATTGTGTTTCCTATGGAAATCATTTTAGTGTAGAATAAGGAGACCTGAATTATTTTTAATGCTACATCTTCAAATGAATTATCATAGCAAATCAATCATCCTGACAAAATTTATTAAATGATATTTTTAGTTAGCTATTTATTTTCAGTCTTGATGTCAGTAGCTGCATCTATTTAAAAGGAATACGCTTTAATCAGCTTTTATTTGTTCTCTGTTCCTCATCGATCTTCCAGGACAGCACCCGTGTTTTTCATGTAAGGTGTCTGGTACAGATGTGAAACGTTGCTCTGTTGGTGCTTGTGGGAAATTCTATCATGAAGCCTGTGTCCGCAAATTCCCCACTGCCATCTTTGAGTCAAAAGGGTTCCGCTGTCCCCAGCACTGCTGCTCTGCCTGCTCGATGGAGAAAGACATCCACAAAGCAAGTAAAGGTAAAACGGAGCTCAGGAACGGGACAAAGTTTTTTCTTTTAAGTTCAGTGGCAAATAATAAACATTATTAAAGAACACCAGGTGTTCTGTGTTTATCTGTAGATATATCAGCTCAGCCACAATAGATAGCATTATTAAGTAGGGATTAGGTTTCAATTCACACCATAAGGAGAGAATTCCATATGTTCACAGTTACCCTTGAAAATTCCTTAAACAGGAGCCATGTTGGAGACCACCATCTCTTCCAGAGTTGGAGCAGGCAAAGTTTAATTTGGTTTCTAGATGGGCACTGTGTTTAGGGGCCATATAGCATAGGAATGACAGAGCCAAACTCGTGATGAAAAACATTTGTATCTCACTCTAATCAACATCACATGGGAACCCAAAAGAACCCAACTCCAAAAATCTCAATTTATATATCCAGCTAATGCTTTATTATATAGATTCTTTTTGACTTGTCTTTGAACAGGCCGCATGATGCGCTGTTTGAGGTGTCCAGTAGCCTATCACTCTGGAGATGCGTGTGTTGCTGCCGGAAGCATATTTGTGTCCTCCTACATTCTCATCTGTAGTAATCATTCCAAACGTAGCAGTAATTCGTCCTCTGCTGTAAATGTAGGCTTTTGTTTCGTTTGTGCAAGAGGTGAGTGTCAGTCCTTTCTTTTTATTTCTCCCTGAGTTCCCCGTGCAAATAGAGTTTCAGTAATATCCCTGAGAGAGATTGGCACTTCCAGTAACTAGTCCCTTATATACCATCAGGCATTCAAATTGTTAGAATATTAATTCTTCTGTAAATTAAGGTAAAGTCTGCATTTTTTTAAATAACTTAGAATCACACGTAAGTTCTCAGCATTTCTGCTTGGAGCATCAAAAGATCAATCTATCCCTTCTGTAAACAGTTCTTCTATTCAAAGTAGACTCTTTCCATGTCATATTCTTTAATCCAGAGCTTGCAGCTGATTGAGATTTCATTTGGCAGGGAAACTGAACACATTTATTTTTTAATCATTTATGTTGTATTTTGTCATGTTTTGGTCTGGCATTGAGGAAGGCCTGGTGGGATATAGCCAAGGCAACATATGTGGCGGTGTTAGTTAAGAGCCAGCAATGCAGGCTGTTGATACTTAGGTATGCCAAGAGATTGATCAGCTAAAAACAAATTCGTGTCCCTGAGGGGTCAGTGAACTTGAGTTCGTGATAACTGTAACATAGAACTTCTTTAGGCTGTACTGAAGATGAGGGTTTTGGTTTTGGTTTTGGTTTTTGCTGTAGGAGACGGTTCTAATTTGCTGAAAGTATATCTAATTTGCATAAGGTATTTTTTAATAGAATTTAGGTAGTATGATAGATCTGGAGTTGCTTTGCTTTTGTATCATTTTAAAAATAATAACTAGAGGAAATGGGCAGTAAAAGGTTAAATCAATGGTAGTCCTTTTTGGAGCAGCCATTTGTGTCCGTTGCATGTACTGCTTTCAGTATGTCTGAGTGTTGTAAGCACGTGGGGCTGTTGCCATTAGAGCAGACTGGTTGTGTCTTTCTTTAGAAGAGCAGTTACACAATTGTATCCTGCTCTGAAACCTGGCTTTGTTTCCTGCCACATTGTAACAGGTGACTGAAAGGGTTCAAGTAGTCAAAAGAAATAGTTACCACTAGTGTCTTTTCCATCTCCCCCTCCCTAAGAAAGTAATGATAGGATGGAAATACCAACTTACCCAATTGAGTGGCTAGATTTAGAGACCTCAAACCAGATGAGTGCCACTGATAACACAGAGCCTCTATAACTTTGTTCGTATTTTATTCTGCCATTCTAGGCACGTGTTATTACTCACTTTGACTAGAGGTGTGTGTGCATGTGTCTCTGGTTGGCACGTGTGCATGTATAACTAAGCCAATGTTTTAAATATCAAGTTTCAACTCTTATGTTGACTCACGTTGGAGTACATTCTGAATCAAATACCATCAGTATATTAACCAATTTGTGGGGGGCTCTCTTTCATTCAATAATTGGGAAACTTTTAAAACAGGTATTTTCAATTTAATACAGGCAGAAAATAGCCCATTGTCAAGGAACCTAGTTTTGTAGAAAATCTAGCCATTTTGTTAAGTTTAACTTACATGCCTTGATTAAAAGTCTGAGATGATGGAAATGAGGGGGAAGCCCATTTTTTAACAAAAGATCTGTATTTGCATCTTATCAACTTGGCAGTTCTAAAGACTTACTATCTTTAAATGCCTAATGCCTATTTAAGCAAGATTATTTCATTCCCAAATATTTTAACTGAAACTTTGTCCAGTAAACAGAAACTTTCATTTTCCTTCCAGAGTTTTGCAGAAACTTATTCTAAATAGATCAGATGTTGGGATTTAAGAAGGCTTAAGTTTTTCAGAAATAAATGTGTTCTTTATTCATTATTCATAGAAGTCTCCTTTTTAAAAAGAGGCCTAATTATAATAAATCCATACATTAAAAGGAATTACTTAATCATTTACCGTATTTTGCTGTGTATAACATACATGCACTTTTTTGGCCAAATTTTTGAGGGAAGAATAAGGGTGCGCACTATACATGGGCATACTAATCCCGTGTGCAGTGGACACCAAAAACGTGGGTGCGCATTATACACAAGGAGTGCATTATGCGTGGCAAAATATGGTATGTTTTGGTATTAGAAAACTTAGCTTGTTTTTTGTTTCTTGTCTCAATTAGTTTTTCTTACTTCTTGGTTATTGCTGTTTAAAATCAGTACACTAATCCTTAAGGATGTAATTATCTAGAAATGTTACAAGGTTTGCAGGAACATTGCTCCTTCTTTGCCCTCCCCTTGGTGCCATAGAAAGCGTTCAGTCACATCTCAGTGTGAAAGATGTACACGGGATGGGAAAACTTACATATTTCAGTACACAGCGGTGGGAAAAAGTAAGTTCACAGTTGTGAGTGTGTGAAACAGTTTCTTCTTGTATTATTACTTATTAATTATTGTATTATTTGTTGTATTATGTAAACCTGCTTTTGCCCACCCCTGTATATTTAGCGCCTTTCATCAGGAGGGTAGTGTGAAATGGAAGTTAGCCAACTTCCACGCCTTCCTGTGCAATGATAATTTTAACGATTTTTACTTACTTATTTTTAGAGAGGGGGAACGGAGGGAGAAAGAGAGAAACATTGACCGGTTGCCTCTTGTGCCTCTCATTACCTGTCTTATGTGCCCTGACTGGGGACTAAACCCACAATCCAGGCATGTGCCCCAAATGGCAACTTTTTGACCTTTCACTTTGCAGAGCAACGCCCAGCCCACTGAGCCATACCGGTCAGAGCTGTAATGGTCATTTTAAATGGAGGGGTTAAATTAGGGTTTTCTTTTAATCTGAATAATAGCAATTTATTTTGCATCTGTGAATCAAACTGAATGTATGGCCACAGTGGCCCTAAGAAGTAGTTTCCCCATTTTACGTGGATGAGAGCACTGGAGTCCCCCCGTGTTCCCTCCACGTAACTCCAGGTCAGTCACGAGGAAATGACCTACCCGGAGGCCACGCCAGTGTTACCTAGAGAGACCGCATGAGTACCTCCTTTTTCTTGCTTCAAAACCCATGTTTTGAATACCGCACCACTTCTCTCTAGTAAGTGGATGAAATTCATTTGACATTATATAACTTTTATTCAAAGATTCTTACATTATTACCAATTAGCAATTTCAGTTCCATTCTGTCGTCAGGATCAGAAATATTTCTCAAATGTGTCCCAGCGTAGGGTAGCACCGAACGAAGATAACAGCCACAGAAAAAAGTAAACGGTATCCCCTTTAAAAACAAAACTCTCTCTTCTCAAAATGATCTCGATGAAACTGCTGTCATGATTTGTATTATAAAGTCCTAGGTCATTATTAACCAAATAGAGGAGTTTTCCCGGCCGTGCAGTTCCTGAGGTTTAGCAGCGGGGTGTAGCTCTGTTACGGACCTAACCAGGGGAAGGGGCCGGGGAAGGGGAGGCTGAAGAGAAGGGGTCACAAGCGGGTTCGAGCGGGCCTCATGTTTCCCTCCAGACAGGGTGGCTGTGTTAGTAGTAGATCAAACGGGCTGTTTTTTATAAACTCTTAAGTTAGTAATTACTTTGTATCATGGCAGAGAAAAAAGTGTAAGTGGTTTAAATTTAATTAAATGGTTTAATACAAATACATTACCTCAGTACGTTCAACAAATTATGGCCCCTTTAAAATCGATATTTTATTGATAGAGAAAAGCTTCATTATCTGGCAGAGAAAGCTAGAATCTATTCTAAAATATTTCAAGATATGAACAGGAAGATGGAGAAACTCAGTTCTTCCTTTAAGTGCTACTTGATACATTGAAGGTAGATCAGGCTACTATGTTACATAAGTAACATTTCTAACAGTTAAATGATACATTATTTTGTTCTCTGGCTTGTCATCTTAGCACTTCTACATATTAAGGAGTGTAGCTTTATTTTTCTTAGGGAGTTTTCTGTATGATGTCAAATGCAATTTACACCTTCACATTAATTTGGCATTTTCTTCTGGGTATGTAGGTTTCTGTATAGGGATAAGGCATTAAGTCACTTAAATTCCCTTTAATAACTATAGAAAGATTTTTCTGACAGATCTTTCTTTTTCTTCATACTTTCTTTTTTCCTCCCAACTTTAAGTACAGCTACATAATAGGTGTTGGTTTATTTTTTCTCCTCATGGAATCATGGGTAGTTTCATTGCAGCTCATCTCTTTCTGTTTGTTTCGTATAGGGCTGATAGTTCAGGATCATTCAGACCCCATGTTCAGTTCATATGCCTATAAGTCCCACTACCTACTGAATGAATCAAATCGTGCAGAGTTGATGAAATTACCTATGATTCCTTCTTCGTCAGCTTCCAAAAAGAAATGTGAGAAAGGTAAAAATCAAAATAGTTTATCTCTTGCTTTTATTTTTGCATTTCCTATTTTTTTTTTCTTTTTCAATGAAGGGGGTAAATGTTTGCCTGTCAAGCACCATCTGTTGCTTTCAGTAAATTCTACCTTGGTGGTTGTGACTATCTTCATATGGCTGCAAAATTATTAAAAAGGGCTTAAAATAATTCCATTTATTACAAAATTTTACTTTTCTCCTTGAATAAATTTTCACACATTTCATATAATTATGGGTTGTTAAAATTGAAAGACTAGGATTTCAATATAGAGGAATATTCCGAGAGCTCTTTCTTTTTTGCCTGATGCAGAACCACCTTTCATGTTAGAATATAATAGATACAATGTAACTTGTTAATAACTCTCAACTAAATAACAAGATTATTAAATAGAGGGATACCAAAATACTGCTACTTAAAGATCTGTTTTTAGAATACATCCTGTCATTTTGTTTCTTAACTTTTTGTTAAGATGCTATGAAAACCAGTTGCCCTTCTCTTAGGACCCACTCGTGGGCAGCTGGGGAGGATACCCCTGTACCGGATACGAAGGGCAGCCCTGCCGAGCTGAAGAACGGCTCGTGGATGATTTATCCGCAGAGAATCAGGAGCTGAATGGATATTTATATTCTCCCAGTTAATGTAGCCTGTGGTAGAAAGTCTTATCTCGTGTTTAGTATTACATAGCATACGTGTAATAAAAGTAAAAAGTGGTTTAACAATAATGTATTATTTGGGAAGTTACTGTCTCAGCGGGTAAAATAAATAACCTGCAAGGTGAAAGCCTTTACCTGTGTACATTCCCATTATGAACTGGGAGCCAGTTTCAGGTTCTTTCAAGAAAAATTAAATCATACCTAATATACTGGATACATTGGAAATGGGGGGGCGGGGTTTCCTTTGTGTTGCCCGCTTGACGCATCTCTATCAGCGTTCTTAAGTGGCAACCTGTAACTAACAGTATAACCAAGAAGCTGATTAGAATCTGGAAAAGTAGGATGGAGAAGTGTTGGGTTTTCTGTGTGTTTTCTATTGAAGTCACAGCGTGTCATCTTACTGCTGGCACTGCCTCCTTCCAAAACAGGGACGGGCATCGGTCTCACTGACTCCATAATACAACAAAATTTGACTGCCCAAGGCATTTTAGGAAATGCCTTATTTCCCTGCTGGTGCCTTTAAAATTAGATTAACTCAATTGTTGCTTACTTTGTTTTCAGTACTCACTATTGCCCTTGACATAAATTGAAATTATTTTGAGCCCTGTGTTTGCTTAGGCTGAACCGTACCTCTCTCTGCACCCTGAAGCGGTTTCCTTGCATAGCACCAAGGTGGATTGTTCATATATTTATTTTTCTATTTCCCTTGTGTATTTTTTTGTCCAAAAATCGTGATGATTTTCACTGATGATTCTCAGTCTGTATTTCCTCTGAAATAAGACTTAAAACTCAGGACTATTTTACAATGTTAAAAAGGGCCAGTCTGACTTTTCCACATCAGCGCTAATAACATGCCCTCTAAAAGCTTTTGCAAAGGCTGTTCTCCCTATTGGTCATTTTTTTTCTGTTGGAAAAAAATATGGAGTATCTCGTATCAGTTTAAACTTACAGAAGAATTCCTTACCTAGTCTAAGAGCACTCAGACAGCTAGTCTCTAGGTTGGAGAATTGGAACCATTAATCCACATTGAGATTTGCGGACAAAGGGGAAAATCCCAATGATTGAAGTAAAAGCTTTGAAGCAGAGGAAATATAGTAATTTAACTCATCACTGATTGTATATGGATTTTATTTTTGTTTTTATGTTAATCAGTTAGAAGTTTGAAAGTCTACAGTAATACGAGATTTTCTGGAAAATTGATAGCAAACCCTGAAAAGGTTGGAGCGTGTGATTTCATAAAGTTGTGTAGAGGGCTCCTAACCTTTAGCGGATGAGACTTTACATCTTAGTGAATTTGTGGGTTATTGACCTGATTTTCCAATGGGAAGATGAGTTTTTTTGGGGGGCGGGGGTGGTTTTTGTTTTTGTTTTTTGCAGTAGATGTCTTTATCACATTCATCTTCAGTGGTTAACATCCTTCTTTGTCACTTGTTGGAATACCTATTACAAATACCTAATTCCCCTCCTCCCCCGCCACCACCACCAAATCTTTTTCATTTCTTTGCATTTAGTAATATTATTTTGTTTTGTTTGCTGCACCTGTTTTGCTCTTAATCCAGAGATCATTTTGTGTATTTAAAAGAAGAGGATTTTGCTAGGGAAATTGGAGGGATCTCCTCACATGTGGTACTTCATTCTACACTGCTATTTACTTAATTTTATGCTATAAAGCAGTGGTTTTCAATATGAAGTTAGAAAAGACTTATGTAAACAAAATCTTTGAACTATGCCTAATATTTCAGAAAATCTAACAGAATCATACATTTATGCAAACTAAGGCTGCATGAGTTTCTTTATATTTGGCTATGATTTAAACAATTCAGTGTGATAATGCTAGTTTTGTTATGAGATTCAGAGGCTTGGATTGATAGTTATATATTTCTTTGGTTAATAAAAATAGGAAAAATATTACTATCAAAATACAGGGATTTGGGTTTTATTTTGGGATGATAAAATATTTGAAAACACACAGCTCTGCGAGGGAAGGGAAGGGGATCCTCAGCGATGAAAAAGTTGCAAACCACTGCTCTATAGCCTGTTTGCTGGTGTTTATCTTCCCTGAGAAGGTGATGATGTGCATCCTCACCAGCTTAAGCAACCGCGGTCCTTTCGCTTTTTTATATTCTTTTATGGGAAGAAAAAAGTACTGATCAACCTGTGGCCTATTTTCATTCTTGCTATTTCTATTATAAAGGGATATAGTCGACTCTGGCACTGGATTAAAATACAAAGATGACCATTGCTTGCTTTCTTAGCTTTCAAGGAGAAAAGAAAGTAAGCTGCTACATAATCCTTTGAAAATCTGCTTTCAAATCTATTCTGTCTAAAGATTTCACGCACCTATTTTGTCATATGTTAGGCGGTTTAGCTTCCTGCTAAACTGATATCTCAATAGCCCACGTTTACTATTCCAAAGCTGAGTTTCTGCCTACCGAAGCCTTGAAAAGGGAAGAAGAGAAATCTGTTTATTTTCTATTTTAATCCATTGCCATAGATATGATTCCATCCCTTTGTTATTTTCCTCCAATTTGAATCCAATTCAATGCACTTAAAAGATAACTTTCTCCTTTTTCTTTCTTGTTTCTCTTTTCTCAGTTATTAAGACTGTTTATTTGTTTCAAGGTGGAAGATTGCTCTGCTGTGAATCGTGCCCAGCTTCCTTCCACCCGGAATGCCTGAGCATGGAGATGCCAGAAGGCTGCTGGAATTGTAATGACTGTAAAGCTGGCAAGAAGCTACATTACAAGCAGATTGTTTGGGTCAAATTGGGAAATTACAGGCAAGTTTTCCCAAGGACAAAGAGGAAGTATTCAATCATTGTTCAGAGCTGGATTCATATCTATATACAAGCAGGCTAGGAGACAGAACAGCAGCGCTCCTATGAGAGAGCGAGCGAGCGCATTTTGAGTTTGGGGTTTTAGAGGATGGGGAACATTAGTTGTGAATTTTTTTCAGTTGGTTGGTTAACTTTTGTTTCTGCGTTCAGATAGTAATTTTATACATTTGCACTATGTACTACTAGATCTTGGAATAAAAGGTCTTTTGTGGTTAATAGGGAAGATGTTTTCTTTTTGCCCTAATTAGATTTATATTGACTTGTGATTTCTAATAAAACCAAGAGTTTCTTCCTGGCCAAAATGGTTCTTTTTGCCCCTAAATCTGGTCCATTTTAGGTCAAGCTAGAAGCTCTAAACTGTGCAAAAAGAGTTTTTTAGAATTTAGAGATTGTTTCATTAAGAGCAATTAATTTGTTTTTGTTTATTTTATTTTATTATTTTATTATTATTTATTTTTATAGAGAGGGGAAGGGAGGGTAAAAGAGGGAGAGAAACATCAACTGGCTGCCTCTGGCACACCCCCAGCTGGGGACCTGGCCTGCAACCAGGTGCCGCGACAGGGAACTGAATCAGTGACCTTTTGGTTCACCAGCCAGCACTCAGTCCACTGAGCCACACCAGCCAGGGCTAAGAGCTTTTAGTTCTTAAGGGAATGAGTAAGAAATATGTGTGGTTACTATTACTTGAATAAAACTTTCTCCTTTTGAGAAAGCTGTTTTTTAACAAGCTTTCATGAACAGGAATAGTGATGTATTTTAAAAACTCTACATTCTGCATTTTGAGGCATATGTTTATCATTTTACTAAGAAAATACATACTGTCCAAGAGAACACAGTGGAATTCTGCTATTCAATTAGAATCCTAAGTAAAATATATTTCTATACAATTTCAAACATCCTGTAATTTACATATATTTTAGAAAGGATTATGTTGTTTTCTTTGCATTTTAAATATGCTGCTTGCTTACCTGTTTAACTTTAAAAACTGTTTTTCTCTTTTTAAATATATTTTATTGATTATGCCAATCCAGTTGTCCCAGTTTTCCCTCCTTTGCTCCCCTCTGCCCGGTACCACGTTCCCTCCAGCATTACCACCCACCCCACCCCACCGCCCACCTTAGGTCACGTCCATGGGTTGTGTGTATAAGTTCTTTGGCTTCTCCATTTCCTGTACTATTCTTAACATCCCCTTGTCTATTTTGTACTGACCAATTATGCTTTTTAATCCCTGCACCTTTTCCTCCGTTCTCCCCCTGCCACCTCCCAGCTGATAACCCTCCAAATGATGTCCATAGCTATGATTCTATTTCTGTTCTGCTTGTTTGCTCAGTGTGTTTTTTAGACTCGGTTGTTGATAGTTGTGAATTCATTGCCATTTTAATGTTCACAATTTGGTTTTCTTTTTTTTATATAATCCCCTTTAACATTTCATATAGTAATGGCTTGGTGATGATGAACTCCTTTAGTTTTACCTTGTCTGGGAAGCACTTTGTCTGCCCTTTGATTCTAAATGATAGCTTTGCTGGATAGAATAATCTAGGTTGTAGGTCCTTGCTTTTCATCACTTTGAATACTTCTTGCCAGCCCCTTCTTGCCTGCAAAGTTTCTTTTGAGAAATTAGCTGACAGTCTTAAGGGAACTCCTTCGTAGGTAACTCTCTGCTTTTCTCTCGCAGCTTTTAAGATTCTCTCTTTATCTTTAACCTTTGGCATGTTAATTATGGTGTATGTCTTACTGTGGTCCTCTTTGGGGCCATCTTTTTAGGGACACTCTGTGCTTCCTGAACTTGAATGTTTATTTCCTTCACCAAATTAGGGAAGTGTTCTTTCATTATTTTTTCAAGTAAGTTTTCAATTTCTTGCTTTCCCTTTCTCATTCTGGTACCGTTATGATTTGGGTGTTGGTACATTTGAAGATTCCCCAGAGGTTCCTTAGCCTACCTTCATTTTTTTTTTAATTATTTTTTCTTCTTCTTGTTCTGATTGAATGTTTCTTTCTTCCTTATGCTCCAAATTGTCTATTTGATTCTCAGCTTCATCCCTTCTACTGTTCGTTCCCTGTCTATTTTCCTTTATTTCACTTAGCGTAACCTTCAGTTCCACCGCTGAGTTCTTTGAGCATCCTGATAACCAGTGTTCTGAACTCCGCATCTAATGATCGCTTATCTCCATTTCATTGAGTTGTTTTTCTGGAATTATTGTTCTGTTCTTTCATTTGGGCCATATTTCCTTGTCTCCTCCTTTTGGCAGCCCCCTGGAGCTTGTTTTTCCATGTTAGATAGAGCTGCTTTGACTCCCTGCCTTAGTAACATGGCCCGTCTGCATGAACATGGCTTCTTTAATTCCTTGGTTGTCAGACTTCCATAGAGCTTGATTTTCTGACATTTCTGGGTGATGTTTGTTTTGTAGTCCAGTTGTAATTTTTGCTGTAGTTGTGCAAGGAGGCAAGGTGTATTTACCTATGCCTCCATCTTGACCAGAAGTCAAAACTCTTTTTGTTTTTCGGTTGACATAAGTGGCATTGAGTCTGAGAAGGCCTCCACCCATTTTTTTTTTTTTTTTTTTTTTTGGTAACATATGTCAGGTATTCTCCAAATCCTTAAAAAAAAAAAAATGACAATTTAAATATGTAAACAGTTTTATACTGTATGGCAAATGATATTATAAAGTTTGGAAAAGCAAATGTCGAACCAGGGGAATGTGTTTGCTTTTCTTCTTTCAATAAGAAAAGACAAACAACTTACATAGAAAAAAAGGGACAAGGAAGAGAAAGAGCCAGTTTGCATGAGTAGCAAATAGAAAATAAACATGTAAAAAATACCAGCTTCACTAAAATAATAAATGTTTAGTAAAAACAGAGTTTTTTCCTGCCCAATTAACAGATTGGCAAAGATGTAAAACAATGTTGCAGCTAGGGAAGGCACGAGGAAACAAGTGCCCTGCCAGGCGAGCTGCCTTCGCGTTTTAAAATTGTAACCGTATATATTCCTTGACCCAGCACTTCCCTTTCAAGAACCTTATCTAAGGAAAAAATATTGGACAAGCATGCAAAATACGTGTTTTTGGGGATGTTCATTGCGGTATTATTTAAAATAACCCAAATGCTTGGTTCATAGGGGATTTGTCAAGTAAATTATAGTATATTCACGTTGTAGAGCATCTTGAAGCCAGTAAAAGAGCAATGCAGGTCTGTGTAGTGACATGGGAAGAGATGCACGATACAGAGTTGAATGTAGGAAACGTGTTAAACAGTATATACATTATCTTTCCATATATAATTTTAAAAATTACAGGTCTGGTATATTTTTAATACCAGAAAAGAAATTTATCTACTGTTAATAGTCTGAGGCATGAGGTTACGAGGAGAGGCATTTTCAGTTTTTCCTCCTATACATTTGTGCATTGTTTTATTTTTAAAAGAAACACTGGTTTTACAATTAAAAATATATATCTTTTGGGGTGGGGAGGGGTATGAGTTTGATAATTGGTAGAGAAGACATTCCTGGATAAGAAATACCTAAAAGAGTATAAGAAAACTTTAGCTCTTCAAATAAATTTCAGAATATTTTCTTTTACTAAATTTTTGGGGCTTTTTTTTAGATACAGTTGGCATAACATTATTGTCAGATGTACAACATAATGATTCAATATTTTGAATGTGGTATTACAAAATGAGCACCACAATAAGTTCAGTTAACATCACCATACACAGTTAACAATTTTCTTTTCTTGTGATGGGAATTTTCAAGATCTACTTAGCAACTTTTAAATATATAGCACAGTATCGTTAGCTATAGTCAGCATGCTGCACTACACACATTCCATATTGCATTTTTTTAAAGAGTTGTGAATGTGAAAATATCTTTGCCTTAAGTTAAATACTTAAGTTTTAATCACATGGCATTTTATTGATTTATTTTTAGATTTTACTTATTTATTTCTAGAAAGAAGAGGAGGGAGGGAGAAAGAGAGGGAGAAAAACATCCCCTAACTGGGGACCTGATCCACAACACAGGCCTGTGGCCTAACTAGGAATCAAACTGGCAACCTTTCAGTTTGTGGGGAAATGCCCAGCCCATTGACCCACATTAGGCCGGGCTCACATGGCATTTTAAAGAACCCCAAAGTAGTGCTCCAGTTCACAGCCCAGTGACATTTTATATGCTGGTCCGGTTCCTCTTGTGTTTTCCGCAAAAACCTACATCCATGAACTAATTTTAATGTATCCAGTCAGCCCAATGGGGCCTTATGAAGCTGTTTCTTTTCAATAACTAGTTGCTCCAACGGGAAGCTCCCTGGGATTGTGAGGACCTGGAACAGCCCCTGGCAGAAAGTGTGCCTCTTCCTGACCTGTGGATGCTGTTGTCACGCACAGACTTCCACTCCTAAGAGTATTGAGAAGTAACCATTTCCTAGCCCACTGTGAGGGGAACCAGGCGCCGACTGCACAAATGGCATCTGGCTTTGTTTGAACAGTCTGAGTGCAGGCTCTTGCCCGCGCTTTTCGTTAGTTCTTAGACGGACGGCAGGGCGCCTTTTAAATGAAGCACATTTAGGCTCTGCGCTAGCTTCGGGAGTGTGGCCGTGCTACCCTTATATTCTAAATAGCATAATTGTTCATTAAATAAATGGTTTATTAGGCACTTTTATAGAATAAGCAAATGAAAAAATTGAAGTTTTTGTACATTGAGTTTTCATATGATTTTACAGACCACAGAAGCTTCACCTTTTCATTTCTGGCCCGGCGCGTGGCAGGGAATTGTCACGAGTGCCTTGTGGATGGTTTCGTGTAGGGTTTACTGTGCTCTTTAGTCCCTACGGCCTGAAGCAGCTATGCCGCATTCTGCCCCAAAGCCCACCTTTATTTCCTTTTCAAGAACCTTATCTAAGGAAAAATATTGGACAAGCATGCAGAAATGACCCAAGATGAATTTGGTTCTGAAATACACACTGAAATAAACCTAGTATATTTGAAAAAAAAAATTTTACCTTGACTGATTAGAGTCAGCAAATGCTAATTTGAAGGGGAGTGGTTTTTCCTTACTATACATCTATACATCTTTGTATTCTCAAGTGAGTCCTTTAAGGACAATGTTGGTTTTAAGAATGCCAAGTTTGGAGAAAAGCATGAGTTTTCTAGGACAGAAATTTGGTTTGGAATGATATTGGCACATTCTAATTCTTAAGGTGGGTAGTGGGTTGATTCGTATTTTATTCTTATGCTTTATAGCTTATATTTTTATATATCAATATATTTTATAAATATCTAATATTAATTTTTAAAAGAAGTAAACTAGATTGGGCATTTAGGGCCTAGTTTGTTTAGTTTATGTTCACTATTTCATTAATAAATTTATTAATATGTTTTTAAATGATGTGTGGTTTGAGCAGGATTAAAGATAAACAAAGTATTTTGTGTCCTTAGAATCTGCAAAGTACAAAACCTTTTTTTCCCTCCTGCCAGCCATGTAAAGAATAGTTTGATTTTCACTTTCATGATCTAAAATTGTTTTTGTTTTCAGGTGGTGGCCAGCAGAGATCTGCAATCCCAGGTCTGTGCCTCTGAACATCCAGGGCCTTAAGCATGACTTGGGGGACTTCCCTGTGTTCTTCTTCGGTTCTCATGACTACTATTGGGTGCACCAGGGCAGAGTGTTCCCTTATGTTGAAGGAGACAAAAGCTTTGCTGAGGGACAGACTAGTATCAACAAGACCTTCAAAAAAGGTAAGTTGCATGAATTTTACAGTGGCTCAAACCTAAGACTCCAGCGTTGATATCTCAAGATCTTCCAACTTGCATAGGACGTGTTAATGGTAGTGCGGAATTTTCACCAGGCTTTATGATCCAGCGTCCATCAGTTTCTAATCCCATTAGGCCCATACCAGGATCTAGTCAATTAGAAAAATACATTTTTAGTAGAGAGGCTCTGCTGTGTATGTGAAGGAGTTTCTTCAGTGATCTCTCCGCAGACACACGTAGATTTTTCTGAAACTAGTTTCCTTCATCACGTGAAGCTCCTTTACCACAGGAGAGTAGTAGAACTTCCCGTGAAGAGCAGTTTTTGAAACAAGTTACAAACAGTTTGGCCTTCTGGGTAAGAGTGAAATGAATTTAAATCTAGTGCAAGGAAAAGGCTTCTCTCGGGTTCAGTTGGGAGCCTCCGATCGATCGATCTTTGAAGCAGGGCCTCGCCTGCGGGGCAGCAGTTGGGCAGAGCGGCTTTCAGCCAGGAGTGAGTCATATCCTATTTCAGTGTTACTCTACCCTAGTGGGAAGTGGTTATTTCCAGAGGGTGATTTTAAAAAGGAAACCTCTGGCCAGATTCAGTGCATTGGGAAGGCAGTGTAAAACTAATGATTTTGTTTGTTTTCTGGCATTTACATACTTTGTTTGGTCTTACTGGCAGCTCTGGAAGAAGCTGCAAAACGTTTCCAGGAACTGAAAGCACAAAGAGAAAGTAAAGAAGCACTAGAGATTGAAAAAAACTCAAGAAAACCTCCTCCTTACAAACACATCAAAGTGAGTCTTTACCCATGAAAACGCTGCTGTTTGACAGGCAGGATGAGATGCAGTGCTCACTTAGTAGTTAGAAGGCCCTTTGTGACTTGTGGAGACTTTTGCTCATCATCACCCAATCTCCTGCAAAACAAACAGCTCTTTTGGCAGTGCCCACATGCGATGGGAGGCGGGAGCGCAGGGGAGCTGGGCGCGGGCGCGGGCGCAGCGGCGGCGTGTGCTGTGAGGCTGAGGTCTTCGATGAGCCCCTCCAGCACCTGGGAGCCGTGGCCTGTTCCTGCTCCGCCAGGTTTTCTGCAGTCAAGTGAGAACAAAGATAGTCGCCCCTTTTGTCCAGACAGCCCACGCTTGCTTTCAGCTGTGAAATTCCCATCAACTAGCAGACGGAGAAGTATACAGGACAGATAAATGAGGATTCTCATCCGTTTTTGGTATTTTTGTTAACTGAGGAGCGGCAGTTGTTATTCTTAGATTATGCATGGGGAAATTACAATTAAGAAAAAGAGCCTTCCTCACAGTCGCACTGCAAGTCAGCAGCAGAGCGAAGAACAGCATGGATGTTTCTGACGTTCCTGTTTAAATTCCTCCCTCTCATTTGTGGTTTTGTTCTCTAGGCCAACAAAGTAATAGGGAAGGTGCAGATCCAGGTGGCAGACCTGTCAGAGATCCCCCGCTGTAACTGCAAGCCCGCCGACGAGAACCCTTGCGGCCTGGACTCGGAGTGCCTGAACCGCATGCTGCAGTACGAGTGCCACCCGCAGGTGTGCCCCGCCGGGGACCGCTGCCAGAACCAGTGCTTCACGAAGAGGCTCTACCCTGACGCGGAAATCATCAAAACGGAGCGGAGAGGCTGGGGCCTCAGGACCAAGAGGAGCATTAAGAAGGTAGCACGGGAGGGGCCCTGACGACCTGTGCCTCCTACAGATGCTGCAGCAGGGACGAAAAATGTAGGGCTTGTGGCAGAATCTTGGAACTTCCCAAGTTAAGAGTTAGGCACTTCTTAAAGCAAAGAGGAAGCTATAGGAAGTGGTAGTAATAAAAAGCCCATAAACTTTGGTTGTCTTCTGATTAGTCATAAAAAGGAGAAGGAACATTGGTCATCCTCTGTTTGAAGTATTTTTTACTCCTTAAGCAAAATATATTTAAAAGACCTAATAAAGGCAAAATAGTAAAATTAAAAGTGCACTGGATAGAAACTAGCAAACCCAGGGCTTGGCTCTAACATTGTAACTCATTAGCCGTGAAACCACAGGCAAATCAGGCAACCTCCCTGAGCCCTGGTTTCCTTGGCTCTAAAACAGACAGTGACCCCACCCTGCACATCTAAGGGTTGTTGCTAGTCTCAAATTAGATTCTATATGCAAAAGCAGCTGAAAAAGTTGAGTCCTTTGAGGCAATTTTTCAAAGCAGTCTCTTTAACACAAGGAATGCATGTCCGTTGGAGAAAAAGTTAGAAATGCATATAACTCAAAAAAGAAAAATTAAAATCACCAGTATATCCTACTATTCAAACAGTGGTTCTCACACTTTAGAGATTCTGAGAATCCCCTGAGGTCCTTGTTAAAAGCAGTGTCCCTGTCGCACCTGGGACAGTAAAGCCTGCATCGTGTAACCAGCCCTCGCCTCCCATCTCCCGCCCCTCCCCCCGTTGCCAAGTGTCGGGTATAGAACTTACACCCTTCACATGTTTTTACCTTTTAAAAAGTCACCTTTGTGATTAAAAACAAAAACAAAACCTTATAATGTAGTAAAGAAAATCAGTGCAAAAAAGATAAAGAGTGAAATTCCTCCTTCATCCCTTCAATTCTTGGTCTCCTCACCAGAGATGGCTATTGTTAATAGGTTGCTCTTTACTTTTAGAACTTTTTCTGTGCAGTTATAAACATTAACACATATACAAATACCTAGTCACATATTCTTATTTGTAGGGTTTTTAAAATAAATATGATCATATTTTTCCCACTTAACATGTCATAAATATATCTTTATAGCTATACATAGAGATTTTACCTCATTCTTTTTAACAGTGTCACTGCATTCAATAGTAAAATGTACCAAATTACATACCATAATTCATATAACCTATTTTCCAATATATGTATATATTTTAAAATTCTGTAGTGAAGTTTTTTTTTAAGATTTTATTTATTTTTGTGGGGGGGAAGGAGGGAGAAAGAACGGGAGAGAAACATCAGTGTGAGAGAGAGACAGCAGTCGGTTGCCTCTCATAGACACCCCACTGGCAGACCGAACCTGTGCCCCAGGCACGGGCCGGCTGGGAATTGAACTAAAGACCTTTCACTTGGCGGGACGCCGCCCAGCCAACCGAGCCACACCAGTCAGGGCCGTAGTGAACATTCTTGGTCACTCGTCTTCATGCACATCTCTCTAGGTTACGTTGTTTGAGATGAAACTCATTTATTCAGCACATACTTGGTAAGCTGCTTCTCTGTGCCAGGTACTATTCTGGGTACTAAGAAAAACAGGAGTGAACAAGACACATTTGTGGATGTGCTGCAGGCGGATAGTGAACAGATAGCTAATGTTGAACACCACCAAATGCTGCAGAGAAAATGAAAGCTGTCAGAGGGGAGAGCTGGTGACGGGTTCCTACTTTAAATTGATGGGTTAAGGAAGGACTGAGGTGCCGTTTGACTGGAATGTGTGAGTGAGAAGGTCAGGAGGTCCCTATGGAGAAGAGCATTGCAGACTGAAGAAGAGCAGCACCGAGGCCCTAGCATAGGGAACAGCAGGCGAGCCAGTGCGCCTGGGGAGGAGTAAGGGGAGGGCTGGGCGGGGCCAGGTCCTGTGGGCCTTAGAGACCACAGGATGGGGAATTTCTGGAGCATTTTAGGAGGGAGTGACTTGATCTGGGACTTGATGTGTTCATTCTCTATTGTTGCATAACAGTATTACCACAGACTTGGCAACCTGACGCGTAACACACAGTCTATTACCGCAGTTTCTGAGGGTCAGGAGCCCGTCTGGGCAGCGCTTACCTGGTCCTCTCACAAGGCCGCAGTCAGGGTGCGGCCGGCGCAGCGTGCCATCCGTGTGCCTCTGCATGGGAAGGACCTGCCTCCCAGCCCGCAGGCCTCTTGGCAGAATTCTGTCCTTTGCAGCTCTAAATCTGAGAGCTTCAGGTGTGTTCGGTTTCATTTGTGGTGTCATTTCGTTGTTCTTAGCTTCCAGAGGCCACCTGCAATTCCTTGACAAATGGGGTTCCCCAGCATGGCCGCTTGCTTCCTTACAGCCAGCAGGAGAGAAAGATACTCCGGCAAGATGTGTGCTGAGGTCACAATTTAACAGACTCATAGAACCATATATATCCTGTCACCTCTGTCATACTGTGTTGCAAGGCACAGGTCCTGCTCGCTCAAGAGAAGATCACACAACCATGTGAACACCAGGAGGCAGGGATCATGGGGGGCCGCCTTCAGAGTCAGGTTCCGCACTTGGGTTTCAGAAGAATAACTTCTGACCGCAGTGTGGAGAGTTTATGGTAACGGGGAAAGGGACAAACAGGAGACCATTACAGCCCAGGAGAGATGGCGGTGGCATGGACTACTATGGTGGTAGCTGAGCAGGAGGGAGAGGGTGGATTTCTGATGTCCTGAAGGTAGAACCAGTTAGATTTGGTAATGCATTGGATATGTGTATTGGGTTGCTTGGTCAAAGGCCTTCCACATGTAAATGTTGTTATATGATACAAAATATTTAGTGTCACTTTAATGCCGTGCGTATCACACATACAAATTTTTGCCTGTGATTTTAGGGGCATGTTTGGAGACATCCTGAAAACTGTCTAGTTTAATATCTTGTTAACACCTTTTAATAGTAATGGCATTCATTCTGCAGTGTCTATTCTAAGTTATTAAATAATGACATACAGTTGACTCTTGAATACCGCAGAGGTTAGGGATACTGACCCCTCACACACAGTCGGAAATTCACACAAAACTTTTGACTCGCCTGAAACTGGTTGGTTCCAGGACCCCTGGCAAACACCGAAGTCTGAGGATGTCCACATACCCTAAATAAAATGGTGCATCCGGGCGTATGCCAGCCCTCCGTCTGTGCGCTCCCAGCTGCAGACAGGAAACCGTGCAGGTGCTTACTGAAAAAACCCATGTATGAGTGGACTGTGCATTTCAGCCCTGTGTTGTTCCAGAGTCAAGTAGAATCAACAGAAAAGAAAATATGATCAGGATTATCCTGCCCTTTAGCATTTGAGGAATTGCTAATGTGAGACCATTGATCTTTTACAAAATAGCTAGAAATACACAGTCACTGAAAAGCATAATTGTAAAGACTTTGTAGCAACATGGCAAAGACTCTGGCGCATTTAGGGAGCAGAAGCCAAAGAGGAAATTGAGGGTACCAGTCAGGCGTGGCGCCTCCTGTCGTAGGGCAGTCTCTTTCTTAGAAGTTAAAAAATCTGTATAATATACTGAATTATACCCTGTCTTTTTGCCACACTTTTTAAGGACAGATTTCTAGCTTTTTTAAGGTCTTTATTTTTGTTCACAATTGAATTCACAGTTAGTGGTTTTCAGTTAAATAGGCAACTCTTTGAGGCTCACAGTTGTGACTTTGGACATCTACAATATGTCTCTTACAGAATAGCTGGAAATATTTATTCACAGTGGTATATCAAGTTTATGAGACATGCATTCCTCATGTTTGATATCAGCACTTTAATTTTTCTATATTCACTCATTTTTATAGAATAATACATACCATAATAAATGGTTCTCAGGCTTTTAAAGCCACAGAACCATTTCTTCATATGAAATCCTAACCATGAATCCAGTATGTGGGAAAGTTGAAGCAGAGCTGATTTGGTTGAAATTCTGCTGTACAGGGTTCCATTAAGGAAAATTTGCCATAAAGCAGGTAGGTCCAGCAGTCCCCCCCTTTTCTGCAGTTTCAGTTACCCACAGCAAGTCCCAGTCAGAAAATAGTAAATGGAAAATTCTAGAAACAAACAATCCGTTGATTTTACATTGTGCGCCCTCCTGAGTGATGGGACGCAGTCTCACGCCACCCCGCCCTGTGTCTCCTGGTTGTGAATCATCCCTTGGTCCAGCGGCCCGCACTGCGCGCTGTCCCCGCCTGTTGGGCAGCCGGCGGCCGGCTCAGTTGTCGGAGTGGGGATCACAGTGCTTGTGCTCCAGTCACCCTTGTTTTACTTAACAGTGGCCCCAAAGCACAAGAGAAGTGATGCTGGCAATTGAGACTTGATGCCACAGAGAAGCCGTAAAGGGCTTCCTTTAAGTGAGAAAGTGAAAGTTCTCAACTTCATGGGGCATTTTATCATTTTGCCTCATCATAACAAGGGTGAGTATAGTACAGTAAGATATTTTGGGAGGCCATATTCCTGTAACTTTTATTAGAGTATATTGTTAATTGTTCTATCAGTTGTTTTTGTTCATCTCTAATTTATCAGTTAAACTTTATCATAGGTAGGTAGGTATGTATGTATAGGAAAAAATGCAGTATGTGCCGAATTCGGCACTATCTGCCGTTTCAGGCATTGGAGGAGGGTCTTGACACGCATCCTCTGTAGTGGACAAGAGGGACACCACTGTGTAGTAATACTAGGTGGCTCCCAACTGAGAGAGCAATGAAATCTTCTACCGTATAATAGTGCGAAGTGTTTAGCTTATGCTAAAGTCCAAACTGGATGCAAGGAAAGCTGTTTAAGCCTGACAATGCATCCTAGTGCATAGTCTTTCGTGAGAAAGGACTAGGAGGGAAAAGGCGAGGACAAAAACAGCTGTTATGATGCTGCAGTTATAGGTGAAATGGTTCTTTGTCGTAGCTTGTACAGTCAGTAAACATGGGAGGAAAAGCCGCAGGCCCGCGTCTGCGGCGGCCGCCCCCGCTGAGACCAGGCCGCGGCGCCGGGTCGTCGCCGCGGCCAAGGGACGCGGCTGTGCGGGGCGTTGGCTCCTTCCTGCCGGTTTGACCTGGTAACTTCTTTTATTACGGAAGTTGTAGTCTTTTATTTTAAATATTTTAAAGAACACTGGCTCATGTTCTTAATGATTTACCAAAATCAAAAAACCGTGCTGCAGCACCTCCCTTGAGATGAGGGCTGTGAGCGCGGCTACTGCCTGGGCCGGGCCGGGGCTGGGCCGGGGCCGGGGCGGAAGTCTGAGAAAACAGCACGCAAATGCATTTTTATTTATTTCCCAGGGCGCTTCTTTTTCTCAAAAATGTATAAGTAAGGCTCATAAATCCTATAGATAATGCTGCTGTTCTAGATCAAATCACCCGTGCTTTTAAGGTGAAAGGGTGGATGGTTATGCATTTAGAAACAAAGCGTTGAGTGCACTGTATCTCCCCTTATTTAAGAGGCACTGACGGCTGCCTGCACACTGGTTAAGACAGCGGGATGGGAAACAGGGGCAGTGCCATCTGCGAGCACGCCAGCCAGGGCAGGAGAAGCTGAATGCCACGCGCTGGGGGTGAGGCGCTGCCGGGCCGCACAGCCGCCGTCTGAAGGAACGGGCTGTTGACGCGCTCAGCCTGGACGCAGCTCAAGGGAGTGAGGCTGAGGTGGTGGCTTTTGTTTTGTCTTAACAAGCCAATCTCAAAAGATGACATACTGTGTGATTCCGTTTACAGGATTTTCTCAGAATGACAGAATTGCAGAAATGGAGAACAGGTCACGGGGGGCGGGGCGGAGGAGGGATGGCGCGGCCGCGGTTATGAAGGACAAGGACGGGGGTCTCGGTGGCGTAGGGGCAGTTCTGTGTCTGGGCTGTGGCGGTCACACCATCCCACACCTGAGGGAAGTCCACAGAACCACCACACGCATGCGAATGAGTGCGTGCAAAATTGGTAAAATCCGAATAAAGTTTGTACATGGCGCCACTGTCTGTTTTCTTGTTTTAAGTAGTTGCATGGAGTGTTACCATTAGAGAAAACCGAGTGAGGAGTCCACGGAGCCTCTCTGCGCTATTTTTGCTCCTTTCCATGAATATCTATAATTAGTTTGAAATAAAAAGTTATCCAAAAAAAGGCTCATTTGTTTCTGAGTCAGGTCTATGCCAAGTCTTACCCCCAAAGCTACAAACTAGTCTGTACAGTACAGCGTCAAGGCTCGAGGTAGCTTTAGTCCCAGATCCCGATGATGTACCAGAATGGTGTCACTCGGGCTGTGGAGATAATATTGTCAGCGGGGGAAAAAAAAGAGACAAGCGTATTACTGCTTTTGAGGCACTGGTGCAAGAAAAGTAGTTCCGCCTGAATGCTCATGAATAACAGCAGCAATTTGTTTCTAGGGTTGAAGTTGTATTTCTATGGTTCTTTTTGGTTAATTCTCTTGCGTTTTGCATGTCATGTAAGGATTGCATTCTAATACAGTACATCGATTTCACACTTATACATTGCATGTTTCTCTGCAGGGTGAATTTGTAAATGAATATGTTGGCGAATTAATTGATGAAGAAGAATGCAGATTGCGAATCAAGCGAGCTCACGAGAACAGTGTAACTAATTTTTATATGTTAACTGTTACCAAGGTAAAATTGTGTTTGTTTTTTTTTTGTAAGAAAAGAGGACTTTTTGTTTTCGTTTTCATGGTCTTAACATTGAATACAGTTTCCCCTAGTTTGATTTCTTTCAGGCAAAGTATATTGGTTAGTGGTAGCCAGCGTGCGCCCCACTATAATGCACTAGTTATACCAGAGTGCGGAAGGCACGCTGACTGAAGCCTGGCGCGCGCCCTGTGAGGCCGCCGTGCGTGTGGCAGTGAACCAGGGCGGGCTTGCCATTCCTGCATTTTAGTCCCTGCTCTTCCCAGTCACTGCAAGACTTGGCCCGCAGTTCCTTTATAGGGGAGAGAATGAGCTCTTAATTCTAAGTGAGAAACCACTCTTAAAGTTCTGGTGTAGCAAAAATTCTACTCTGGAAATTGTTCCGCACATTTCAACATTTCTTTAATGAATTAGGAGAAATGGATGCTGTCATAAGAGAAAGGACAGTGAAACTGCTAGTTTCATACATGCAGTTACGAGTCCTGTCGCTGCACATTATGTCCATTATCTCGTTTAATTTCTTCAGCAGTCCTCTGATTTGCAGAGGACAGGAAACGGAGGTCCAGCCATGGTAAGTGATGTGTTGAACACCTTGTTACAGGTTAAGGAAGAGCCAAGGTTAGTGCCCATGCTTCCTGTGTTCCAGGCCATCTCTAAAACCGTTTCATAATGTCATTAAAGTAAGAACTAGAGGTCATGTAAAAAGAGTATTATTTTAGCTTATATGTCATTGTTTGAAAGTTTTACTTTTATGAACGTATATTTCACAAACATAAAATGCCATTTATTTACGATTGCCGACTGGCTCCTTGCACCCCGTACTCCCTGCCACGGACCCCTCCTCCCAGCCGTCTTTACCGCGCTTGGGAGGCCCCATCCACCTGAGAATCCAGATTACCAGAACTTAAAATTAGCGACCAAATGCTGATCTGTACTGTACTTTGGACTTTAAATAAAAATAGAACAAATCGAAAACTGCTATCTTTGTGCAGTGGTAGTATCATAACCAGTGAGCTTTATCCAAGGCACACTTATTGGGGAAAAAAGAAAAGAAAAATCCTCCTAGAGAGTACATCCTTTCCATCAGTCAAATCTGCAAGTCTTCATTCAGAAGCCAGATTTCTCATTTTTCCTACTTGTTTTTTACAGCCTGAACTCAGCCCTATTCTACTTTTTGCTTCTTGCTCAGAGCAGAAAAAGAAGGCTGGCAGTGAAACACCATAGTTCCCATCACAAGTAGCTATCTGAACCCAGAGCTCTCTAATCAGAAATGCTTTAAAAAATAAAAAAAAAAAATTAATACTTTTCCTAAACTGATGGCCAGCTAAGTCTTCTAAGCAGCATTATTCTATGATCTGCTTGTTCCCAGAAACAGACTTTAAAAAAAAAAAAAACTATTCCACTTTATCTTGATTGTATTGACTTAAAAGTCATCTCATAAAGTACAGAACTTGATAAATTGTACAGAGAGCACCACATTTTCAGATTTGTCAGTTGTCACACATTAGCTGGTAGCAAACTGTTGCTGCCTGTGGCTCTTGACTGAGTTGGATGTTTGTAAGATAGACTTATGTTTCATTTTATGTCAAAGGTGTCTTTCATCTCTTCTCTTTCTGAAGGACCGTATAATTGATGCTGGCCCAAAAGGAAATTACTCCCGCTTCATGAACCACAGTTGCAATCCAAACTGTGAAACACAAAAATGGACAGTGAACGGAGATGTTCGAGTTGGACTTTTTGCTCTTTGTGATATTCCTGCAGGTAAAAATAGTGACTTGCTCCCCTTGCCCCCTCCCTAAGAAGCAAGTATATCCTTTGAAAGTGGGACATTCTTTAAGGTTTGATGCTCAAATATTTATTCAAATAAGATAGTTATATTTAGAATTGTTATCTGTCAATAAGTAAAAATCTCTATCCTGAAAAAGGGAGCTTAGCAAGAGCCTTTCGGTAAGAGATAGAATTCAGCGTATCCATGATTCTACTGAATCAGTTCACCAGGTTACTGCTGTCTATATATTGTAACCAGATGGTTAAGCTTTTGCTTTCTTTTTTTTAAAGTATCGAAAGCCTGTGTTAACATCAGCTGGTTTCTTGGTTTGTTTGTTGGAGGGTTTGTTGTTTTAGTATGGAAAATCAATCTGTTTCAAATTAGACATAAAAGCTTCTGAAGCCAGAGTTACTGCTTTCATTTTTCCTTACCCATCCAGCATCTTAACAGCAAAGCTTAGTTTCTTCTTTGTTACATTTGTAGAAAAATGGATGAGAAGAGAAACACTGTAGCTAAAAGATTCAAATTGTATTCTAGACTCCCTGTGGATTGTTCAAGCCCAACTAAAAGAAAGCTGGGGCCTCCTAGTTTGAATCACTGGATCTTTGCTGTATATAGTAAACCTGCACTTTGAACTCTTTTCTGGAAAAGAGACATTAATTAATAAAGTAATAAGGCATTAAATACTGGAAGCAACATGGTTGTCATAATTCCACGGTCAAATTGTATACATTTAGAAACTAATATAAATTAGCTTTAGTAAAGAGAGCGAAACTAGAACCCATTTTCTGTAAGCAGAGATTTCAGAGTCTTTGTCTCTATTACCCAGTTTTTGACCACTTCAGTGAAAAGGATATGATGATTTTTGTAGCATGTTTATTTTTGCTTCAAGCATTGGTGGATGGAGATGTTTTCCTGTAGTTATTTTTTTCCTTTTCTCTTTTTCCCATCACTGTCTTCAGTGTAGAAGATGAAGCCGGGGGGTGGGGGGAAGGCGGCGGTTCCTGTCAGACTCGTGTCTGTCTCTCTTCATTATGAGAATGTGTCTGACAGCATTTCTCTTCCCCTTGACTTGAGTGTGAATACTTTTTTCTCTTACGTCCTTAGGGATGGAGTTAACTTTTAATTATAACCTGGATTGTCTGGGCAATGGCAGAACGGAGTGCCACTGCGGGGCGGATAACTGCAGCGGTTTCCTCGGAGTGCGGCCAAAGGTCAGTTGTGCAGGCAGGGCCCCGAGCCACCGGGAGCGAGTGCGGGGCTGCTGCTGAGGCCCGTTTGTGGCATCTCAGGAAACGCTGGCTGATGGGGACCTGGTTTAGTTTGCAGACCTTCACCTGAGTTGAGACTCTGACTTTCTAATGAAGCATATCTTAGTGAGATCGGTTAGGTTCTGAAAATGTGTATTTCTGATAGAATTCGAAGTTAGAAAATTCTTTTTGAACTTTTTAGAAATTCACGGTATACTCAAAACCATTGAATTATACATATTAAAATGGTGACTTTAAAGGTATGTGAATTGTATCTCATTGTCCTTGCAGTTTAAAACAAAACAAAAACCCCTATTCAGAGATCAATGAAAATGAAGTCTTGTTGTTACTGTAACAATGAAACAATGAAACAGGATGAGTCCTCCTGGTGTTTTTAGTTTGTTGAACAACAGATGAATTTAAATGGATGGGTTGTAGGATTATCCCTCCCCTTGAAAGCCTCTTATCCTGTGATCATTAATACTGTGATCCTTTCTTCCTGCCAGTCGGCGTGCGTGTCAACAACCGAAGAAAGGGCAAAAAATGCTAAGTTAAAGCAGAAGAGACGAAAAATCAAAACAGAACCAAAGCAGATGCATGAAGATTACTGTTTTAAGTGTGGAGATGGTGGAGAGCTGGTCATGTGTGACAAAAAAGACTGTCCCAAAGCATACCACCTCCTATGCCTTAACCTGACTCAGCCACCATATGGTAAGCTAGACCTTTAAGCCCCTTTCTCTGACTTGCATTTTTGTCAGCTGTGTATAACTCAGAACATATTCTACTCTTCTTAATGGAACCATGGAATAGGAATCATTGAATAGGACAAACAGCCATAGGAAACAAAAATTATTCTAGTGAAATTTTGTCTCGGGAGAATCAAGATGGCGGAGGAGTGAGTGGAAGTCACACTGACCTCCTCCCAGGACCAACCTGGAATTACAACTAAATTGTGGAGAAATCACCTGGAACAAACAACTGAACAAGAGCGAGAGAGGAGCCTTGTAACCTCGGACAGACAGAAGAACCGGCTTTAGCACAACCTGACCAGTAAGGAGTGCGGTACAGACCTGAGAAGGCTGGTCGGGCACCCACGGGCAGCAGCACCAGAAGGATATTAAAGTGGCCAGTTGGATCCCCCTGAGAAGCGCGGGGTCTAAACCATAAGCAGGGACTTCCAGCCTACAGCACCAGAGCCTAAAAAGTACACAGAAAACAGCCAGCTGCGAAAGTGGCAGGGATGCTCTTTGACAGAGATGGGCAGCCGAAGACACAAAGAGCCATTTAAAGGGCCAACACATAAATTTTTATTTGCAGCCACTTACCCTGGGCGCCAGCAAAGGAGGGGGGCAGAGTGGGCTAGAGATGCCTGAAGAGAGACTGGGGAAGGAGACTTTAGGGAGAGAACTGAGAAAGTAGCCAGCAGGATCCCAGTGCTGACTCCTCCCCGATAAGGCAGCAGCCATCTGGCTTAGGCAGACCGTTCCCCTGAGCAGCAGCAGCATGAGAGGGCCCAATAACCCCGCCCCCAGGAGGGACTCTGCCCCGCCCTGTGGTGTCTCTAAGCTGGCCTGGTGAGTGCAGAGTGACTAGATTAACAGCTGAAAGAGGCAGTCACAGACAGTAGATTCTTGGAAGTCTTGAACATACTGCCCAAGGTCAGACAGGGTCAACATCTGACATCATCCAGCAGAGGCAGATCCAGAAAGAAAAAACGATGGTCTTCTGCTATAGAAGTTCACACCACAAAGTCAGGAAATCAAGACAGATCAATCTAAGAAGCAGAATTAAAATAAAGAAGAGTCTCACGAATAATAGGTGTCACAGGAAGCACCACACAGGGCGCTCCTGGATCTGAGAGTTCCTGCCTAAGCCAGCTGAGGAGGGAGTGGGGCTCTGAATCTTGCAGAGCCCATCCCAGGGTTGTCACGAATGAGGGCAATAAACATGAGTTTTCGCAAACACTTCTCTGTTTGCCAGGAGAGGGGACATGGCTCTTCCCTGTAGTGGAGAAGGCCCAGAGCCCCCAGGTCCAAAGGCTTTTATTGAGAACCATATGCACAGGGGTACACAGCAAAGCTCATCAATCACTGTCAAAAGGCTATGTTTACAGAAAACAGATCATAGATAACAACTGAAGGAACACAAGAGATTTGCCTCAGATCAGGGTCTATGAATAACATAAATCTCCTTCCCAGTATGAGCTGATTATCACAGCTTTTGAGGGAGGAACAAAGCAAGCTTCAGAGAACCACCCGATCCAGTTTAGTGCTATACCTGCCTTTATTATTGTTTCAAGCCTAAGCCAAGTGGGCAGGACAGAGCTGCCAAGAGATAAGGAGACTTCTTTCTGATAGAATGAGGACTCCGGCCATATCAAAGCCAGGGGGTGAGGGTCTGTTGCCCTTTCTCTGTGTCCCCCAAGTTCTTCCCCGATGCCCTTGCGGCTGTGCCTGTCTTAGGTTGCCTCTGCCATCGAGCAGTCTTATCCGTCATTGACTAACGAGTCATCCCAGGGCCAAGCAGGGTGATGTGAGGGAGGCAGGGGCTGCGCCCCTGCCAGGGGCGCAGGTTTCATCCCTTCAGAGGCCTGTTTTCCCAAGGCCTCCTTGATTATTTCCAGCTTGGGGCCCTCTCACCTGTTGGCAGGGCAATAGTCCCTGAAACCAGACAGGGCATTTCCCAACAAATGAGAAGACAAAGAAACACCCCCCAGTGGAAGGGAAAGGAGGAATCCCCAGAATGAGAAATAAATGAAATAGAGGCAAGTAAACTATCAGACATTGAGTTCAAAACAATTGTGCTAAGGAAGCTCAATGAGCTAAGTGAGCTCAGAATTACAAAAAACTACAGGGAAACTACGAGGAACTTACTGCAAACTAAATCAGCATGAAAAAGGACATAGAAACTATCAATAAGAGACAAGAGGAAATGAAGAATACTATTTCTGAATTGAAGAGCACAGTAGAAGGAATCAAAAGCAGGCTAGATGAAGCAGAGGATCGAATCAGCGAGCTGGAAGATAAGGTAGAAAAAAGCTCTCAGAGCAAAAAAATGAACAAAGACTCAAAAAGAATGTAGAGGCATTGAGGGAAATGCAGGACAACCTGAAACATAATAATGTCCATATAATAGGGATACCAGAAGGAGAAGAAGAGGAGCAAGGGATAGAGAACCTGTTTGAAAAAGTAATGATGGAAAATTTTCCTATTTTGAGGAGAGAAAAAGTCACACAAGTCCAGGAAGCACAGAGTGTCCCATTCAAAAGGGACCCAATGAGGCCCACTCCAAGACACATCATCATTAAAATGGCAAATATCAAAGGCAAAGAGAGAATCCTAAAGGCAGCAAGGGAGAAAAAAGGTAGTAACATTAAAGGGAGCCCCAGTACAGCTAGCAGCTGACTTCTCAACAGAGACACTACAAGCCAGAAAAGAATGGCAAGAACTATTCCAAGTAATGAAAAGCAAAGGCCTACAACCAAGGCTGCTCTACCCAGCAAGGCTCTCAATTAAAATGGAAGGTGAAATAAGGAGTTTCCCTGAAAAAGAAGGCTTCAAGTATACATCTCCACCAAACCAGCATTGCAAAATATGCTAAAGGGACTGCTTTCAGAAGATGAAGAAAGAGTCTATGAATACCCAGTTCTTTTCACAGTCACCAATACTTCATATTACCACTATTTTTAATACTTATTAATCTGATTGTGACAATGATGTAATTTAATTATTATTTGTTGAAACTAAACCTGTTTTGCATATTTCTTATTTCTATTATTTTTTAAAACCTTTAAATGACTTTTTGGTATTCTTTATCTATTTTTTTTATTAAATGTTTGTAAAATTTTTGCCCTAAAAACAAAACAAAAAACTATTAACCCTTTTTCAGATGTGTTGCAAATACTTTCCTATTCTATTACTTGTCCTTTAACTTGTTTTATATGTATATTAACTATATTGTCTTAAATGTTTAATATAGTCGTATTGTCAATATTTTACTTTATAGCTTCTGGGTTTGAATATGTTACGTCAGGGTAAGGAAAATATTTTGTATTTTCTCCTAAAACTCCTTAGATATTGGTTTTTAAATCACCTGAATATTTTTTGTATAATGTGTGAAATAGGGCTCTGTATTCGTTTTATTTCAAGTAATAGTGGTCCATGAACCTTATTTGTTGAATAAGCCTTATTTTCCCCATCGATTTGAAATATCAGTTTAATCATATATCACATAGACAGATACACACATTTGTTTCTAGAATGCTTATTTCATTGACCTACTTGATTACTTCTGTGCTGGTGTCATGTTGTTTTAATTGCTGACACTTTAAAATGGATTTAAATTCTTTAATATTTTATAATGGATCTTGACATTTAAAAAAGTAAATAAATAAAATCAATCTGCATTTAAAAAAAAAAGAAAGAAAGAAGGAACTCCTACCTTTTGCAACATCACGGATGGAACTGGAGGATATTATGCTAAGTGAAATAAGCCAGTCAGTGAAAGACAAATACTATATGATCTCACCTATAAGTGTAATCTATTCAACAAAATAAACTAACAAACAAAATAAACCACAGGCATGGAAACATGGAGCAGACTGAAAGTGTCCCGAGGGGATGGGGAAGGAGGGCAATGGTGGAAAGGAGAAGGGACTAGACAAAGAACAGGTAGGAATGACCCATGGACATGGACAACAGAGTGGGAATTGACTGTGGGAGCAGGGGTTGGGGGTGAGATGGGTGGAGGAGGGTAAAGGGGGAAAAATTGAGACAACTGTAATAGAATAAACATGATTTTAAAAATTTTAAAAAGAAAAGTAAATAAAAATATTAAAAAAGAAAAAAAATTTGTCTAAAAAAAAGAAAGGCAAATTTGGGATACCTATGAGCCAGCAAGGATTGGTTCCTTCTTTATTATAACCATGGGTGAGTACTTTGGACAGTTATCTCACGTCTATACCTGACGGTGCACCCAGCCACCAATGTTTGGCTGAAATTTGGAGTTGTATTCAGTTGAATTTAGTCTCTAATCAGAGAAGGTGGGAACTTGAGTTTTTCATGGGTAATTAAGACAGGCACTAACTTGGGCTCTTTTCTCCCCCTGCCCCACCCCCAATTAGGAAAGTGGGAATGCCCGTGGCATCAGTGCAATGAGTGCAGCAGCACAGCTGTTTCCTTCTGCGAGTTCTGTCCACATTCCTTTTGTAAAGATCATGAAAAGGGAGCTCTGGTTCCCTCTGCACTAGAAGGCCGTCTCTGCTGCTCTGAACATGACCCCGCGTCTCCTGTGTCACCAGAATACTGGAGCAAGATCAAATGCAAATTGGAATCACAAGATCATGGAGAAGAAGTAAAAGAATAAATGGGTGGTGATTTCCTTTTTTTATTTTTATTTAAATGAAAAAAAAGAAGCAAAAAATACATCCATGATGCGTTCGTTAAGAGGAGAGACCATGGCAGTGCACACGCCCCCGCCATCAGTACTGCCTTATTCAGTGAGAACGGGGGCCTGCCCCTGCGGGCAGGAGCAGTTGGTGGTATCTGGTTTTTCTGTTTTGTTTTGTTGGTTCGAGGATTCTTTTGTGGAGGGTTCGATTCCCTTGGTCCTTTCTTGCCTTTTGTTGTGCTTCAATGCCTTTGCCGCTGGAAAAAGAAATGTCTTTGCTTTTAAAATAAGAGCAAGAAGAAAAGAAAGTTTGTTAATGAGATAAATGTAAAGTCTAGGATGTGTTCCTTGGGTGTAAAAAGCAAAAGTCGCCATCATTCCTTTATTTATTTTCATTTTTAAAATTTTTGAGAAGTGTCGTTCAGATAGTCTAATCAATGTGTGTGTGCGCGTGTGTATGTTTTGAGTAGGAATTGAAGAAACCCCTCTAGCAAAGGATATGATGATCTTTATATACCTCTTTACTGAACAGTAGGTAGGCTAACTTCTCTCTCCCCTCAAAATGTCTTTCATAGTCTTAGAGAAGCATTCTATGGAAGTATCGAATCTGGCCTCTTGAAAACAAACGCCTCAGTGGATTTTACCTCTGTGGTTTTTAAACCAGGTGGGCTTTGTGATATGATAAGTTTACATAAGAAAGGTATGTAATGTGGTTTTTGGTTTAGTTTTGGAGAAAAAAAAAAAGAAATGGGTATACTTACCAAGTCTGAAATGTTTTCCATTGACAGTGGGTATTTTTGATGAAGTGCGTTTGTGTGGACAGGAACGCATAGTGTTAGAAGGGTCATTCCTATTCCTTGACACACTGATAAAGGCAGCTAAAGGGAGATGAAAGGCACAGACCAAAAAAGTTGGACCAGATAAGCACCATTTTCTGTCACACCCTGGTCTGACTTAGAATTAAGGACGTTTTATTTTCTGTCCCTTCTTCCCTCTCCTAATCAAACATTCCCTATGTCAGTTTACCCCTCAGTCTTGTTTCCTGGTGAAACTACACAAACGAATTTGAATTGTATTTGAATAAGTCTTTTTTGGTTTAGACTGGGAGGGGCATCCCAAAGTTATATGTCAACAGTTTCTATTTAGTATTATCCGGTACTTAAAATCGCCCCCATTGAAGAAGGGAGGGGAAGGACTTCTTCTACAGGGTATAGCAGAGCCACACAAACACACTTCGCCTTTGGAAGCACTTAGGGAAATCTCCCAAGGAAGCAGTGTTAGTAAAAAGGGTTGGCTGAGATGCTTGAATCTCATAGATGCGAGTCTACCAAGATGTCTGCCCACAAAAATCTCTTGCTTTTAATGCTTAGGAATATGTATATTCCAGTATTCCTTGTATGAAATAATTAGTAATGTCAGACATTGTTGTAACACTGTACTAAGTAGAAGTCTAGAATTAGCTTGAATGAACGTTAACTTTCTCTGTGAACTTTGACTGCCTACAATTGCTGGTACCTGGTAGCATTTATTTTCCCTCAAGAAGTACCTAGTGACCTTGTGAAGGTAGGGAGGGTAGATGCTCTACCACATTCCTTCAGTTGTGTTATGTGTGTTCCGTTTTCTTATCAATCTAGAGCTCTTCTCTGGAAAAAAAGAAAAGCTGTTTTGTGCCTCCTTTTTTTTTTGTATGTAAATGTGCAATTATACTGGATTTTGTCTTGTAAAAAAAACAAAACAAAACAAAAAACACTACATTTCCTTTACTTGAGCTCCTAAACTGCCATTTGCCTGATTCTGGCAATTAATTCTGAGGTAACTTATTGGGCCTCCAATAATTCTGTTGATTAGATATGGTCCCAAAAGAAAGAGCAAAATGGAAAATGCTATACTTGTTACCGACTATAATTGCTACAGGTAACATGAATTATATCACCAAAACACTAAACTTTGCTCTTGAACAATTATATAGTTTGATGTCCTTTTAAAAAATAATTTAAGAAAATCTAGGTTTTATCATACTAAAACTTTATTTTATATATGTATATGATAAATGTTTGCTTTTTTAAACTTACTAACATGAAGGATTTCCTTTAATATTCGAAATGCAACTCTTGTTAAAACAGTATCCAACATGAAATCTTATCTCCTTAGTGCTATTTAATATCTGAGACTTTTATATGGTAAGCCAGGGTATATCCTATATACTACAAATACCTTAGGTTTAAGTATTTTTATGCAGTTTCTTCATTATGTCACATTTTGTTTGTATATCTATAACAGAGTTCTGCTGAGACTTCTTAATCTTGGGGGGAGGGTGGGCGGGTGTGTAATGACTAATAGGGTTGTTCTGCTATTTCAGAAATCAGGGTAGAAAACTAAATAGCTACCCACAGCTCTGGAGTCTTTGTCCACGAGTGTTCTTTCATGGTCTAAAAAGTGGTGTTAGTCATGCCAGTCAGTGTCAAGGAGCTCTTCTTACACCTTCATTGAGTCACTGTCAACCTATTTAATATATTGTAAAGTTGCAAGTTCTGGAAGCAGAAAAAGCAAGTTGTACTTTTAACTGTGCATAGTATACACGCACTGTGCTTGCCTGTGTTTTACCAATGAAATATTCCAAAAGACAGATTGCTCACTCACAGTCTGAGGTTGGTATTTGTTAACTCTTAAATCTGTATGTGGTCAGAGCATAAATGATTTTTATTCTTGTCCAAAAATGAAATAACTAAAAGCAGCATGAAATAATGGTGGTGTTTTTTTTTTTTAACCTCATGTTAATTCTTTGGAGGGAAAAGTGAATATAAGATTTTAGATAATCAGCAAAAGCATCAGAAATTGGATTGGTAACAACTAAAGATGAAATCCTGGGAAAGAGTTCGGGCACTGTGGAGTGGAGGGGGGGCCCGACCCTGGCCCGTGGGAGGAGTCGGGGAGCCGCCTTCAGCCAGCCCAGAAGGCGGGGAGCCCGTCCTTCCTGGACGGCCGAAGCAGCTGGGGGACGAGATTCGCTTTTTTAGTATTTAATCAGGGCTAGAATTAGGAGTGAGGTGGGGTTTGCTTTCACTTTTGTTTTTAACAAGTTCCCACTCTATCTTAATTCTCAAAAAATAATCTGGCCTAAGTTATGAAATAGGCTGAATTTTAGAATCATTGAAACTTGGATATTTCTGTGTGTTCAAGTCAGGAACATATCTCAAAACTAAATACTACTACTACTACTACTACTACTACTAATAATAACGGGGGCAAGTAAGGCTGCTCCCAGTTCCCCTCGGTCATTTCCAAATATTGGAAACATGCCTGTAAATAATGTTGTGAAATTCTGAGATAATCATGTAAAGGAGTCCTGGACAGGGCAGGCTGTTGGACAACTCTCTCCCCTGGCTCCTGAAGTGGAGTTCCCTTTTTGAGTAGTTTGTTGCATGGTGTACGTTCCAGTCAGGGTCAAACCCAGATCTGCATTCGGGAAACAGGTAGCTAGGCCAGTTACACAGAATGGACTCTCCGGACTACCCAGCATTTGTTGCTTGTCTTTCATTTCATTTTTAAATAAAAGCTCTTCCTCTAGCTATCACCTGAAAATCAAGGCGCTGCTACTTGGTGTGTCCCAACAGGATGAGAAAACAAGGTACTTTGGAGCCCTTGCAGCTTGGGAAGCTTACGTGTGATATACTTGCACATGAGGTACGACAACACTGGGAAGTTGCTTAATGGGCAGTGCAGATTAGGTTTTTGCATGACTTCTTACAAGGCTGATGCGTCTAGCCATCCCGAGTTGCCCAAGTGGCAGCAGACATGAAGTGATCATTCGGAATAATTTCCTTTGGCCTAGGGCCATGTAGAATTGGTCTCTGGTTATTTGTAAACAAAGAGGAGAACTTGCATCCATTTTCAGATAAGCTAGGGAATAGATAAAATTAGACAGCTCTGTCATGTATTAACAAATATTGAAAAGTTGGAAATTTGTATATACTGAAATCTACCAACTTTTATCTGGGGTGGGGCACAGGGGAAAAAGGGGGTTATAGTAGGGTAAGGGAGGGGAATGATGATGTTTACCACAGGTACGAAGTAGTCACTTTAACATTGAGACCTCTGCCTCATTGAATTCAGGTTTTTTAAGTACTTGAAATTCTTCAGATTCTCCTTATTTTAACAGTTATTTTAAAATTTATGAAGTAGAAAGCATTGTTTTGTATACTGTTTTGAAAATAGCCTAGTCTCTTACCCTCTTTCACTTGGGTTAAAGGTGAAGTTCTGCAGATGGGAGAGCATGTTCACAGTAGAATCTGATTTATTGTACACATTTGAGGGAGAGACTCCTGCATGGGATACCAGCAGCATTTTTATGAATATTTTCTATGTATGTTCTTTATTTTGTCATTTTGTCAACCCAAGCACCTCTTCTTTCCTTTTAATATATACCTGTGTAGGGGGAAAAAATTTTGCACTTATGTTACACTCCTGAAATGCTGGGTGTAACCTCTGTGTTTCAAAAACCATTTCCATTCCTTTTTCATCAGTCTGTTGCTTAAGTGGCAAGTTCAGGTGCTTGTGGCACATACGTTTGAAGGGGAAGGAGAAGAGAATTACCTGTCCTTAGGTAGCCTCTGAGGGTCATTAAGTTGCAAGTAAAAGGGAAATGATGAATAGTTGCCAAAGTCATTTATTTGGTCCTTAGTTTCCTTATGTGACATTACTGCGTCTGCATATTGATAAGAAAGCAGCCTCAGGTTCCAGTATTCCCCTTCTCTACCAGCCACAAACTTCTGATATGTGTGAATGGCTCTCAATATCCCTCACATTACCTGGATTAGGTATTTATAAGGTATTCCTGTCAGTTTGGAAGTGGACTGGATAAAATTTACTTTTACTTTGTTGGCATTTATATTGCTCTTTATTTTATTTGTGCTGTCACATACCCTATGTTAAAAAAGAAAATCATTATTGCCACCAACAACCAAGATGCTAAATGATGATTACAACTGGCTAATAATAATAAGATTCTTTTTATATACAAGGGTGTGTGCATAATTGGTATTGATATGAGAAATTTATTTGTACCCACTTGTGATATTGCACAACAGATACCTACAGATTTTGTTTTCATTTCCTTGTGATCTTTATGATAACAACCTTTGTAGATTGGTTATTTCTGTACTTTGTTTATCTATAATAAACTTTGTAGATCCTGTGAAATGTTATTTTGCCTAAATCACTTGAGACTTGAGTCTTTAATAACAAAGCATTGATATTCACTAAAGTCAATCTCTTTTGAGTTTCTGTGACTTGGCTAGAAGCTTGACACTAAGGGATTAGTGTTAATTTTCCCTGGGGGTGTTCCACTAGGGCATTACTGTATATTGACTTGATGTTGCCACACAGACTTCAAGATATATGATATTTTGGGGATTTTGTTGATTGACCTATGTTTCATTGCATAGTGTGAAATGTGTAAAGCTTGGTTAACCTGTATATAGATAGTTTATTGTTGACTAGTTACTGTGTATTTAGGATTGCCTGTAATATTTAAGCTGCTTACTGCTGTGTGTGCTGGTAGGAAGATATAATTTTCGTATATTATATTTACTGAGATGTTGCCTTTTTTATTTTACAAATACTTTGGAACTGAAATGTGTTTTGTTTTGTTTTGCTTCCATGAGGATTAATTTGGAAAGGTTTTTAATGACATTCCACCGATTTCCGATTTTGCTTGAGATTGACTTCAATAAATTGTCCTGTATGTTCCAAATTAAATATGTGGACTTGTTTATTGCCTGTAGTGTCTTGCTATAAGTCACTGGGCTAGAGGCCTTAATGGGAGGGAGGGGATCTGGCTGCGAGCTGCTTGACCCAGTATGTACACCCTCAGGCAGTGAGGCCTGCAGCACAGCAAGTCCTGAGTAAGCACGAAGTACATCTTTCTTCAAAATGCTGTGCTGCTAGTAAACTTGGACCAGAAAATGAAGCGTTTTTTTTTTTTGTGTTCGTGGAAGAAAGGTCCTTGGAGAGCATTGCTGCCTGCTTTGGTGTGTTATGAGAATATCCAAGCACTGGCTGGTTGACTAAGGACATGACCAGGGGATTGTCATCACCTTCAGCCCATTGGTTTATCAGACGGAAAAGCAACTGCTGCTGGGCAGGACAGGAGGAGCCAGCTCTTTGCCGACTGTACAGGGGAGCAGCACTGCTTGCGTTTCACTCCTTTTTCTGGGTGATGCTCGAAGAACACCGCAAAACTGCCACTCCTTCCTGGGTGGCTGGCCTGGCATTGAGGCGGCGGCCGACCGCCTTCCCGAAGTTCCCCGAGCGCCCGCCAGCGGGCGCTGGTGGCCGCCGAGATCTGGCCTCCGGGGGGCGGGGGCGCGGGGTGGCCTCGCTTCCTCGCAGCGGCCGCACACGTCAGCGCGTCTGCCGGGCCGGGCTGTGCAGCGGGATGAGCCGGACGAGGAAGGCAACGGCGGCTTTCGGGGCCGAACTGGGCGTGCGGATCGCACTGTTCGCGGTCTTTCTGTAAGCGGTTTGCGGGTAGGACCCCGGGACCCGACACCCTCTTGCCGGGGCGGGGCAGGGTAGGGCAGAAGGCCCCCCCACCCCCACCCCGCGGCCTCAAGCTCTCCGCGCCGCGCCTGCACCTCTCCGTCCCAAGGTCGGGTTCCTTCCTTGGGAAGCCGAGAGGAAGCTAACCGATGTGCTCTGCGCTTTTTTTGGTTTCCCTTTAGGGTAACAGAGCTTCTCCCCCCATTCCAGAGGCTCATCCAACCTGAGGAGATGTGGCTTTACCGGAATCCTTATGTGGAAGCCGAGTACTTCCCCACCAAGCCGATGTTTGTGCGTGGAGAACTAGCCCTTCCTTCTGCCCCTGGACGCTCATTGCTGAGCTCTAATGCGGGCAAGAGAAGGGGGTCATCCTGGCTCCCCCTTTGTCTCTGCAGGGAACTTACTATTCCCTTAGTTGCTGTGCTAAGATGTTACTTCCTGATGTTTAAGATCCAGATTTAGAGAGCAGGCGTCAGTGTTTTGGCTCAAGAGACGCCTTCTGTGAGCTGTTCCTTAGGATGGCTTGGGATGGCTGGTCACTTAGAGCAATGCTGTATTTATTGGCAGGACCGCCCCATGCCCAGTTAACCCCGCACGCTGAGATGCTAATTACATCTGTCCTGGGATAGGGCTGGGTCTGATCCGTGTCTGTCACTCCCATCCCCCTTCCCTGTAGGAGCTCCTTTGACAACTCATTTCGTGGTTGTGTTTGGGTTTTCACCTTTGACATGCTCTGGCTTAGGTCATTGCATTCCTCTCACCGCTGTCTTTGATCCTCCTGGCCAAATGTCTCAAGAAGGCAGACACCACAGACAGCAAACAAGCTTGCCTCGGTAAGAGCTAACCCTTTCTAGCTGGCGTCTTAGTGCCGCACTGAGAAGGCAGGGGTGGTGGCCTCAGGGTGTGGAGGCCTCTGAGGCCTGTGTTCCTGATGTAAGTGTCTGTCCCCTGCACCCCACTTGTTTACCTGAGACAGAAAAATAGCACCGTAGGACCTGGGCTAATGTCGCAGGTGTACCTAAACACCCTGGATTACGTGTGCCTCAGAAACGTCTTCAGCCTCGTATGGAAGTTCTCCCTGTACTGCAGGGGAGCAGTCGGTCAGTGAGGGCCAGAATTACTTCTCTCCTCCACTCTGGTTGGAGCCTGAGCATTCCTGCGTCTCAGAAAGGTCATGACTGCGGTCTTAATGAGACAGTGACCATACAGTTCCTCCTAGGCAGATGCCACTAACAGTAAGTTTCTTTGCTTTCCAGCTGCCAGCCTTGCCCTGGTTCTGAATGGTGTCTTTACCAACACAATAAAACTGATAGTAGGGAGGTAAGTGACAAGAGTTGGCCACCCTAGGGTCTGCCTCAGCGGGTCCCTCAGCTGGAGAGATGGCTGACAGCACTCCAGCACACACGTCTTTATCCTTTCTTCTTTATTCTCAGCCTGTTCTTTCTCTCTTTCCTACACCTCAATTCTGCAGGTGACACTTGGGTTCTTTTCTGCCCAAACAGCATTTCCCACTGACAGCCACGGCGGTCAGTGTCCTCTCCGGCATCCCCTGAAGCCGCACTGTGACGTAGTCTTTGCCCTAAAAAGTAATCACGTGCTGGAGAGGCTTTTTCCACCTGAATTAAATGTTGACCCTGGAAACAAGGCATTTCCTTTGGTGGTGACCTATCCTAATCCAGTCTCATTATGTTGCCTGAGACACCACTGACCAACAGTTAACAGGATTATGGATGTCTGACACACCGAAAAATATTTTCTGGAGTTGCAAATGACTGCTGTTCAGACCGTGCTTGTTTCTTCCAGGCCACGGCCGGACTTCTTCTACCGTTGCTTCCCTGATGGGCAAGCCCATTCTGACTTGACGTGCACTGGAGATGAGGACGTGGTGAATGAGGGCCGTAAGAGCTTCCCTAGTGGACATTCTTCCTGTATGCAACCGTGGGGGCTCTACTGTGCTTTTTGGGGATCACTGAATTTAATGTAGGAACATCTCACTACTCTTGTTCTTGTATCTAGAAATTGGACAGCCCCCGCCCTTTGTTTAAGGACCCCAAGATTTCAAAGCTTGAGCCTCAAATATTAGGGTAAATATTTAAGAATAGTTTACTACCTTCATGAGATTATTGTATTATTTGCTAGATCCCACAATCCTGTACTAGTCATAAAAAAATTAACCGTTATTGACACTATATGTCAGATGTTTTAGAAAGCATTTTAGATTCTTACCTCGTCTGACACTGTACTAGCACAAGTGGGTACTGTTATTTTTGTGATTCCCATGTATACATGAGAAAATTTAAGGCATTGAGAAATTAAGTAACCTGCCCAAAGTCATATCACTAGTATTCCAAAAACTATTCTTAGGGTAAATATTAGCTTTATGACACAAAATAAAGTCCTTTACTTTTCCTTTTGTTTCATCTCCCTTATAATCAGTGATCTACTCCAGAAGTATACAAAAAAGGGATAAAACACGTTCATGTCCTCTGGCTGCCTATTAGCAGATTAGTGAGGTAGATTCTTTTAAAACACATACACTTACAAGTTTTTCCTCTTCTAGTTGCATTTGCTGGTCTGGCCTTTGCTTCCTTCTACCTGGCGGGGAAGTTACATTGCTTCACACCACAAGGCCGTGGGAAATCTTGGAGGTTCTGTGCCTTTCTCTCACCTCTGCTTTTTGCAACTGTGATTGCACTGTCCCGTACCTGTGACTACAAGCATCACTGGCAAGGTAAGCAAGGTATTCATGCTATGGAAGCCTCCATGTATCACTCATCACTGTATCTCTAGCACTTGGCACAAAGGAGATGCTCACTAAGTATGTGTGAATAAGTAAACAAATGAGTATGGGGTGCTCTGGGCTCTGTACTAAGAGTATGCGTTTATAAGTATATGGAAGAATGGAAAGTGCACTGTTAACCTTTTAAAGAGATTAACAAGGAGGAATTGTCCTGATTTTTCCATTATTTTGAAGCATCATAAATTCAGAATAAACTATAAGAAAGTTTTTACAGCAAACCTCAAAGCTTGATTTACTTACTGTCTTAAGATAAAAGTCAAGTTCATTGTTGTGAGATTTTGTTCAGAAATAAAACTAAAATTCAAGAAAACATAAAATTGTGATTAAGTTATAATTATAATTAAACCAAAGAAATTTTAGTTGAATGATACAGTAAAATATCCAAATTACAGAGTATTTTCACAGACAACCCACAATTCAAAGAAAAACAAAACAAAAACAAAAACCTGAGTTTTGCCCAGAGAGCATTAGGAGACCTATTTTAAAGAATAAACATTTTTTTGACCTGGCTGGCGTGGCTCAGTGGATTGAGTGCAGGCCTGTGAACCAAAGGGTCACCAGTTCAGTTTCCAGCAAGTGCACATGCCTGGGTTACAGGCCAGGTCTCCAGTAGGGGGCGCGCGAGAGGCAACCACCCATTGATGTTTCTCTCCCTCTCTCCCTCCCTTCCCCTCTCTAAAAATAAATAAAATCTTTTTTTAAAAAAATAAACATTTTTTTATAAAGAGAGGCAACTACCGAAAAGCTTATTCCTTCCTCTAGAACACTTTAAATGGTGAAAAACAATGAACATTGTTAATAGCATGAAGTGAACCTGTTATTTTTCTGAATTAAAAAAATTTCAATCTATTATACTTGGAAAAAGTTTTCTTACATTTACTTAACTAAAGATGTGTTTTGATTTGGTATTTAGAGAACAATCTGATAAAGATGATCCAGTGTAAACTGTATGATGAAACTTAGCACTGAACTTGGGTTTTTGCAGCCCAAACAGAATAACCTGGAGGGCCAAGTTCTCTGTATTCTTGAGCTAACATGATTTAAGAGTCTATGATTAAGAGAAGACTCTCTCCTCTCTCCTCAGATGTGCTAGTTGGATCCATGATTGGCCTGACATTTGCCTATGTTTGCTACAGGCAGTATTACCCTCCTCTGACTGATGCTGAATGCCATCAGCCATTTCACAACAGAGCTGTACTTCCCACTGCACAGAAGTCTAGTGATCCTTATCATTTTGATATTTAGAAATTGGAGCTACCTCAATGGAGAATAGTAGGTGAATCAGACCCTCCAGTTGGGACTATGGTAAGATAAGAATTTCTTACCTTCTGACCTCCTAAGAAGTACAGTGAAGACATCAGCACTTCATTTTGCTCCCATATGATGATGCCATTTTGCCCCCGCTCACATGAATTTAGCATGAGGAGTCAAGGATCTTTTTTACTACTGTATGCCGCACATTTGGATAAAGAGATCTTTCAATAGTCCTCCAACAGCTTATGAATCTGCTCCATCAGATTGGTATCCCAAGATCTACAGTGTTTTTACATTTAATTTAAATGTCGTTCTTGGACGGATCTTGTCAAAGAAGCATTTACATAGCCCCACTTTATCTTAGGAGCTAGAGTTAATTATCAAAACTTCATTTTCCATACCTCAAAGTCTTAAAATTTAGGGGCATGACCAACTAAATCATATTGGTTTTGTTTACTTTCCCTGGTTACAATTCCATTAAGCCTTAAAGAGGAAAGTGTTTGTTTCTAGCTAATTTACCATTGTTTGCATATCTTATCCAGGCCCCCCCAGATAATACTATGGGCATAAATAATTTCTGAAATTACTAAGTAAAAAAAGAAATTGGTTAGGAGTATGATTTCAGTGCTAACAACTAGTAACTGTTTCTACCTCATCTCTCCTTAACTGAGCTCATGAGCTTCCTTCCCTCCCTTCATGACTGAAGATCTGCCCAAATGCATCAACTTTGCCAACTGGTTAAGGGAGGAAAGAGAAATTACAGATGTCATTATCTGGAGGACAACTATATCTTTTCTGTCCCTTCTTCACAATGAACTATAAGGAGCAATTACGGAATACCATCAGACCTGATGCTATAGTACCTGCAACTACCTTTCTCTTTATTGAGATTTTATGTTAAATATGACCTTGTCTTATGTATTTCTTCCTGTATCATTTTCAATGTATCTTTTTTCTTCAGTAAATGTGATATTCAAATAAAATGGTGAATGTGCTTTTTTAAAATACTTAAGTACTGTTCAAGAGCTGGAACATTTTCAGAGTAAAACACTGGTTTCCCCATCTGACATAAGCGATCCAACTACAGTAGCGGCAGTCACAGTATTTACCTTATAACTGTTGTGCTTTAAATTCTTTTTTTTTTTTTTAATTCTGAACTACCTCTATCTGCCTATGACGATGAAAACACCAGTAAAGGGACTTAAATATTAGTTCTTTGCCCACAACTTTTATTAATTTGTTTATTAATCCATAGGGAAAGAGAAAATGGTTATTGTACTGATATTCTTTATGATGAATGAACCAGTTAACGGTAGGCAATGGGTCATATGGTTTTATTTCAGTATTTACTAGAGTTTTAAATATCATGTAAAAAAACAGACATTTCAAAAAGTGCAGATTATTAGAAAGCAAATCACTGCTATTAATGTTTCCATGCAAACAATCTCTTTTGCTGAGATAGGCAATACCAGTTCTGGAGTTTGGAATATGTATAAAATGATACTCTACCAAAGTTTAAAGGTAGGCTTGGTCAAGAAATTGCACATGATAAAACTAAAATAGTGCAAATAATATAAACTAAAGTCCCTCCCATTGATGTGCCAAGAGAAATCAAGACTTAACTACAACAGGAGGGTATACACAGCCCACACAGGGGGAAACACCTGGAGTGCCCAGCTCAGGTGAACCGGGAGGCCATGCTCCTGGGCCCTACAGGACACCCCTGCAGTAGGCCACTCTACCAAACCCAGGAGACATAGCAGCTCTACCTGATACATAGAAACAAAACAAGGAAGCTACCAAAATGAGGAGACAAACATGGCCCAAATGAAAGAACAGATCACAACTCCAAAAAAAGACCCCCAAAAACTAAAAATGGAGACAAGCAATCTACTGGATGCAAAATTCAAAACACTAGTTATAAGGATGCTCAATAAACTTAGGGAAAGAGTAGATGAACTTAATGAGAGCTTCAACAGCATAAAAAAGGACATGGAAACCATAAAAAAGAACTAGTCAGAAATGAAGAATACACTAACTAAAATAAAGACTAATTTACAGGGAATCAACAGTAGAGCAGATGAAGCTGAGAATCAGATCAGCAATTTTGAATATAAGGAAGCAAAAAACACCCAATCAAAACAGCAAAAATAAGAAATTTTAAAAATGAGGGTGGTGTCAGGAGCCTCTGGGACAACTTCAAGCATACCAACATTCAATTCATAAGGGTGACAGGAGAAGAGAGAGCAAGAAATTGAAAACCTAGTTGAAAAAATGATGACGGAAAACTTCCCTAATCTGGTGAAAGAACTATACACACAACTCCAAAAAGCATAGAGAATCCCAAACAGGATGAACCCAAAGAGACCCACACCAAGACACATCATAATCAAAATGCAAAAGATTAAAGACAAAATCTTAAAAGCAGCAAGAGAAAAGCACTTAGTTACCTACAAGGGAGCCCCCATAAGACTGTCAGCTGATTTCTCAAACTTTTCAGGCGAGAAGGGATTGGCAAGAAACAGTCAAAGTGATGACAAGCAAGGACCTACAACCAAGATTAGTCTACCCAGCAAAGCTATCATTTAGAATCAAAGAACAGATAAAGAGCTTCCCAGACAAGAAAAAGCTAAAGGAGTTTATCACCACCAAACCAGTATTATATGAAATGTTAAAGGGCCTTCTTTAAGAAGATCAAAAATATGAATAAAATGGCAATAAATACATGTCTATCATCGATTGAATCTAAAAAACAAAATAAATAAGCAAGACAGAAACAGACTCATAGATACAGAGAATATTTTGATAGCTGCCAGATAGGAAGGGGTTTAGGGGCTGGGTGAAAAAGATGAAGGGATTAAGAAGTACAAATTGGTTGCTACAGAACAGCCATGGGGATGGATGTAAAGTACAGCATAGGGAATAGTAAATACTATTCTAATAACTATGTGTGGTGTCAGATGGGTACGAGGCTTATTGGGATGGTCATTTAGTTATGGAGTGTCTAGTCACTGGGTTGTACACCTGAAACTAATATTATATTGTATTTCAGGTGTAATTGAAAAATGAAAAATGATTTTTAAAGTGTATACAAGTAAATAAAGGATTTAAATCAAGCTTATTGGAGCTTCCAGGTTGAGGAATCAGGATCCTTTTACATGTCAACATACCAGGGCTCCAAAACTCCAAAACATCACCCTATGAACTTTCTTCATCTGGCTGTTCGCTGAACAAGAAATAAAGAAATCTGATCTTTCTGAAGATTTGTGGAAGTTGCAAAAAAAAAATAAAAAGGAAAAATGATTATGTTGTTAAGACCCGAGGCTTTGTTTGATGCTGACCAGAACCTAACTATCCTAAGGGCTTACTGATTAACAGAGTGGATGTGCAAAGAATGAGAGAGGCAGGGTTGGATGTTTTTATGTCGATAGTTGAATGCAGGAACAGCCTGCCACATGGGAGAGATGCATAAGACAACGTATGGGAAAAGAATGTGGAGCTTCCAGGCCCTCTCCTGGCATACCCCTCTCCCTGTACCTCTACCTGCTCACCAACCCAGAAGTCCTCCAAATCGAGTGAAACTTGCTACATTAGGTGTCATTTGACATCCATTTGGTCATCATTTTAAAATGTTTTGTTATTTCCAGCCAGAAAGACATCCATTGCCTTATTACAATGCATCATGATGAGAATGCTCATTGGTATTTTCTCCTAGGTGTTTCTTCACTTTTAGAATAATTGCTTTTTATTTTTAATGAAATATGTCCCATAAGATGCTAGTAAATTAAAATGTAAATATGGTGACTTCTTTGCTTAATTACAGCCAGGACAGAGATGACTGGTTTCATGATATGTAGTCCTTTGAAACAATTAGCCTTTACTGACTCAGCATATCTTTGTATATTAGAATACATATTGATTCAGCGACTAAGGAAGGAAAGTGAAACTAAGAGACCGTTTTGCTACCCACTTCAGCTTTCCTTATTCAGACATTGAAATTGGTAGATCCTAGGGTACTTAAGACTTTGTAACTAAGTCATTTGCCTTTGTTACTTTTAATAAAGCTATACAATTACATGAATAAATATTTCAGTTTCCAGAGGGGGAAAAAAAGTCAAGCTTATTACCCTGTGTGATATACAACCATGATAAATACCACAGGTGGACAGACAAGATATAAAGTTCTTTTACAGTTACCTGCCCCTCACCACCAAGAAACACTTCTTAGTACAAGCATTGCTTTATCTAGCTATTCAGAGTTATACTGTTCATCTTTGGTTATAAAAACTCACTTTTGCTTTTCCTTTGGTTTATTCCTAAATAGTACCAATTCTGCTAGAGCAAAAAGCTTCCATGTAATATATACTGAATGCTACTTAATTCTCAATCACCGTTATTTCAAACTCAGAATTTACATATAAAGAAAATAAAGTATTCAATTTATCTGAAACTACTTAGTGATTTAGTCAACATTAGCCTATAAGCAGATGGGCAAAGAAAGGCCAGGCTGTGACCTGTATCCCAACCTTACGTCTGCCTCCTTTACCTTTTCTCTCCAGAAAGAGATAAAGACCACTGCTCAAAGGGATGGCTTAAGTGAACGTTAACGTCAGTGCTTTTGATACCATGATACATTAAACACACACATACACCCCACAGCTTTCCTGCCTATGCCACAGTGCCTGTGGAAATCTGAGGGGAGTGTATCTCAAAGAAAACTGCAAAGACAATGACAAACTCTGACCAATGAGAAAGAAAATACAGCACAGTGGTGAGCAGATGCCTTGGGAAAAATTAGTCTACATTGACCCGTTTTCTTCCAGGTACATCTCATTTTGCATGTTCTGACACTCACTGCAGTGGCTGTTCCTTGGCTGTATAGGCATAAGTTTTTCTTTTAGAATAAGACACTTTCCCTCCTAGCCAACCCACCTGCTCAACCAACACTCCTGTGCCATAAGCATTTAAGTAAGCATTCTGGTTTACAGATACCTAAGGCAGTGACGTTTACAAAGTGGTTTTAAAGAGGACACACAATACTACCTTCAGCCAAGTTGATATCGCAGGTGACTTACGCAATTCTGTTTCACCATAAATGTACCCCTAAGTGGTTTTATTTATTCAAGGCTATATAATTTCAGGTTTGCCAGTCTTTAAAAAAGCTTTCCTCTCAACTTAAGAACATTAGCTACTATCAAGTAAGTCAGACTTCATCTAGATATATAACATCTTTGCTTTATAAAGATGCACCTAACGTGAACTAAATTGTCCACTTTATACTCTCAGGTGAGCTCAAACAGCTGTAAAAATAATGAAGATCATAGCATTAGTGATTCCTAGCAATAAACCTGTCAGTCAGCTGTAGAGAAAGTAAACAATACTTTCTTTAAGCTACATTTTAGTCTTTCTTCATACAGGATTTGTAAAAAAGACAAGAGGGCTCAAAAGAATGACTGCTCAACAGTTTTTTCCATTTCCACTTAAGACTTAGCTTTCAAATGCAGAGAACACTAATTTGAGATGAGTATACCCCAAGTGCCTGCTTCTAATAGTCCGCTTCCAATCTACAATATTTCCTAAAAAAAATTTCTACCAACCCAAATAAAACTGAAAACAGACAATGCCAATCTGACATAATAAGCAATAAAGTGTGGCACCTATATACTCTCATCAAAGAATTAAGGATACAAACTATGAAGAGAGAATGGTGAGGATATATATGAAGCCAGTGGTTAAAAAGTAACAGGGTGTTTTCCCTTTGTTTTTCCACTCACTTCCAAAACGGAAGATTATCTTCCAAAGCCCCAAATGGTGAGTAAGTGGAAGGCAACATGCAAGAAATGATGCAGCTGAGGAGAGAAAAACTGCAGCAACAAACAGGTTTTCTGGACAGGGATCCCACAATGTCCATCTAGGGGAAAGAAGGGAGAAGAGGTCACCATGCAGTCACAGCTGGAAGACACCCAGGGAGAATGCCAGAATCTAATATACAACCTTTCTGTTACATATCTTAAAAGGCTGGGTAATTTAAACCTCAGGATGGGCTGTTGGTAATTAAAACTGTTAACCATTGCCACGATAACTCTTAGAGGATCAGAACGATTAAGATTCTGTGTTTGGATCCTAAAAATGACAGATGTTAATGGACCAAATCACTGGCAAAGCACATGCATGTGCGCCCGTGCACACACACTCACACTAATCAAAGCACTATAGCAACTTTTCCCCATGGATTTTAACCAGAGTCTCTCTAAAAATGAATAACAACCACTTAGGTTTTGGTGACAGGTAACAGAAAAGTATATTTACAAAGAGCCTAAGACTCCACAGTTCTTTATAACATGTTATATACATGACACTTAAAAACTTACATTAAACAACCACTGATGACTCAGTTTTATTGTAAAGGCTGATCAAGGAAGACACCCTGGGTTTGGTAGATTTCTTTGAGGACCAGCAATACTGTATCTTCGGACTCCCTGCAAAGAGAAAAAATTATGTTATAAAAAGAAGGAACTAACATTTGTACTAGATGCTTTACATGTATTAACCCATTTAATCTACACAACTACAGTACAAATTAATTTTTTTTAAAGATTTTATTTACTTTCAGAGAGAGGGGGAGAGAGGGAGAATGAGAGAGAGAGAGAAACATCAATGTTTGGGATGTATCGATTGGTTGCCTCTAACATGCCCCCAACTGAGGACCTGGCCTGTAACCCAGGCATGTGTCCTGACTGGGAATCGAACTGGCAATCTTTAGGTTCTCAGACCGGCTCTCAATCCACTGAGCCACACCAGCCATGGCACAAACTAATTTTTTTACTATTGCAAAAAGTCATACTCAAAGGTGATGTAACTGGCAGTGGTTTGGAAGTCTAGCATTATATCCAGTAATACAAAAAAGCTAGCAGTAAATGACCAAGAAGTGTTCCCTTTCCATAGAACACATTCTTGGGACAATAAAGAGCCACCCAGTTGCTCACCTTAATTTTTTAAATGTTACTCACTTTCTTAAAAAGATAATACAATCACATAGTTCAAAATTCAAGATGTATAAGGGTATAATAATGAAGTCTCCCCCCACCTCTGTTTCTTAACCACTAATTCCCAACTTCTGACCAGCAATGCTATCAATTTCTCATGCATCTTCTAGGTATTCTGGGCCCAAGCAATTATTTATACCCAGTTCATAAAGAAATTTGATTATAAAAAATAACATTCGTGAAGGTTTGCCTTCAGGATATGTGGCTCTAACATTTCTGTAGATGAGCGATTTTCAACTGGTATGCTGCAAGAACTTTCCAAACATACAATACCTAACGAGTCAGGAGCACTGACCTCTTTCCCCTTAGACTGTCAGATTAAAAAATGACAACAGCCAACAAAACAATAGCTGTAGGGTGTAAATGCCCTGTCTTTTTCTTTTTTTTTTAAGTATTTATTAGCTTTTTTTTAAGATAAGAAAGGAAGGGGTAGGGAGGGAGGAAGTGGGGGAGGAAGTGGGGGAGGAGAGAGAGAAAGAGAAACATTAATTTGTTGTTCCATTTATTTATGCACTCACTGGTTGATTCTTGTATGTGCCAAGACCGGGATTGAACCTGCAGCCTTGGCGTCTCTGGATAACACTCTAACCAACTGACCTTACCCAGTCATGACCCACTGTCCTGTCTTGAACCATAAATATGTAGGTCATGATCTTACTGGTCATTTAGCATAATAAGGTTGCATCTGACTGGTTAATTCTTGGTACCAGAAATCCTTATATACAAGTATAGGCACCTGATTTTTTAAAACCTCAATATGGAGCAAAAAGGGTAGATAATTAGTTTTTCTATGAATTGATCAAAATTATACTTTTTTTGTCAGATCAGGAAAAATTATATTTTTTTGGTGTGCTACAGAATTTTAGTGATTAGTTTATGTGTGCCATGATGTGAAAAAGTTTGGAAATTGCTGCCCTAAATCTGTGGTTCAACATTTTTTGAGTCATGAATCTATTTAAAAATCCAATGAAATCTATGGAGTTCTCTCCAGAAATACCACATATACATATATACCCAAAATTACAAACATTTCATTGGATTCATAGACTTTTTCTATCCCCCACAAGCTCCATACACAGACCTTAGGTTAAGAAACTCATGCCAACAAGAGGCATTTTAAATGGTGTGATATTAAAATGGTGTGATCCTATTGCATACAAAAAAAAAATTGTCAACAAAAAAGAATAGGAAGTTTGGAGATAGTTCTAAATGCATATACAAATTTAATATAATAATAGAAGAATCTCAAATCTGTTAACTGTTGCAATAACTGGATACCCATCTGGAAAATGACTTGGATCAACCCATACCTTATTAGGATAAATTTTAAGTGAATTAAAGATTTACATGTAAAAATGCAACCATAAAATAGCAGAATAAAATGTGGTAAGGAACTCTTTGGAAAGTAAGGAAGCTCTAAGTATAACACAAATTCCAAAAGCCTAAAAGGAAAAAACAAATTGACTACATAAAACTAAAAAATTTCTAATTAGCAAAACCCAGTATATGCAATGTCAAAGAGAAACTGAGGAAACAGTATCTGAAACTTGTATTGCAGCCTGGCTGGTGTGGCTCAGAGGACTGGGTGCCAGACTGCAACCTGCAAACCAAAGGGTCGCTGGTTTGATTCCTGGTCGGGGCACATGCCTGGGTTGCAGGCCAGGTCCCCAGGAGAAGGTGCATGAGAAGCAACCACACATGATGTTTCTCTTCTCTTTCTCCCTCCCTTCCCCTCTCTCTAAAAATAAATAAAATGTTTTTTTAGAAAATTTGAAATCATAGTGCAGACTAATCAATTAAAAAAATCCAAAATTTCAATATAAAGGAGAATAAAAGGTATAGGTAGCTCCCAGAAAAGGAAATAAAAACAGTCCTTAAGTATATGTTAAGATATTTCAAGCTCATTTATAAGAGGAAGAATGTAAATTTTGGGGGGGGGCGGGTATTTAATCTGAAGAGAAACAGGAGCATAGGAGGAGTGAAATTTAAAGCTATAGCGTACATAATACACACACTGAAAACTAAAACATTGCTAAGAGAAAGTAAAGAACAAAGTACACTAAGAGATTCCATGTTTGCAGATCAAAAGACTCAGTATTATTAAAAGGTCGGTTCTCCCCAAATTGATCTATAGATAAAATGTAATCACAATCAAAGTCCCAGAAAGCTTTTTGATTGAAATAAACAAGCTCATTCTAAAACATACTGCTATGGAAATGCAAAAGACCTACTATAGCTAAAAATAACTTGGAATAATAAAGTTGAAGGACTCACAATACATGATTTGAAGACTTATAAATCTGTAGTAATCAAGACAGTGTTTTATTGGCATAAAGATAGACAAATAGATCAGTGGAACAAAATAGAGCCAAGACAATTCAGTGGTTTCTCCTGAATTTCAATAAACTTTTCAACAAATGTTGCTAGAACAATGGGATAGTCATATGTAAAACAATGGACCTTAATCCTTATTTCATATTAAAGTTTATTAAAAATTAACTCAATCAAAATGGATCATAGACCTAACTGTATAAGCTAAAACGATATAACTTCTAGAACAGAGGAGAAATCTTAATGACTGGATTTGCCCAAGATTTCTTAAATATGTCGAAAAAGCACAAATATCAATAAATTAGATTTCATCAAAATCAAAAACTTCTCTTCAAAACAAAATGAAAAACTACATCCTAAAGAAAAACATACCTATAACTAGAATATAGAAAGAATTCTTGCAACTTATTAAGATAATCCAATTTTTAATGGGGAAAAGATGTGAACAGATAATCCACCAAAGATGTACAGATGGCAAACACATGAAAATATGCCCAGTATTGTTACTCATTAGGGAAATGCAAATTAAAGCCATAAAGAGATGCCATGTGTTGAGAATATAGAGCAACTAGAATTCTCAAATACTGCTAATGGGAATGGAAAATGCTGGCAGAAAAGCAATTTCTTTTAAAAAATCATCTTACCTATCAATTCTAATCCTAGATATTCACCCTAGGAAAATTAAAGAATGTGTTCATACAAAGTCTTATACATAGCAGTTTTTTAATAGCAAAAATTGGAAACAACCTAAATGTCCATCAACAGGTGACTAGCTAAACAAATTGCGGTACATTCATACAATGGAATACTACTCAGCAATAAAAAGGAGAGAACTACTGATACACAAAACATGGATGGATGAAAAAAGCCATACAAAGAAAAGAGTATATTGGAGTATGATTCCATTTATATACAAGTCATGTGCAAACTAATCTGTAGTGACAGAGAAAGGTGAGCGGGGTTCCCTGGAGACTGTGAAACAATTAGACCAAAAAACCAAAAAACAATAGAAACAAAAAACAATGCTTACCAGTAGCACAAATGGCTTTGTAAAGCAAATAAATACTCATTGAAACTCTCAATGGGCTTCTCCTGTAGCACGTAGTCAATGCGTTGACCTCCATTAAGCATTCCCACATTGATGGGGGGAACTTCTTCTCTAACAGCAGCAGAGGTCTCTTCCGTGTTAACATCTGGATAGAAGAACCATAATAAGAATCTAAAAGCTGCTAGTCCTCCAAGGTTGTCATTACCGCCCCACAGACTCCAAGTTCACTATACATCCCAGGGGCGTCCAACCTTTTGGCCTCTCTGGGCCACACTGAAAGAAGAAGAGTTGTCTTGGGCCACACATTAAATACACAAACACTAACAAAAACTGATGAGCGCAAAAAAGGTTTTAAGTAAATACATGATTTTGTGTTGAGCCGCATTCATAGCCATCCTGGGCCGCATGCAGCCCGTGGGTTCGACAACCCTGCTGGATAATTAAAAACTAGAATGCAACTGTTAGCTGAAGTTAAGAGGACAGTATCCTGCTAGTCCTCAGCCAGGAAAATAAAACTGATCCATGAAGACACAGACATTCCCCAGTAAAAGCAAGGTGCCTCAGGGAGTAGGCTCTTAACACCATCCCCATAGTTACCAAGTCGGGGGGTGTTTTAAAGCCTCGTTATCAAATGCTCAGCTTCTCTTGACATTTTCCTCACAAATAATGTTCTTCCATAATCTGTGCCTGTTAGATGATAGAAAAGACTAGCAGAGCTGAAGGCCCATTGGAACTCATAGTATGGGCCCCTTACAATAAAAAGGGCAAAGTAAGAAGTCCCTCAGAGAATAAGATGTATACATCATGGAGTCCCTCTGATCTGGCCTGATGTAGGATATCAGTGTGTAGAGTGTCACCAACCACTAGGCTTCTCTGAACCTGATTCAGGTTCTGCTTCAGTTTCTTCTACAGTTTCTGAAGCTTGTAAGGCAGGATATGGAGCTCTGGTGAAAGACTTCCAGGCCATCCGCAGTGAACCTAGCAAGTTGTTCTTAAGGTCCATGCTCATCCTGGTCAAGCCCTCTCTCAGTTCTGAAACACATACAAATGAAGAATATTACATGGTTTACAATGGGTTTAGGGACCAACACAACTAAACAAAGTGAGTGAGGTCTGGAATTATCATGTTCTGTATTCAGTCTTACCTAAGTGCATCCGCTTCCTGCCTTTATGATGTGGGATTAGCATTGGCTCAAATTCCACTCCTGGGACCACCATTGGTTCAATTCTATAAGCCACAGGATCAAACTACATAGGAAAAACAATAGCTACATATACCTCTGTTGAACAAACACCATCTGAAGAAGTGCTAATATGTATGAGGCAAGAATGATTATGAGCTCATTTTGAAAAATGTACAGTTGTTCTGCCATATCACTTTCAGATTCATACTATTTGTAAGTTATTTCATTACTAGAGAATAGTAAATAAAAAGTAAATCAACACAACAGAAAATCATATCCTCTTTACCAACAAACTCTAATATTCAGGTAAAACCACAAGAGCTATCCAATGCTTACAGGGTGATAAATATTGAAGAAACCTTTGCATGTTGGAAATTTGTAGTTGGGATCAATTCTTTTTAGTCCTCGAACAGTAAGGAACATTCCAATGGGAGACCCAAAGGCAAAGAATATTTCTGGTTTATAGATAAGCCGGGGGTATTTTACAGACACCTGGAAGAAGCAAATAAAAGCACCTCTCAATGACAAAAGTTATCTCTGTTCTTACCATAGGAATGGCAGACAACAAAATGAGCAAAGAGAATTAGTACTGTTACCTGTCCAATGCCAACATCCAGATAGTCATTCCCAGTGCCATTAGCACTACTGCATAACTCCGATTCTTCGGGGATATTAGACATATTCACCCCTGAAGCTGATTGCAGAGTTGGTCTATTAATACCCTAAAGAATAAAAAACAGTTTGTGGAGCTGCTGTGTAGTAAAAATATCCAAAGGATTTAATCCAGTTTTCTACTGGTTTGAAAAGCTGCAAGGGAAAGTTCCGGAATGACAGCCAGTAATTCCCGGAAGTCTCTCAGAAAACAAAATAAAGTTGATGAAAACAAACTAAGGTTGACAAAAACAAAAGGTGCCTTAAATTATGAATTGACATCCCTACATGCTCTAAAAGGAAGTTGTAGACAGTCATTTGGTCACCGCTAAAACTTTAGACAACCGTCACGAGAGAAAACAATAGCAGAGCACTGTGGAAAAGAATGTTGAAGATTGCTAAGAAGTTCAATGAAGTGCTATGCCTTTCTAATTAAAGCAAAAAGAATGCCTCTATGGGTATAGAAAATGATGCCAATTCTGGGCCCTAAATAAGAACTGAGTAACCTACTAAAAAAGTTGAAAAATAATTAACTACTAAAATACGGAAAGGAATTCAGTGGCCAAACTGAATGTACTAGTAGTGTTACAACATGGATAAACCTTTCTTTTTTCAATATTTTTTCCTTTTTTTATTGATTTTATTGAGGTGACACTGGACAACAGGAATAAACCTTAAGTATGTTATACTAATAGAAGGAAGCCAGTTATAATAGGGCATATACTGTGTGAATCCATTTATATTAAATGCCCAAAATAAGAAAACCATAAAGACAGAAAGTAGATTATTGGCTCACAGGAGGGAGGAATGGGGAGTGACTGCTAAGGGGTATAGGTTTTTGTTGGGGTTTTTTTGGAGGGTGGGGGATGATGGAATTAGACAGTGATAATGGTTACACAACTCTGAATACACTGAAAACCACTGAATTGTATACTTTTAAAGGGAGAATTTTATGGCAGTTGGTATAAATTTTATTTCAATAAAGCAGTTATAAGACAAAAAGAAAAATGAAATTGTACCAGGAATCTATGGGAGATAAGACTTCTGAAGCTAGTAATATTGTTAAGGTATCAATAAACTTGTTTAATTTCTAAAAATAAAGCCAAAAATCAATTAACAGAATTACTCAGCTCCCTAGACTACACACTTCACAAAGCAAAAGAATACAAGGATATCAAAATTGTTTAATACTATAAGCTATAATAAGCACATACCATTGAATTTTCTCTGGTCCTAAAGTAATTTAATATCTTCTTTCTTGGTCCTAAGGGAATTCCCATTTCCTGAAGATCTTTGTCTGTACATAAAGCCTAGGCATACAAAATCAAATATCTTTCTTATTTCTAGGCAAAATAAAATCAATTAAATGTCCTGTTCTCTGAAAAGAATAAGAGCTAAGTGCTCTGTTGTTCTTTGCTTTATACTACTAGGGTTTCCTAGTGGTACATCATTAATAACTTAGAAAAGGAAATAGTATTTTATTTATTAAAAAGCCTAAAGAAGAATAAAAAGTATCAATATTACAGTACCAATGCTATAGTAATATAGCTAACATTGTATTACTGAAAAAAATCAACAGAAGTAGGTACCTAACTTTATGACAGAAAACCCTCCTTGATTTCCATGCTCACTTGGAAGTCACATTCCTAAGAAAGATTATATTCCTACTCATGGACACAAGCAGTAAGAACACAGAGCAAACACAAAGCATGAAACAGACTAACAGACTAACTGAGCTGACTAGGGAGGTCTTCCTTCACCCTCCCAAACTAAGTTAGTTCATCCTATACATTCTTATGCCACTGTGTACTTTTCCATAGAACTTATCAGTATAGTGATTTAATTATGTTTTTATTATTTTTATGTGTTTTTAGCAGTAAATTATAAACACCATGAGGTCAGGGACCGTATCTTTCTTATTCACCTTTCTATCCTCAGTACTTTGTATGGTATGCCTGATCATAGTGAGCATTTATTAAATATCTGCTGAATGAATGCATTGCAAACCAAAATAAAAACACAAAAAAGGGACAGAAAACAAACAAACAACAAAAAAACCCCAAAAAAACAAGCAAATATCAACAGTAAAGTTCTTGAAGTGTAACAGAGGAGTTGGAATAGTTACTGGTGATTTTTTTTCTTGTTCTCATATTTTTTGAGCTGTGCTGTTTTTAGTCTTTGCACTATTGCTATCAATGACTCCTCTGAACTTTAACTCCCACAAAGCAAAGATCACTTGATATGATTAAAAAACAAATAATGCTAAAGAACATTACTAATGATAACAAAGTATTTATGACTAAAATGCTTCTAAAGAGCAGGCTCTTACTAAGCAGTATGACGAAGATAAGCAATAAAAATACTAAAATTGCTGTGACAAAGTTTTAAAAGATTCTTTTTACCAGAGCTTCCTTATCTACTTTCTCCTTCTCAAATATACTAAAGAATTCAGAGAGTTGAAGTTTCTTCAGATCTTCCTCTAGTGTCGGTGTGTCTCCTTGATCCATATTTGGCAAATCCTAAAAATTAAATTGTAAAGCTCATATTCTCTACATTCATTTAAATTTTCCTTTTATTAATATCATTTTGCAGTAAAGAAACGTACTACATAAGATTTTCACATATAGATATACTTTAACTTTAAATAAATTGTGATATATACAAAATATAAACTAAGAGGTGCTGATCTCTGTTTTGCAACTTCATTTGAAACTTATTATGTTTTAAAATAAACAAGTAAATGAATAATTATCAAAGTATTGTTCATTATCATTAACAGAAAACATTTACTGAGTTCTTATTAGGGAAACAGTGTTTAAGACATAAAATGATCTAAGGCAAAGCCCTGCCATGAAGGAAATCACAGCCCAACAGGAGGAATAGAATACTTACATAAAAAAAGAAAAAAAGAAAAGACAGTGTATACTAAGTACTAACTCAGTACTACAGATAAGTGTTCACAGGACTCTGTTTTACTAAAAGACATTTAAACATCAAGTCCTCCCACTCCTTTCAAACAATTTCTATAAATTATATCAATATGCATCTAATTCATTATTCATTTCATCATATGCAAACTCCATTTTGGCTCAATGATTTTATAATTATAATAATAGGTCAGTGAAGCGTATTTATAATGGGAAAAAAGATACTAATAGTTATTTTATAATGTGGCAAATATTTGTAGAAGCATATTGGTATCTTGCTTCTTATCATCCAAGAATGACAGAGATAATTACAAGCCTGTTTAAATAAATGTAAATTTAATGTTATGGTATGAGACTAAGTGAAAAACAAAAAATAAGTCTAAAATCTAAAAATTCTTACTAAGAAAAACTACAACAGAACCTATCTGAACATCTAAATTACCTTTTCACTGTCAATATTCCCCAAAGAATCTTTCTGATTTGTTAGAATATCAAACAATATAAGCGAACCTGTAAGTAAAACAGAAGGGACAATTTCTAAGTATTAACACTAAATAGTTGTCTTTTATATAAAAAAGTAATAACCCAATTAATTAGCCATGTAGCAAAATCTACAAAACAGGTAGTCTTTCTTTCCACTCTACCACCACCCTGCCAACCCTTTCCAAATTCTTCATCAAAGACCAGTTCTAGCTCTCTGAATCTGATACTGATTAGAGACACTGTTCTTCAAAAACAAGTGTCCTAAAAATGTGATCATCCTCTCTAGTTACAGAAAATTCACTTGTTACCTAAACTATGGCCAGCAATGGATACACCCCCTTTGAAATCGGGGTTTCTCTGCAGAAAAAGTGTATATATTCGGTTCATTTCAGAAGCAACTGTGTCCACAATAGTCTGACAGTAAGTGGGGCTATTGTAGAAGAAGACATCCAGAATTGTGTCGTTGGTGAAGTGCCTGAGGCGATTAATGCTGGGCAGAGTTATTCGCTGCAGATCTCTGAAAAAAGGAAACATATTTTAAGCAGAAAACCAAAATACATTCCGTAGCTTCCTCTAAGTTATGTAGCTTAGTCTCCAACCTTAGACCTAGATATTTAAAGATAACAAGAGGTAACTAAACTTATAGGAAATACAGAGGACAGAGAGAAATATTTAATGACATCAAAGGGATGTGATCAACAAAATTCAGAGTGTAAGCTCTACAAGACAACTTAGTTTCTTCAATACCAAAATAGCAAGAAAATAATAGGTGGAAAGGTAATCAAGAGAATAAGAGAGACTTAAAAGACATTATCAACTATAAGGTCCATAACTGCAATTTATGGACCTTATTTGGATACCAGTTTAAACTATGTATGTATGTATATATGTGTGCATTTGTGTTTGTGAATGTATATATATGTGTATATATAAATGCTTATATATGTGTATATATAAATCACATGTATTTGACAATTGGAAATTTGAACACTATATTTGCTGATACTAAGAATTTTTTAGGTGTAATAATAGTGTTATAGTTGTATTTTATTAAAAGTCCTTTAATATATACAAACTGAAACTTCTACAGATGAAATGATATGATGTCTATGATTTGATTAAAAAATAATATGGTGGAGGGATGGGCAGTAGACAGGGGTATGAGGGTAGAGATGGGGCAGAACCGGCCATGTGCTGAGGCTTGTTGGGGCTGGGTAATCATAAGCAGTACATCAAAATTAATTATATATGTTCCTTTTGTATAAACAATTATCTGTAATAAAAGGCTTTTTTTAAAAGACAAAAGATACAAGAGGGTTTTCGTAGAATTCTCAGTGTTAAAGGTGTTTGGTCACAAGTCAAATGATAAATGGGATCAACTCTCGATGTGGAATTTCTTAAAGCTAAAGAAACTAAAGGCAAACAGAACTCACGTCTCGCAAAGGAAAACCATGATGACTTATCTAAATCAACTTCCAGTTAAAACTTTCTCAAAATTCCCAGAGAAATTCTCCAAAGATTCAATAGTTTCTATAGGTTCAAGAAGGCTATATGACCTTAGTCACCTCTGAGCATCAGCTTAAATATGATGTGAACTCCATACCTAGTAAAATCAACACCACAATGGAGTATCTGGCACATGGAATATGCTCAAATCACAGGGTTAAGAACTGAGAGACAAAGAATCAGCATGGAAATAATGCTGATTACTTCCTTTATCTCCCAGAGAAGTATCTCCTCGTTCTGTCACAGGACTATATGATGAACACACTACTTTCTGGAGAGCCCATAGCCGAATATCCTTTTTTTTTTAAAAAAAAAAAGAGATTTTATTTATTCATTTTTAGAGAGAGGGGAAGGGAAGGAGAAAGGGAGAGAAACATCAATATGAGAGAGAAACATCAATCAGTTGCTTCTTGTACTCAACCCAGCTGGGAACTAAACCCACAATCCAGGCATGGTGCCCTGACAGGGAATCGAATCAGCAACCTTTCACTTTGCAGAATGACACCCAACCAACTGAGCCACACTGGTCAGGGCACAAATTTCCCTAATATAAGGCAACCTTCTCTGACATTACCATAAAACTTACAAACAAAATTATTGCGGTTGTAACTTAAAGCCATTACTTATGGTTGGCCAAAAAGTTCATTTTGTTTTTTTCTGTACAATGGTTCTAGCCGTGTTTAGTTGTCTTTAACTTCATTCAAAATTCTGTTAAATTATATTGTGACAGCTGTCAAATCCCTATGCATTTTTTAAAAAAACCTTATCAAAATTGGTGAACTTTTGAGCAGCCATTTTAAAACAAAAATGGAAGAAGATACACGTTTTCAGCATATTATACTTTATCAAAAGAGGTAAAAATGCAAATAAAATGCAGAAAAAGATTTGTGCAGTGTGTGGAGAAGATGCTGTGTCTGATAAAATGTGTCAAAAGTGGTTTGCGAAGTTTCTTGGTACTATAGACATTATGGCCAAATAATTCTTCGCTGTGGGGCTGTCTTATGTATTGGAAGATGTTTAGCAGCACCCCTGGCCTCTACCTACTAGAAGCCAATAGTGGGAGGCAGCTGACATACTCAAAATATCCAAATCAATGAAGTTATTGGTGAAAATGAAAAATGTGTCTTCTATTTTACAGAAAAAACTCAACGGACTTTTTGGCCAACCCAACAATTGTACCAATTATACCTCAAGTTATAAATACTAATAATTTAATGCTTGGGGATTGCCTCTTTTCCCTAATTTAGACAAATATTATCTAAATTTGGCCACAAAAGAAATGACAAAATACTATGTACATTTTGAGGTAGGTTGGCTTTTGACATCTGAAGATAGAAATACTTATATATTATAGGAAGAAAGGGATGTTTGGCATTAATGCTAAATAAAAAAAGCTGTAATAGTAAATACTAATGGTCCAGTAAAACATACTGTAAGAAAATACACACAGCTCTTTACTCCTAATCTGGACTAGTTAAACCAAGGATTAGTTAGCATTTAATAATGTACCTCTAAAAAAAGGCATAGAAGTACAAAAAAACTTCTTCTTGAACAAAATTTTAAATATACGATCAGTTGTAACAAAAATGTCCTTAAGCATATCAATAATCAGAGAACGTATTACAAACATGGTTAAGCACCTCAAAGGTCACTCATGGACAGGGACAACAGTGTGGTGATTGTGGGGGTGGGGGACATAGGGGGGGCGGAAGTGGAAGAGAGTATGGGGAGATAAATGGTAACAGAAAAAAGGAAAAAATATAATAAAAAATGAACTATTTAAAAAAAAAGGAGTATGGTATTACTCACACATCCACACCAGTAGAATGCAAAGGGCTGTGCCAGTTGACTGGAAGAAATTCTACCCTCCCAATCTGCTGATTTTCTTGGGCTTTCTTAAAATGCGTTTGTAGCAGGTTCAAGGAAACATTGCGAAAATCATTAACTGGAAAAGAAAATTAACTTATGCAACAGTGAAGCAATGAATTTAAGATGCAACAGATCACATAATTATTTTCTTTATCTACATTTGCTTAGAACATGTTTTTACTTGAGTCAAAAATAGCAAAGTGGGCCCTGGCCAGTGTGGCTCAATTGACTGGAGCATCATCCTGTGGACCAAAGGTCACAGGTTTCATTCCAGGTCAGGGCACAAAACCAGGTTGCAGGTTGATCCCCAGTTGGGGCATTTATGAGAAGGCAACCGACTGATGTTTTTTTTTTCTCTTTCTCCCCCTTCCTCTCTCTCTAAAAGCAATGAAAACATGTCCTCAGGTGAGGATTAAAAAAAAAAAATAGCAAAGTAGTATTCAGAAAAATTACCAATGCATATAAGAAAAGCTGTTCATTTAATACGGAACTTGCGTTTACTATACAACATATTTCATCAAAGAAAAAGTTAGCTTCAAAATTTCTACTATGTCATGGGAACTGTTTCAATTAAAAGAAAAAGAAAAACATCATGTCACTATGTCAATTGGCTGTTCTTACAAACAACCACTACCCAATATTTAAGATTTAAAAAAAGAAAATACAGTGTTTGAAATTAGTATTACATTAGTTTTAACCTTCTAAGAGGGTTTATGCTTAGAAGCATTAGCCAGTAGGATAAGACTCCCAAATAGGGACAATTAGACTTTGAATACTATCAAGTTTTAGAGGATACTACCTTTCAAAATCAAGTTATGCTAATGACCTAAATATTCCAATTAGAATATTAAAGGTTTATCACAGCATGAATTACAATAGCTTCTGTTATTCATTTAAACTGTATCATCTTTACAGTCCCTTTAAATTTGGAATGATTAGACATAGGACCATTATATCATAAAAGAATCTTATAAGGATTAAGAGCTTGTTTATTCAGAATTATTAGTTAAGAGTATGAACTACTAGCCTAAGGAATTTACTAGTACTTTAGGTCTTAACTGGGAAGCTTTACTACCTTGCCTGGGGTCTTTAGTTCTCCAAATCTTATTATGTAGCTAAGACAACCAAATAAAGACAAAACTTTATTTCAGCTCACAGGAGTACTGACTAATATTCCTCTTAAATAATCTAATCGTACATGCTCTGCAAACCTACCACACTGTACAATGCTTCGAAAACGGAGATCACAAGCTGGTCCAATCCCATGAACTACAAAAACCAAGTGGTCTATTTGTAAAGGTTCTCCTATAAATGAAATTAAAAAGAAAAATTATTCTATGTGACTAGTCATGTATTCTAAAATCAAACATTTACAATGAATAGGTTATAAAAATGGACCAAGTTAAAATATAAGCAGATAATTTAAAGGATACAAAAAAATCCTCTATATAACTATGTACTTAGTAAAAATACAGTGATTTTACTTTGTTTCTAATTTATCTTAATAAGTCTGAAAAAAATTTTCAGGTTTTTAGAACATTTAGTTTGAAATAACTGCAATCTTACAGAAAACTTGAAAGAATAGTAAAGAAACACCCATGTACTTTTTACACAGATTCAACACTTTAACACTTACCATGTTTGCTTTATTATTCCCTCTCTTTATATATATATGTATACACATACATTTATTTTTCTGAACTGGTTGGAAGCAGGTTGCATACATCAGAACGCACACATCATACCTCTCTAACCCTTTATTATTTTAATGTGTTTTTCCTAAGAATATTCTCTTATATAACTACACTACAGTTATTGAATTCAGGCAATTTAACATTAAAATTTAACAGTAAAATAATTTTATATAATATTCCATTTTAATCAATTGTACCAATAATGCCTGGTATGTATTTGAAGCCTGAAATTTTAAACCCATTTTTTAATTATATTAAGTCTAAGACTTTGGCCAAGAGACAAGCTATCTCCTCTGCAAGATAAAAGGAATTTTATAATCCAGTTAATTACATTATAAAACTAACCATAAATGACCCCAGATACCAATGGACAACCATCAAGGTCGTACTAAAAAATAATTTTCCTTAGTTGAAAATCTTCAATAACAGGCGGTATCAGGACTAAATTTCTAATCAAACAGGTGGAATCACACTTCCTAGAATTAGGACTAAGTCCATTTGTAATTAATGAGTTCCTGATCAGTACTGCCAAATTTTACCCATCCCACCATACATGCTCAGTAACTTTAAAAAGAGATCTGTACACATAAAAAGAGCCTTAGCAGATGAAGTGATGCCAATGTTAGCTATGAATAAGCTCATATGATTGATTAAAGATCATTTTTAAGCCTTGAGGTCATCCAAATCCATAGAAAAAAGTCACGACTTAAACCATGAACAAATAAGTGTATCAGAAGATAAGAAAAAAATTAATGATTAACATTACCACAATGAATGTCAACAGAGATGTTCTCAACCCCTCTTTTTACTGTTCTTGGTCGACCCTGCTCAGTGGGTGTTGAACCCCATTCATCAGACCCTGCAACTGGTTGGTAATGTACCATAAGCTTAAACAGAAAAAAAAAAAATCAAAAATTGTTTAATCCTGTAAACTATATTAAGCACATATCATTTAATTTTTTCTGGTCCCAAAGTACTTTAATAAATAAAATAAAATCAAACATTCACAATAAATCGATATAAAGATATTCTACATTAAAGACACCTCTATACATTCTGAGAGGAGGAACATGTCCCTCAAAACATAATATGTAGTCAAATCTCAACTGGAGTTTTGATATGCGACTCCTACAGTTTAAAAGGAGAACCATGAAAATACATTTGGCCAATGCTGTACAATTTAAATATCTTATAATTTTATGTGTCAATATTACCTCAATAAAATTTTAAAAAAGAAAGAAAATATATACCGGGAAAATATAACAAGACAATATAACAGAAAATACAACAGACAGCGATACCCTACACATGGAAAATATGCCACCTAATCTACCAGTGATGTTCTTAATCTACAGTGGCATAATTTTCCCTAAGAAAATTCTGTTTTATAAACTGAACAAGGTAAATAATAGTAGTGGCTACAAGTTTTAAGTTTCATAATTGTTAATGTAATATAAAAATTCCCAAAGGTTATTCTCAGTAGAATCCCTAGGAAAAAGAAACCAATGAAGTTCTCTTTAGTAATGCAATTAACCTTTAATCCCAACATCAGAAAAGGCTTTTAATTTGTTTTACCTTTGGATTGTGTAGTATAATAATTTCTCTGTTGGGAGACTCCAGTTTCTTTTTCCATTCATCCAGCGTTACAGCAAGCCGGTAAGTTTCCTTGAGAGGACACATTTCATTAGATTTCTCTTGGAGGTTTTCTATTAAAACTAAACTTTTTCTCAAGAATACTACTAAATAAACAATTACAATAAGAATATCCTACTGCAATTAACTGAATTTATTTTAAAATTACAACAGATAATGGTATGAGACAAAAAAAATCACTTCTACTTGTGTCATCTACTCTGGAGATAAATATTTTTCATATTGTGATATATTTCTTTCATAATATTAATGAACGTATATTTTCCATAAAATAAGGAATATATTACATATGTAGTACTTTCTCTTGATTTATCACATTTTAAAACTCTTTCAAAACTTAGTATTAATAGTACAGGACAAAAAAAATCAATCCTAATTCCATCTTCTAGACTAGAGATCATCATTATTCACATTTTGATAAATTTATTTTAGTGATATTAGTGTCCTACTCGAATTTAAGCAAATTTCAGACTGTTTTCAGACAAGAAAAATAAAAGGCAAAAGACAATCTTTTGGTCATAGTTTGAATATTAACCACCATTGAGAAAAACATTTTTCATTTAAAGGCATCACAATTTCGATAGTATATTTTAAAAATCTGAAAAAACTACTTTCCTTGAAACTAATTTACAAAAGAAAGGTTATAAACTATGTACAGAGAGATACAAACTCTTCTTGAAATTTTCAAAAATATAAGACACAGGAAGAAAAATTATTAAATAAGAAAAAAATGAAGAAAATGAGTTAAAAGGGTCAAAGGAATACCTCTAATACTTGGCTGAAGCTCTCTGAGTAGGGAACATACTTATTATCTTTGTCTCCCTTGTAAAACCAGGTACATCGTCTCACTTCTGATGCTAGCTCATCCCAGTAAACAGCATACCGCATCCTCTCCCCCAGGTGAACATCATACCTGCCCCCATCAGTGGGGACAACTCTCCCATTACAGTCTTTTCCTATTAAGAATTGGAAAGAAGAAAAAATACATATGTCAAAATAAATGTCCAAAATACAGTTCTCAGTTATACTCTAAATAATGTTATAAAACACATGATTGAACAGTTTTTACTTGGATAAACATTTTTTAAAATGGAATTTAATTGTTATCTTTTTTTCCACTAACTACTTTATAAACCATCAAAACCATTTTTGGTTTTAATGAAGCACACGCGCGTGCACACACACACACGCACACACGCACACAATACCCAAATACTGTTTTGTTCTTTTTTGGAGGAGACAGCAGTGTCCCTTAAAAGAAAAAAAACAAATGTAAATAGGATAATTTTTCTGAATTTTTTGCTTCAGGAACCAAAAGGTGAATTAATGACCATGGCTATCATGATGATAAAGTAGTAATTAGCATCATGTTTCATAAAATGAGAAAAAACAAGTGACAAATTAAAGAATCCACTCTTTTGTAATGTGAATGTGACACCCCCCCCAACACACACTCTTTATAAACAAAAACTGAAACATAAGCTAGAAGATAAATATTATTGGATAACTATGGAGAAGTTACAACGGGTACTGAAATACAGACCAAACTCCTAAATATTATAAATTGTCTGGGTAGTAATGCAGAGCTTCTATAAAATAATGTTCAAAGGGATAACTAGAAAAAAATCTAAAATGTATTTTTAATAGCATTCGTTATAAGGACTAATATTATAGTTTGAGAGAGATAGCAATAAGTCTTTGTCTATTATAAGTCATCATCTATTCTAAGTCGTCATTTCTCTCCTACCAGAGCCATATGCCTCCTCCAGCTGCTGTGAATCCTCAGAGTTGAAAGGAATCCATATCTCTTTGGAATCTATTATCTTACAATAAAACCAATGAGGAGAAACTGGTTCATACAAACTGCTAGCATCCATGTCTATTAACTCAAAGGAACTACATGAGTTTGGTGATGGAGATGGATCTGACTGAGTCAGCTGTTCCTGCTGTGTTTCCACTGATGACATTTCTCTCTCTAAAAAACAAGATACAAGAAAACTATCAGAAAAGTTATTTTCCTTCTATTAATAGTGTAACTGTTCATACACACACAAACTGGTCATTTTAGGAGTCATTTCTGCAAAACAAACCCCCCACCCCAACAATCTAAGAGGGTTACACAATTTAAAATAGAAATAACGTATAAATTAATAGCTAGATTGGGGGCAGGGGAGCAGAGAGAGCTTTAAACAAAATGCCTCTTGTAGTCAGACCAACCACTCTGTACTGATCTCCCAACTCTCTCACAAAACTGCATGATTTTATACAAGTTACAAAACAAACCCAGAAGCACAAGAAACACATGGCCAAAAACTTGATTGCAACAAAATACTTTAACCCAATTTCCAATCTGAGTCTAGTGCCAAAGGCAAAAAAATATACTGCGTATTAACTACACAGATTTTAGGCTCCAGGCCCCTATCATCACACACTTACATGATTACCGGAATCTTAAAATACCGAAAATAAACTATTCATTTAAGAACCAGTCACTTTTTACTGATCTTGAAATGTGCTTAATTAATAGCGCTGAAAACACGAGCCCTTGCTCGGGGCCACTGTGCGCAAGCGTGTATCCTAATGACACCGTCCACGTCTCAGGTAAAAAAAGTAACAGGTGACATCAAAAGCCTCCCTCCCTTGAAAACGTGACGGGTGTGTTTCTACCCCTCCAGCAGCACTCGGACTGCTCGGCAAGCCGAACCACGCCGACAGCGGGAGCATACTCCAGCCCCTCCGAGGGAATGAGCGCGACTACCGCCACCACAGCACCGACAGCACCGCGCGCAGCCCAGCCGGACAGCACACACCTGGCCTCCTGCTGGGCGAACGCTCCCCAGGCTTTCGACCACTATCTTTTCTCTTCCTAACACAAATTTACCTCCGCCTCCGGGGCCTGTCTCTCGGCCTCCCCCACCACCCTCGGACTCCTGCAGCCCAGATCTCGGACCTTAGAGCTCGGAGACTTGTCTCCTCCCGCCTCCGGCCCCGCAGAGAGGCGCGGGGTCACCAGTGGAAACAAGGTAATTTGGGACAGAGTCGATACAAAGGGCCACTTCCCTGGAACCTCACTGGGGCTGGTCTTTCCAGTATCCCCATCCCCTGCCTCGGGTACTAAGTCCTCCTCAGCCCCTGACGTCTCCATCCTGCAGTGTTGCCCTGGGTCCATCTGCCGACCCAGCTCGCCCTGGCGGACTCACCTGGCAGCCCCGCCGCCTTTCACGGTCTCCTGCCCTAGCTGAGAGGGACACGACATGTCCCCGCGGCGGCCTTTATCCCTTGCCCAGGCGGGGCGGGGCGAAGCAGGGCGGAGCCGGCGGCCCCGCCAGGCTTGCGCCCAACACAGGGCTCCACCGCGCTACCTGCGGGAAGCAGCGAGCCAGACTGCGGAGCGTGAAGCCGAAGGGGTTGTGACTGCGGCGCAAAAACGACTGGTGGGACGAGGAGGGCCGCAGGGATACTGCTAGGAAGTGTCGCGAGAGGTAGAGGGACTCACGCGAGATGTGACTCCTCCCTGCGGGGAGAGAGCCGGAGGGCTGTGCGTGCGGGTCCTAAGCGCGCCGTGCCCTCCGCTAGTGAGCCGGAGCAGCATTTCGAAGTCAGAAGTCATTGAAAGGCTGGGATGCGGAAGACCTCCTAGCTGTAGGCAGTATGCGGAATTTCTCTTAAAGGAAAGAGGAAAGCTCAGCCTCCTCATTTAATACATGGGAAAACAGACCGCCTGACCCGCTAGTACCTTCGCTAACCCTAACCCTACCAAAGGGCAGGGAATGGTGCAGGAAGCCACGCCCCTGGTGAAAAGTAGGACGATAGGGTGCTAGCAGCAGCTACCCCGATCCAGACTCCCACTTATTCGTGCTGAGGAGAACCGATATGGCTGGCATTTGCAAAGAAAAAAAGGGTTCTCTCTAGGGCTTTGCCCACTCCCCCTTGAGTTTATTAGGATTTAGGGGCTGCCAAAAAGGTATTTTTCAAAGAGATAGAGGTGAATTTGACAGGACATAAAAGTTGCAAGGGAGGTTAGAGACGAGATATTTTTGTCCAAACAGCACGACATAACTGATGTGAAAAGTTGAGAGGGATTTCCCGCAGTCATGAAGCTGAAGAGTAACCTTGCCCAGCTCTCCTGAGTATTTTACGTTTCTGGAAGACCTCGATTCCTTTGGGGAATAATAAGATACTTTCCTACTTTCTAAGTAGATTATAGGGCAAGGGATTGAGAATGTTTTTCAGTTTTGTTATTTTTTTTCAATAACTGAGAAGAAGGAAAACCGAAAGAGGGAATTTTTATAACATTAATTCTATACCTTAACAGCCACATATATTGACAAATTTATTTATACCTTCTCAAATTTATAACACCTAAATAACTTACGTTCTCTACAGAGAGGATGAAGCCAGAACTGTGCCCCATTCTCTAGGATCTTGTCAGATGACTAGCTAATATTATAAACTAAGAATAGTTATCGCTTACTTAGCTCTCACTGTTCGTACAGGTGTAAAGTAAGCATTTTGCAAGTATAATCCCATTAAGTCCTCACAGCAACTTGATGAAGCTGGTACTATAGTTATCCCTATTTGCAGAGGTAAAATGACTCACCCAAAGTCATACTACCAGCAAATAGAGCCAAAATTATAAAGAATCTATCTTCACAGCCTGCACCTAAACAAATTAACTAAAATTAGTTAAGTGACAACTGGAACTTGAATTTTAGTTCTCCAACTCCAGGTGGCAGAACTGTAACTTCAATTTAGGTCCTCTGTCCCTAAATTCCAGTGTCCTCTATACCAGCTGTTCTCAATTATTTTTGTCTCAGGACCCTAAAAAGTAGTGTTTATCTAGCTTGTACCTATCATTACTTACTGTATTAGAAATTAAAACTGAGAAATTTAAAATGTATTAATTCATTTCAAAGTAACAATAAAAACCCATTTTGTGTAAATATTTTTATAAAAAGTTCACTATTTTCAAGGGCAAGAGTCCTGAAGTCACCTCAAGATGTGCAGGTGTTTTGTGGATTATTTTGAGCTAAATGCAGCTGAGACCCTGTGGGCTCAAGGGAAACTCCTTCCCCCGCTTGCAGTGTAGTTCAGTTGGCAGGGTGTCCTCATGCAATTCGAAGGTGGCCGGTTTGCTTCTGGTCAGGGCGCATGCCTGGATTGCGGGCAGTCCCCTGTCAGGGCATGAGCACATGTGTGAGAAGCAACTAATCGATTATTCTCTCCTTCTATTTCTCCCTCCTGTCCCTTCTGAGAATAAATGAATTTAAAAAAAATTTTAAATAAAAAATAAAAATATTTTCCAAAATAATTTAAAAAATCAGAGAAAATAATGACATTATTTCATTTTTATAAATTTCTTTGGCTTAATAGAAAATTGTCAGATTCTCAAATTTGCTTCTGCATTTAATCTGTTGCAATTTTAGTTGAGAAGTATATGAAGACAATGCAGCCTCACTCAACTATGTGTTGGAGAAGGAAGGAGTATTTTCACAGCCTTTTCAGGTAATCATGGATATTCTTTTTAATTCACTAAATTCAGGTACAATATGGAAATGTATTAATGAATTTTTTTGTACTCTGATATATTAAAATCCATTGATCTATTTAACATTCTGAATGGATCTTTTACCTATAAATGATTTATGACATCACCTGTGTTGGTCTTTTGGGAAATATTAGTTCACTTGAGCTATGCAGTCTTCCAAATGTTAACATTTAATTATATATTTTTTATTTTTTAAAGATTTTCTTTATTTACTTTGAGAGAGAAAGGGAGGGAAAGAGGGAAACATCAATGTGTGTGAGATAACCCGCATTTTGCACATCCACGTTTTAGTACTGCCCATGTATAACATACATCCTTAGTGCTACCCATATAGAATGTGCATCCTTATTTTTCCCTCGAAAATTTGGGCAAAACAGTGTGCATTGTACATGGCAAAATATGGTTCATAACATTGGTTGCCTCTTGCAGGCCCCCAACTGGGGACCTGGCCGTAACGCAGGCGTGGGCCCTGACTGGGAATCAAACCCACTTTCGATTCACAGGCCAGCGCTCAATCCACTGAGCCACACATGCATTATACATTTTTTTAAAATTACCACCGATTTCATTAAAGTCTTTAAGTATCAGGAAGCTGTGAAGCTCCCAGCACAGAAAAGTTTTTCAAAATTCTGTTTTTTTTCTTGGAAAGGTCAGATTTCATCATTGGCAACAAATACTCAGTTGTTTTCCGTGAAGTGACAAACTCATTTTGTTTCTGTGGGGATTCAGAAGAGTCACCTCAAGATGTGCTGGTGTTTTGTGGATTATTTTAAGCTAAATGCAGCTGAGACCCTGTGGGCTCAAGGGAAACTTCTTCCTTCGCTTGCCTTAACTATTTTAAAGAATTTGAATGAGGAGTCTTGCCCATAAGAGATTATCAGAGAGAACTTTTTTGGACCTACTTACATGGCAGGGCAAACCATTAATCTTCGAATATGTGCTCTCCCTGCAAAGATCTTCTAAAGCCCCAGTGTGCCTTACTTCTGCCCTACCTAGATCAGAATGTTTTATATACCCATTTTCCCTGCCTACACCTCTCATGTATGTGGGGTTCCTGTGCACACAAAATTAAATTTGATTTTCTCTTATCAATCAGTCTCTTGTTTGATATGATTAGTCAGCCAGTCAAAAGAACCAGAGGAAGGAAAAGGGAATTTTTCCCCTTTCCTATATTTTCCAGAAAAGTTCTGCCCAATAGCTAACTCTGAATTGCCATGGGTTGCTAGTCGTACTTCTGAATAAAAATGTGCCATGAAAAAAAAAAGAGTAGCTGGTTCAGTAACCAATTCAAATAATCAGTCAAGTGTTTTTTCAAGAGACCAGCATACTTCAGTATGTGGAATGGTTTTATGCATACTATTTTGTCACATAGAGTATGAAAAAGTGTGAACTCAAGGGTTTAGTTAGGAAAATTAATTTTTGTTGCTTCATGAAGAACATTCTTAAGTGAAACTGGTACTATTTTTATTATGAATGCACGGCAGTGGACAATGACTAAGATAGTACAATTTGTTTCCACTGCCTTAATTCCTGCTAAGGTGCCAGCAGTTTTACCCACCATTGCTTTTGCATCGACAGTCACCACTGCAGAAAGGGCAAATCATGCCTTAGTATTATCAAGGAAATAGTTTTGTGTCTGTGATCCCTGAAAAGGTTTCAAAGATAAGCTCCCTGCCTAATGGACCACCCCTTGAGAACTACAGCAATTACATGTTCCCACCCTGGGGCTTGGAATACAAAAGTAATGAATAATAAAATACCTACCCTGCAGGAGTTCACAGGAGAGAAAAGCAGGTAAACAAGTAAGTTTTGTTGCGTGCTATAACAGACAGGGACCAGATACCTTGATAGTTACGAAAAAGTAATATCAAAAGTCTAGCCATACTTCCAGAAATTCTCTTTGAGTAAGTCTTTGGTGGGATTCAGGAATCTGCACTTTAAACAAGCACTCCAGATGATTTAGATGAAGATAGTATGAGATCTACACTTTGAGAAACACTGCCGTGTCTCAGTATAAATTTCGGGTTCCCAAGTAGGCCCAGTAAGTAGTTGCAGAGAGAATGTCTTACGGTATCTCTCAAAAAACACCACTTAGTTTCACTGGCTATTATTTGCAGCTGTGTATCCAATCTACCAGCAAAGACTTAAAAGGTAAAATCTGAAATAAACTCTGCTTTTTCTCTTTTAATTTTCTAGTGCAGGACACAGGAAATTTATTATAAAGGGTAATAAATATTCTAGCCTCTGTGGGACGTAAGGTTTCCATCATAACTAATCAGTTCCCCTGTTGTAGCCAAAAGCAGCCAGAGACAATATGTAAACCAATGAGTATGGCTATGTCCCATTAAAACTTCACTTACAAAAACAGGCAGTGGGTTAAATTTGGTCTCTGGTGGCAGTTGCTGACTGCAGGCTCCAGTGCAAAAGTTAATGCTAATGGCCAGTAAGTTCCCTAAAGAGCAAAAGCAAGAGTCTGAGGGTCAAATGGATTTCATATCCGAAGTTGAAGTAATTTTAGACATCAATATTGAATTCTCATTTCTTTTCAGAATAAACCACATTTCAATATTCATAAAGTATGTGTTGAGTGCCTATCAAGGCATTAGGTGGTACAAGGATACATAGTTTTTGGATGTTAGTCCTCAATCCATGGTGGACAGCTAGGCATCCAGAGTTGAGAAAACTTGTCTCTGATGCTCTGACTATAAAATAACAAGACCAGGGCTTTGGGCTGTGACAATGATTCTCAAACCCTAATGAATGTTAAGAGTATGCTTAGTAGATTCTTTAAAATGTAGATTTTCAGATCTAACATCCAAAGATTGTTTATAGTTAATGAGAGAGGTCATGAATCTACATTTTGATCAAGAATATATAGTTGCTACTGTGAGGCAAGGTGCTTAAAATCAGGAACACAGAATACCTAAGCTATTTCAGCTGTTAGAACTAGTAGGAAACTTAGAGACATCCAGGGTGATGCTCTCTTCCAGCCCAACATTGGTGATTTTTGTTAGGTCCACAACCATTCTTGAAAATACATTTTAAAAAAAAATACGGAATGCTTCACGAACGTGCATGTCATCCTTGCACTGGGGCCATGATAATCTCTGTATTGTTCCAATTTTAGTGTATGTGCTGCCGAAGCGAGCATGAAAATACATTTTATTAACTTAGAGCCACAACTGAATAGTTTCCATCCTCAACTTGAATAATCTTAGTTTTTGTTTTTGTTTTACTTTGAGGAAAGTGATTTATACTTGCCTTACAATTTCCCTGTCTTACTTCATTGAGGGCTTTTTGTTTTGAATGTTGATAACCTGGTATCTTCCATTTAAGCTGTGCAGCAAGGTAGCTTTCCTCTAGCTCACAGAGGTTTCCATCAAGCCAAGTCCTCTTGGCTAGGGTGATCAGACTGAGAGTAGCAAATACAAATGTAAAGTATAACACTTTTAGGAAAAAAACAGGAGCAAATCTTCAGGAATTGAGTGTAAGTAAGGAGTTTTTAGCAACCGGATGCCAAAAGTTCAATCTTTAAAAAAGGAAAACTGATAAATAGGATTTCATCAAAATTGAAAACTTTTGCTGTGTGAAAGGCTGTTAGGAAAGTGAAAAACATGCCCTGCCCAGGTAGCTCAGTTGATTAGAGCATCTTCCCAATATGCCAAGGTTGTGGGTTTAATCCCTGGTCAGGGCACAGACAAGAATCAAACAATGAATGCATACATGAGTAGAACAACAAATCGATGTTTCTTCTCTCTCAGTAAATCCAGACAAAAACTTTTTTAAAAAAATATGAAAAGACAAGCTATATACTGGGGTAAAATATTTATAAACCACATACCCAGCAAAAGACTAGTATCTAGAAAACAAAGAGTCCTTAAAATTCAGCAATGAAAAGACAAACAATGGACCCCAAATTTGGTCTCAATACCCTTCTTCAATAAAAGGAACCAAAGCTTCTTGAAGAAATAACTGATTCTAAGACAAGAACAGGAAATACCCAAGATGAGCCTGAAGAATCTCACAGTGCCAAAAAGGAAGGACGGACTCAGGAAGAATAAAAGAAGCCACACAATGAAGGGGCATGTCAAAAGGACACAACTGAAAGAGCTCCCAGTGGCCAAAGCAAGACAACTTGAGCAACAAAATAAGGTAGTATTAGATCATAATACAAGATATAAAATAAATGAGTCCATGTTGATATGACTGATTAAATAAATATCCCCGACCAGTGTGGCTCAGTTGTTTGGGTGTCAGTCCGCAAAATGAAAGGTCAGGGCACATGTCTGGGTTGCTGGCCATCCCCCACTTGGGGCACATATGAGAGTCAGCAGCAGTCAATCAATCATTCTCTCACACATCGATGTCTCTTTTTCTCCCTCCCTTCCCCTCTCTCTAAAAATAAATATATTTTTAAAAACACCCAAATAAATACAATAAATGGGAGAGAATGGACAAATCTCCCTTGCAAGAAAATTTTAAATAATTTATGTAGATGAACATTTTCAAGGCGGAGGAGGCTAATTACTGCTCTCCTTAAGTGTGAAACTGTATATAGTAACTTCCTTCCAAAGAGTATTGAAAAATGGGGACAAAAGCAACTTTATAATGGAGAAACCTGACAAACACTACCTCAGCCAGGTGGTTAAGGTTAGCAGCAACAGTATCATTTACACTGACAGTATGTATTTGTTATATGATGAGAAGGGCACTTACCTCTGTGGTACATAAACCCACAGCCTCACGATAATTATGAGAAAAACACCAGACAAATCCCAGCTGAGGGGCATTCTACCAAATATCTGACTAGTACTCTTTAGGACGTCAGAGTCATCCAAAATAAGAAAAGCCTGAGAACTGTCAAAGCCAAGAGATACCTAAAGAGATACAGAATCCTGGAAGAAGAAAAGGATGTTAGGTAAAAACTAAGAAAATCTAAATATAGAATGGACTTTAGTTAATGAGAATGTATTAGTATTGGTCAATTAATTGTAACAAATGTATAAAACTAATTTAAAGTGCTAATAACAGGGTGTGGGTTATATGGGAAGTCTGTAGCATTATCGCAATTTTTCTGTAAATCTAAATATTCTAAAATAAGTTTATTAACATAAGTACAGTTAGAAAATGGGCAAATACATGCACAGACATTTCATGGAAGAGAATATACAGATGGCAAATAAGCACATGAAAAGATGTTCAAAATCAATAACCATTAAGGAAATGCCAATTAAACCACAATGAGCTATCACTGTACAGCCATCAGAAAGGCTTTAAAAAAAATACCGTCAAGGATGCAGAGCAACTCATATGTTGCTGGTGGGAATGTAAAATGGTATAGCTGCTCTAGAAAAGTTTGGTAGTTTCTTTAAAAAAAATTAAACATGCAACTACCATATAATCCGGAATTGCACTCCTGGGCATTTACTCCCCGCCCCCCACAATAAAAACTATGTCCACACAAAAACCTGTACATGAACGTACGTAACAGTTTTATTTATAAGAACTTCAAACTGGAAACAACCCAGATGTCCTTCAACAGGTGAAGAGTTAAAACTGTCGTACATCCATATCACAGACTATTCCTTGGCAGTTAAAAACACAAACCTACTGATGCAGGAAATAACTTGGCTGAATCTCAAGAGAATTATGCTGAGTGAAAAAAAGCCAATCTCTCTCATGGTTATGTAACATACAATTCTACTTATATAACATTCTTGAAACAAAATTTAGAAATAGAGCAACAGATTAATGGGTTTAGTATGGTAGCAAAGGAGAAGCAGGTGTGTCTATAAACGTTCAACAGGAGGAAAAGCTGTGATGATGGAACTGTCCCGTATCTTCACTATATTAATGTCAATATACTGGTTGTAACATTGCAGGAAGGTTTGCAAGACATTAGCATTGAGGGAAATTGGGTAAAAGGTACAAGAAAGCTTTGCATTATTTCTTAAAACTGCAGGTGAATGTACAATTATCTCAAAATAAAAACTTTAATTAAAAAAATACCATACAGTAGTCCCTCCTTCTCCAATTTCACATTTTGTGGTTTCAGTGACCTGTGGTCAACCTCAATCTGAAAATATTAAGTGGAAAATTCTAGAAATAAACAATTCAAAGTTTTCAATTGTACACACTTCTGAGTAGCTTGATGAAATCTTGCACTGCCCTACTCCTCCCTCCTGGGACATGAATCACCCCTTTGTCCAGCATGTCCACACTCTACGTACACTACACTAAGATACTTTCAGAGAATCACTTCTCAGCCTTTTGGCTAAGAACAAGTGTTGAGAGAGAGAGACCAAATTCATGAAAGTTTTATTACAGCATATTGTTATAATTTTTCTATTACGTTATTGTTAATTTCTTACTGTGCCTAATTTATACATTAAACTTTATCATACATATGTATGTACAGGAAAAAAACACAATATATATAGGGTTTGGTACTATCCAGTTTCACGCATCCGCTAAGGGTCTTGGAACATATGTCCCCTTACATAAGGGGGAGCTATTATATTTCCAGTTAAATTTGAATTTCAGCAAAACAATCATTTTTAGCACCAGAAGGTCCCATGCAATATTTAGAACATACTTATACTTAAAGATGATTTATTGTTTATCCGAAATTCAAATGTAAGTGGGAGTCCTACGTTTCATCTGGCAATACTACTCTTGGCATTAGCTTACAAGATAAAGTATGTATTGCAAAATAAAAGAACATTTAAGGGGTGGCTGAGAGAAAACTGTGCCTTGAACCCAGAAACCCTTAAATCCTCACTTTCAGCAGCTGGCACCTCCTCTACTTCATATCACATTACAGCAGATGAGCTACTGCCCACAGCTATGGGAGAAAAGCCACACAATATAAAACCCTCCTGTTTTAAACACAGGAGTGAAAATTATCAAGATAAAATACCCTCCCCAATTTTAGGTTTAAAATAGCTATCCCACTCCAAGAAAGATAATACTAATAATTAAAACAGAATAGTCAGGAAGCATTTTCTAGAAATAATTTTGGGTTTTTAGTATAATAACACTGTAAAAAAATATAACCAAGACCTACTAGACATCTGAGAAATCTCTCTAACATGATAAAGATGGAGTTAAAGGAAAAAGAAATGCTGGAGGAAATCCATTATTCAGTAAGAACATCAAGTTATCATTAATATCTTCAAGGATAAAAGATGCTACAACCACAAAAAGCAGAATCTTGTATAAGAACAGAAAAAATTCTTAGAAATTAAAAATATGATAAAAAAATGTAAAATTCTAGAGTTGCACTATAAAGGTGAGTAAACCTCCCACAAAGTACATCAAGAAGGCAAAAAAATGAAGAACAGAAAACATAAGCAAATCAAGCAACCAGTCTAAGAAATCTATAACAGAAACAGCAGGAATTCTAAAAAGAGTTATCAGAGATAAGGGTGGTAGAGGAGGGAAATTAACAAACAAAAAAAATCACAAATACTTCATAGGAGTTAAAGACATGAGTTTCCATAATGAAATGTGCCCAGCATATAGAGAAAAACAGGCCTATACCAAAACTGTACCTTAGAAAACTTCAAAAGAGAGGAGACAAAAATATCCTACAAGCTTCCAGAGAGAAAAATTGGGTTTTATACAAAGGACCATGAAAACACATTTTCAAATAATGCAAGATATAAACAAATTATGTCCCACACACCCTTTCCCAAGAAACTATATAAGAACAAACTACCAAAATAAGGAAACAAATCAAGAAAGGGAAAGATAGGCTACAAAGAACAAGAAAGCAACATGGTGAGTAGAAGACCCCAGAATAAAAGTATGCACCTGGAACAGTACCAGTTCTCCAGTCAGAAGGCTCTAGGATAGACTTTTTCCTTTTGAAATTGATAAAATATATGTCTGAGCATCTTTTTTTAAAGATTTTACTTATTAATTTTTAAAGAGAGAAGGGAGGGAGAGAGGAAGACAAAACAGTGATGTGTGGTTGCCTCTTGCACTCCCCCAACTGGGGACCTGGCCCGCATTCCACGCATGTGCCCTGACTGGGATGGAACCGGTGACCCTTTCATTTGCAGGCCAACACTCAATCCACTGAGCCATACCAGGGCTGTCTGAGTATTTTAAGAGAAGATTTAGACAAATGACAGATGGTGTGAAGTCAAATTAATCACAAGCACATAAGCAAACAAAATAAGCAAATGATTAAATCCAGAGAAAACAAGTTGTTCAAAAAGTTTAAGTAATCATAGTTAAGTATGTGGCGGAGCTCTGGTTAGCAATTACATAGTCGACAAAATTACCATATACCTAGATTGAGAAGTTGGGGGTATGAGGACTGAGATGGGGTGTATGTTAGGGGGCAGAGAAATAAACCTGAACGTTCATCCTCTATAATAGACAATCAGTAAAAATGACCTAAAATTGAAAATCAAGAAGAAGCAATTGATAAATATAGAGATAATTTTTTTTAATTGAAAGTAGTTGCTTTTTAAGAATTAAAAATGGGAGTGGCGCCCTGACTGGGTGGCTCAGTTGGTTGGAACATCATCCCGTACACCAAAAGGTTGGGGGTCCGATCCCTGGTCAGGGCACGTGCTTAGGTTGCGGGTTTGATCCCCAACTGGGGCACGCGTACAGGAGGCGAGTGATCAAAGTTTCTCTCCCCCTTCCTCTCTCACTAAAATCAGTTTTAAAAAATGGGAGTGGGGGCAGGAGAATACTCTTTTTCATAGACTTGACTCTTTAAAATTGTAACTTCCACAGATTTGATTCCTTAAATGCATAACTTTTTAAAAAGAAGAAAAATAAAAATTCCAGTCATCAACTATCCATCCCAAAAAGCCTTTTATAAAAATGCCAAATTAATCTATAAACTTAAAAAAAAATCTGCACACATTTAACAGTGTTACATCAATCAACTAAAAAAGCATTTCAAGTCCACACCAAAAATGTAGAGACAATCATAACCCATCCCCCAGATATTTCATTAGGGTTTATTTGTCTAAATATTCATATTGTTGTTTATGTATGACAGAATAGTAGCTTATTATAAAAAAGACATAGTTGTGTTTTACATGCCAGGTATGGGTACCTTTATTCAAGATTCTGACAAAAATTATCCCCAAAGTAATATAAATTTAGACACTTAAAGTCCATGTGGAATTTCAAGAAAATTTTGAATTTAGTCTGGATTCAATACTAAGTCAAAAACGGAACCATATCCACAAATCATAAATACTACTTTCCTTCATATGTTCAGTATACTTTCTGAAACAGGTTACCAATTTAGTTTTCCTTTCTTTGACATTGGTATTTGGAATCAGCTGAATATAGTTTACACCTTTAAGTTCTAAGTTTGTACTTCCCTGAATATCTTATTATAATTAAAAAATATAAACCCAGGAGCAATAACCCTTCCTTACATAAGAATTTCAATTAATGAATGTAGAATAAGAGAAATAGAAAATCATCGTTAAAACACCACAGTAGTAACTGACACACAAGCAAGATTTGCCCATGGATAAGAAAATGAGCAGGCAAAGGCTTAAGCAGAAACAGGGCATTTGCATAGTCTCAAAAGTATCCCCAGCTAATATTTAGTCATCACAAAGGAAACAGTATTTTTCAGTACAGAATCCTAGCGGACACTACCTTAGGTAGTGATTAAGGTTAACAACACCAGAAATACATTACAACATCAGGTGTCATAGTCTACTGTCACAGATTGGAAGACACTACAGACACATGACAACTAAATGCAAGATGCGATTCTGAATTGGATCCTGTAACAGTAAGTAAAAAAGACATTAGTGAGAAGGCTAAGAAAATCTCTACTTTTTAAACTCTCTATTTTAGTTAATAGTATTGTTTCAAGGCTAATTTCTTACTTTGACAAATGGTCTATAGTTATGTAAGATGTTAACAGAAGGGCAAGTTGTGTGAAGAGTATACAGAAACTATTTTTACAACTCTTCAAAAGGCCTAAAATTAACTGAAAAAAAGTTTTAAATAACTTTAAAAACCATATACATATGTATATATGTGCATAATATATACATATCAAGACAATGAAAATTAGTATCTTGGGCACTCAAATAGCAGTTTTCTCTCCTGAATTAGTCATTGTCTCATTGCTTTATGTTAACTTTGCTATTTAAGGTTCTCCCCTTCTAAATTTTGTTTCAAGTACAGTTTTCTAATTTTCATAGAAAAGCCTTTGTTTAACATTCCTATAAGAAGCCAAAAATAAAAACCCTGGAATAAAATTATCACATAATCTCATAAAATCACTCATCCTAACCATAAGACCCAGCCATTATTTTAACTCCACTTCTTCTCATAACCAATTATGTTTGTATTGGTTTTTTATTATTTTTTTTTAAGTAAGGAGAGGAGATGGCTGATAGATTATTATCACTAATAGGCCTGGCAGCCTAGAAAAGAAACATTATCATTTGGGTATCTTATTAAGAAATCGCTGTTTTTCAAATAACAGACAGTGTACACTAGGCATCACTTTAGGTGTAAAAACTAAATTATTTACCTAAGTCTCTTCTATACAATAGCATAGAGATAGCACAGAGCTACCCAAGCAAGCCCAGCTAAGGCCCTTTCAATATCCCTTCCTTAAATTTGGCTCTCAGATGATTATTACTAATGGTAATAAACATCTTTTTATAAAATAGGTAATATTTCCTATGCAATTTACTCAAGGGAAATAAAGATAAACATCAAATCTACCTTTAAAAGAAAAAATAATTGCCCACTCTAGCTATGGCTGATTCATTCCCTGAGCATGAACTTTCTTTTACCCTCATTGTTTTTTACTACAAACTGAGCTGAAATCTACTTGTAGGGCTCTTGGTGAAACCAATATTTTAGATGGAAAACAACATTTCCAAGTAGTCATATTCATTAGCTTTTACAGTTAATTATTTCTACCCACTGTGCCATTTAATTTTTCATCTGTTATCTGTGCTCCATGTGCTCCATATAAAAGCAGCACTGGTGAAAAGATAATTAAGGGGGGGAAAGGAAATTTTAAAGTAAATCTTTATTTACTTTACAGTATATTTACTTTATTGTATTTACTGTATTTACTGTACTGTATTTAGTAAATACAATAAAAGAGCAAAAAAGAAAAATGGCCCCAAACATTTGCATTCCTATGCTCATGTTATTTTCAAATTGCCTTCCGCTATTAACATGAAAAGTAGAAGTAGTAAAACTCTAGCCTAATGATCTATACAAAAAAAGGAGACAATTTACCTCAGGAACTCACTATACATTGCAATATATTCAAGTGGTGAAAAGATATAAATTCATTCAGAAATGCCATACTATCTGGCTGTCAATATAGTCTCTTGAATAATTACATTAAACATATTACTACAAAATATACCAAGAAGTAGAGAATAATACTATATTTGTAAACTGCAAATAACAAAACAAAACAGAGGTCCAACAAAGCTAAAGTCCAAGCTGTAATTACACGACGTGTATGTTGAAAGCAGTCAAAATGTACAAAAATGTGACAATCTAGATGTTTTAAAAAACAGAGCCTATTTGTCTCAGACTATATCCAGTCTCATCTGTTAGGTTTCTGATAAGCCTGTTCCATAAAATGTATTTCCCTCCTGCTGATAAGAAGCAGCTTAAAGATATCCATAAATTTCTTAGGGAGTGAGTCTACTTGGCAATATTGATAACTCCATAGTTTCCTATTACATTCATTGGTCTGAAAACTGAAAACAACTCATAACAAAAATGTTTTGCCAAATCCTTTACCAGTTTTTCAAGTTTTAAATCAAAGGAAAGTTGGAATGCATTGCTTCTTCTCATCAATGGGCATTTCAAGAGGGTACTTCCCCAAAATCAAGAGTTTCAGTTGTTAGTAACAGGCTTCCCCTTTGTTCTAAATCCTTTCATAATCCTTTTTTTTCCAATTTTTCCAGTATGGCCTGGATTTTACAAACGGCCTCCTTCCTGGCCTGTCGGACAGAGTCCTGGCCCCCGGTTTCAACTGAATCGAGTTCCAAAAGTTCCTTGGTTAGCATCTCTTCCAGAAGCCAGTATGCTTTGTCTGTCTTTTTTCCTACGAACTCTTCTACTTCTTGCTCAAGGTACTGGACCTTCTCCAGCACGTGTATGATTTTTTTAATACTTGGGGGAGTACCTTCGTCTGAAGGTAAACACTCTTCAGGAAGATTATTACTTTGCTCTTGATTGCTGGGTTGTTCGTTGGTGGCATTACCATACAGCTGAGGCTCAGCACTATACTGGACTTGGGAATCCAAAAGGTCTGAATTATCACTGTTCATTGTTCCCGAGGACTCGTACTGATGGACATTGCAAGGGAAGTTGTGCTGGTTCACGCCTTGATCTGATTGGCTATAGGGGTATGAGGAATCCTTGGGGTGGAAGAGCAAAGAATGGAAAAAGCTGTTTCAATGGAAATCCATCAACATCAGATTTGTTAGCCCACATCTTTCACCTGACCAGGAAGGTACATGAAAAGATTCCCCACCAATAAAACTGGACCTCCCTCATTAATTACTTGAGAAAAACAGCCCTAAAGAGACAAAAGGGAGTGCCCTGTCAAGTAAAAGGCAGAGATTTCTTGAGTATAATGGCTGGAATCTACCTGAGGCAGGACATCACCATGAATACCACATAATCTACTCTTACTACCTCACAATCCAATGAGTGACTTAATAAACAGAAATTAGATAGTTTTTCCCATGAAGAGTTAAAACCTTAAGACAGATCTTAAAAAGGAAACTAATCACAAGCAAATGATGTGCTCAAGTCTTTGGTTTAATTAAACCACACAATTTCATATTGGTTTTGTCTTCTCTCTACAGATTGAGGTAATAAAATACCTCTTCTTTTTGTTTGTTTGTTTAACATTCAGACAGTATTACAACAAACAGTAAATGAGTTTTGTTTTTTGGGGTTTTTTTTGGTCTTTTGGAAAGAGGATATGAACCTAAAACTACTCTAAAATAGTACTCTTTTTTTTCTTTTTTAAAAAAAAGGAAACTGGGCTAGGTAAAGCTATAGGTAGTATTAACCAACTTTCTGTAATTAGTCCCCACTTACCACAAACCATTGCAGAAAAGTTTCATGTTGTGCTTTCTTAACTACCCAAACATCAAAAGAACAACATTTAGGTCTCCTACCTTTGGCTGCTGGGGTGGTGGTGAAGGAGGTGGCTGAGGAGAGCCACTGCTAGGCCATGATGAAGTATTTTCACTCATGTAGAGATTCCCAGGTGGTGCCGAGGGTGCAGCTGAAGGCCAGGGGTAACGGGTTCCCATTCCATAAGCACCAGGAGGAGCCCATGAGTCCTCTTGTGGTCGTATAGATGGTCCTGGTTGTGGAACACTACGATTACCATCCCCATAAGGATAGTGGGGCAGGGTCATTCCAGGGTTCTATATTGAAAGAAGGACATATGCTGGTCATTGCTTAAAAAAAAAAAATAAAAGGAAGTAATGAAAATATTCTAGTATTAACAGATTCTGAGATGCTTCATATGTCCCTAACAGAATATATTTTGGCTACAACTGGGCCAAATTATAGCATCTCTGATCAGTTATAGTAATTTCTCCAAGCCTAAAAAAACTTGGTTCGAAAAACACCATGGGCAGATTTGCTGACAATCAAACTTAGAAGGAATAGGGCCTACAATTCAATGGCTAAAGCACAACGTAAGTCTGCCTGATACATACTATAAATAAGTAGACCCATATACTATAAGGAAGCAGAAACAAAGACATATTTGTGGACAAAAAAGGGGCCACATACTAATTAAACCTGACAAGCTAAGAGGAGGCTTGCACAGTGGACCTTACAAACTCAGAGACCTAAAGTAACCATATAGGATGGTCTGAAATTAAAACTTCCTAACTAAAAGCGAGTTATGGTGGCTAGTCATATCCTGAGCCAGTACCTTCTTTGACAAAGGTCAATCTTCACCTTAACTGAGCCTGTCTATTGTCTTTTTTGCATCTATGATAACTTACCTTTGGAATGTCAGAGTAATTCCTTTTTCCAGACCCACCAGGGCACAATCTTCCCCCAGAGAACAAGACCACAGAGCCCTTCATTGTTACCTTGTTCTCCCATATACCATCTCTATCTGGTGTAAATTTTGTTAACTCTCCTATACCCACCAATGTCAAAAAAGTAGCTGTCTATATCCTTTTACTTTTTATCCAATCTCAGAGGTTTCTGAACTTCGCTTTCTACTACCTCCCTAATGTACCACCAGTGGATTTCATGTAACCTCCTTATATCTCCTCCTTTGATTGTAATATATAAAAAAAGGTGCAAAACTGCCATTCTCTGGAGCATTTTCTCAATCCGCTGAGATTTTGCTTCTTGACAACTGTTGTCAGTTTGGCTCAAATAAACTCATAAAAATTCTCTACAGGTTTGGATGTTTCCCATGTCAACATATTGGAACTCCTCTTGAACAGGGAAATGAACATGGCATCATTCATAAAATATTGAAAAATATAAACCCAACAGAAAAATGCTTACCTGTGAAGCAGAATATCCTGGAACCTGCCCCCTAAGAGGAGGTGCTTCAGCCTGGCAGTCCTGCTGGGGATACATCCAACGAGAGACTGGGGTTGGGCTGTTGCCAGGTGAACGGTAGGTGCTTGGAACCTCTGTGGAGTAATTGGTCTGAGAATATCCGGGTGTGTAATAAGCCCCAGAGTATGAAGCAGTATTTGCCCCAGGGCCAGTGGGGTATGGTGGGCCATATGAACCATTTGTGTAAGAATTCAAACTCTGTAAAAAGCATAGTTGAGAGAAAAGGAAAAAAGACAAGTAAAAGAGTTGAAATGCTCTGACTGAATGTCCAACTTTGAAAACTTTAGAAAGAGATCAGTAACTAAGGAAAATATGAACTATTAAGCAATCTTTGAAGCATCCTTTCTTTCATATATTATAATTACATACCATATATTAAACTCAGATTATCGCTGTAGAGTCTGTGCCATAATAATGGGAGACTACATTGCGATGAGATGCCCTAGAGCAGTGCTTCCATGCCAAACATTTCCGTAAGTACACCTAACAATTAGACCTATCAGGAGAGAACTTGTACTCACACACTAGGGAGAGGTTCTGGTAAACGTGGAAGAATGGCTAGAGAAAGAAGAAAATAATCATGATACAATAGAAAGAAAAAAAAGACTACAGATACAGACCTAGCTCTCCCAGAGGCTCTGTATATATAAATTCATAAACTTATCTTTAAGAGTTATTGTTAAAAGTAAATGAGATGACATATATAAAATGCTTGATATAGTATCTGGCATATAGTACAGTCAAAAAATAGTAATTATAATATCGTTGTTGGTATCATTAAGACAAGGTCAGGAAATGAACCCAGATCTGATTCCAGAACTCATGTTCTTTGCAAGAAACATCGAAGTGCCAGAAAAATATCGATTGGTAGCCCCTCACATGCCCCCAGCTGGGAACCTGGCCCACAACCCAGGCCTCTGCCCTGAAGGGGAATAGAGACAGTGACCCTTCAGTTTGTGGGACGGCACCCAACCCACTGAGCCACACTAGGCAGGGCAAGAATTCTGTTATCTTAAATAGCTGTTAATAACTGCACAAAATTAAATTCAATTTGATTTCTAATCTAACACATAAAATAGTGAGATAACTCAATGTGAGACAAACATCACAATACTGTGGAAAATAACAAATTCTTAGTCATACTTTTATGGCAAGAGGAAAAAAGTCAAGTTATTATCAACACAGAGCCTTTGAATGGTTCAAACGAGGATCCCAGCAATCATTCCCTGAACATAACAATGAACCACCCTTTGTTAAAGCCAACTGGGAGGCTGGTAAGATCTCCTGCCTATGGGTTGCTATGCCTAAACAAAGAATCCCTTAATATAACAAACACAGTTGGAGACTTGATAAAACACCACGTGACTTTCCGTACCTTCCGTACCGTTATTTAACTTCTAGAAATCGTTCCTAAGAAAATGATTCAACTGCAGAAAAAAGTTATAAGCATAAATTTGTTCATCACAGCATTATTTATTTCAAAACTGCAAATAACTTAAATGTCCCATAACAATGGAATGAGTTAGTAGATGATGGGCTATTCATTGAGGGAATTTTATTCTGCTTTAAAAATTCACTGTTAGAACTGACCAGGTTATTTAATTATGTTAAAAAATTACTTTTAGTCCTGGCTGGTGTGGCTCAGTGGACTGAGTGCCGACCTGCGAACCAAAGGGTCGCCAGTTCGATTTCCAGTCAGGGCACGTGCCTGGGTTCCTGGCCAGGTCCTCAGTAGGTGGCATGCAAGAGGCAACCACACACTGTTGTTTCTCTCCCTCTTTCTTCCTCCTTTCCCCTCTCTCAATAAATAAATAAATAAATAAATAAATAAATAAATATCTTTAAAGTATGACAAACTTAAAAAAAATTACTTTTAGTTTTTATCTTTAAGTTTTAATAATGGCATTGCGGTATTTTTTAAAAAACTTCCTTATAGTTTAAAGATATGTATGTATTTACAAATAGAATGCTATGATGTCCAGAATTTTCTTCAAAATACTCCGATATAGATGAAATAAGATGGCCATGTATTGATACTTGTTGAAACTGAGAGATGGATATGTGGGAGATTAACACTGAAAGTAGATATAAGTCACAAAAGAAAATGTATGTACAGTAAGTTTAAAGCTATGTAAACATGAAAGGGAAAAGCCTGAAAACAAGTCTACCAAAATATAGATATATTTGCCCTGGCTGGGTGGCTCAGTTGGTTGGAACATTGTCCTCTACACCAAGAAAAGCTGTAGGTTCAATTTCTGGTCAGGGCACATACCCAGGTTGTGGGTTCAATCCCTGGTGGGAGTGAGTACGAGAGGCAACCAATCGATGTTTCTCTCACATCAATGTTTCTCTTTCTCACCCTTCCTCTCTAAAATCAGTAATAAAAAATAACCTTAGGTGAGGATTTTTAAAAAATGGATATGTTAGTATGGGGAAAGTAATTTTTCTCCCACACTTTTAAGTTCTGGCTAGACTAATAATTGAACTAACATGAGACTGAACAACAGAAGAAAATGACCAATTTTATTACATATGTACGTTCAGGGGTTCCATAAGAATATGCAGTCTAAGATCACATTGGGCAGGTGAGGCTTATACGCCATCTGGACTAAGGAGTGGGAGAAATAGGTCTAGTATTTCAAAAGGAAAATAGGTAATTCATAGGTAGATGAGAAAGAGCAAACATTTGATAAATTCTTGCTGGGCCAGCAAGGTGGACAAAGACTGCAAAAAGCTCCTTGAATATAAAGCCAAATCTCGCCAAGTAAAAAAGGAACAAGGCAAATATGAGGAAGAAACAATTAAGATATGGGAATAAAGTAACCTTATATGTAACTTTCATTAAAAACTTAAAATGAAAAAAAAAACCCACAAAATATAAAATAATAAAATAAATAAAATAAAATAAAAATATTTGTCATAAGAAGTCAAATTTTCTGCTCTGACTAATATGGTTCAGTTGACTGGGGGACTTTCCGCAAAGCGAAGGTTCACTGGTTGGATTCCCAGGTAGGGCACATGCCTAGGTTGCGGGTTGAATCCGCGGTCTGGGTGCGTGCAGAAGGCAGGCGATTGATGTTTCTCTCTTACATCGATGTGTCTTTCCCTCTCTTTCTCTCTCCCTTCCCCTCTACCTAAAAATAAATAGATAAAATCTTAAAAAATAGAAAGTCAAATTTTCTTACACCAAAAGCAAAAGCATCAAACGCAAAAATAAACAGGTGGGAACTCATCAAACTAAAGAGCACCTGCACAGCAAAGGAAACCATCAACAAAATGAAAACATAACCTACTAAATCAGATAAAATGTTTGCAAATTCTATTTCTGATAAGGGGTTAATTTCCAAAATATTTAAAGAACTCATACAACAGCAAAAAATCAATCATTTAAAAATGTCAGAAGAGCTAAATAAACATTTTTCCAAATAAGACATAGAGATGGCCAGCGGGTACATGAAAGTGTCATAACATCACTAATCATCAACGAAATGTAAATCAAAACCACATGAAATGGAATCAGGCTCTCGTGGTGGAAGCCAGGCTCCGCCGTGCCGGCAGAGGGGCAGTGCTCTACACCCTGCCTTGGGCCCCCTCTAAGTCCTCCCCCACTAGACTGCCTTCTGGTAAGGTGAGCCTGACAGCAACTGCTTGGGGTGGGGCACAGGTTGCTGTTGGAATCCTGCCCAGTGTGGGGACGGAAGCTACAAGCATATCTTACCCTGTACAAAATCAATTAAACACCAAGGCCTTTAAAAAACAAAAAACAAAAAACCACCCCACAATAAGATATCACCCTATACCTGTTAGAACGGCTATTATTAAAAAAAAGACAAGAAATTACAAGCGTTGGTATGGATGTAGAGAAAAAGGAACCCTTTTGCACTGATGGTGAGAATATAAATTGGTGCAACTATGGAAAACACTATGGAGGTTCCTCAAAACATTAAAAATAGAACTACCATATGACCCCTGCAATGCCACATCTAGGACTATATCTAAAGAATACAAAAACATTAACTCTAAAATGTGTCCGCGCCCCTAGGTTCACTGAACCTAGGGGTTCATTATTTATAATTGGCAAGACATCAACCTAAATGTCCCTAAATGGATCAACAGAAAAAGAAAATGTAGTATATGTATACAATGGAATAGTATTCAGTCATAAAAAAGGAAGGAAATCTTACCAACTGGAACAACATAGATGGACCTTCACAGTATTATGCTAAGTGAAATAAGCCAGACACAGAAAGACAAATACATGTGGACAAATACCATACCTAAACAAAAAGCAAACAACCCAACTCAAAAATACAGAGAACAGATTGCTGGTTTGGGAGGGGTGTGGTGAGAAGGTTGGCCAGCAGGAATAAATGAAGGCAGTCAAAAGGTACAAACCTCCAGTTATAAAATATATAAATTACAAATATATAATATACAGCATGGTAACCACAGTTAATACTGTACTATATATTTGAAAGTTGCTGAGAGCATACATCTTAAAAGGTCTCATCACAAGACAAAAAATTATAACTAGGTATGGTGATGAATGTTAACTAGCTTTAATATGGTGACCATTTTGTAATAGATACAAATATCAAATCATGTTGTATACCTGAAACTAATATAATGTTATATGTCAGTTATATTTCAAAAAGAAGGTCAAATAAAAAAAGGTACATTTTGTATTTGTTCCCAGATGTGAGAAATAAACTATTATGGCTAAAGCTATCTTTACTATAATTATATCTGATCTAAAAACATTAAGATGATTAAGATAGAGCCCATTAAATAACAAAACCTACATATCATTCCTGTGAAATCTCTGTAGTTCCTAAAAATAAATCAGTTCATTATGAAAGAAATTCAGCTTCCAGTCAAGATGGCAACACAGGCAGGCATGCCTTGCCTCTTCCCACAAACACATTAAAATTACAACGAAAATATAGAACAACCATCACTCAGGAATGTCAGAAATTAAGTTGAATGGAAGTCTGACAACTACAGAATTGAAGAAACCACATCCACCCAGACTGGTAGCAGGGGCACAGATGCGGAGTGGGGTGGCCCCACACCCCCATGGATAAAAATTTGGGAGGGATATCTCGGGAGCAAGGAGTCCCTGGCCTACACCAGGCCCCCTAATCCAGGGTTCCCGTGCCAGGAAGATAAGTCCCCGAAACTTTTGGCTGCAAAAACCAGCAGGGATTGAGTCAAGGGAGGGGGCTGCTGGAGCCCTAAGCAGTTCCTCTTGGAGAGCTCACACACAGACTCACCTACTTAGACTTGCTCCCTTTAAGCTCCAGCTCCAGGATGGCAGCTGAGAGGGCACCAGTGGTACACGGGGAGAGACTGAAGTGCCTGGCTTTGGGGTGAGCAGAGGCCATTGTCCTTTTGCTGAGCCCTCCCCGCCCAGAGTCAGTAGGTGGTACCATATCTGAGACTCCATCAACCTGGCCACTCCATCACAACCACTGTGTGACCGACCTTGGAGATCCATAGAGGCTCTACCCCACCCAACTCACCGACCCACCCAAGTTGCTTTTCCATAAGAATGGCTGGTCTTGGCTCCTAAATCCTATCAAGCAAGCAACAGCAAGCAAACAGGGCCCTGGCTGGTGTGGCTCCATGGACTGAGTAACCAACCAAAGGGTCGCTGGTTCCATTCCTAGTGCAGGGCACATGCCTAGGTGGTAGGCTAGGTGCCTGGGAGGGGGCGCACAAGATGCAACCACTCACTGATGTTTCCCTCCCTCTCTTTCTTCCTCCATTCCCTGCTCTAAAAGCAAATAAATAAAATCTAAAAAAAAAAGGACAAATAGGTAGTTACAGAATAGCCATGGGGGTGTAAAGTACAGTATAGGAAATGGAACAGCCAAAGAACTTACTTATACACATGACCCATGGACATAAACAATGGGGGGGAGGGGATTGCCTGAAGGAGTAGGGGGTGCTGGGTGGAGGGGGGCAAAGAGGTAAAAAATCAGGACAACTGCAATAACATATTAATAAAATAAAATTTAAGAAAAATTCAGAAAGTTTGTCAATTTTAGACCATACCTGGCCTTGCATTTCTGGTCTTACAGGATATGTACTTGGGTAAGGAGTCCTAGGTCGAGCAGGAGAATTCCAGTAGTTAGAACTGTAGCTAGGATATGGTGGCTGCTCCTAAAAAAAAAAGGGGGGGTGGTGGGATTAATTTTTTTCTTTTTTTCTTTTTTTAATTCACCCAAGGATATGTTTATTATTTTAGAGAGAGAGGAAGGGAAACCAAGAGAGACACAGAGAAACATCAATGTGAAAAACATAGCTGCCTCCCAACTCACCCTACAAACACTTAACTCAGTTTAAATGCAGTTATCCACTGACTTCACACCTGTACTTCATCTAAATATCTGGGGGAGAAAAATGCAACAAGCTCTTGGTTTCTCTGTAAATTCATGACCGCAAGTCTCAGGTAGACACTCAGCACTGCCTACAGCTACTTACTATGTTCACCACACACCCCAGAACAGCTATTCTAATCGTACCTCACCCTTCATTTTTCAACTGACAACTTTATCTCAGAGAGAGAGAGAGAGAGAGAGAGAGAGAAAACACGCGTGCATGAGAGAGCAAGCAGTGAAATCAGACAGAAACTCCTACCAATGTACCATATCTGTCACTCTTCCCAGAAAGCATGAATGAAGTGTCTTTGGCCCTACTGAAGGCCAATTCTTCCACATAGCTCTGGATCACATACCTCTTACTTCCTAACACTTTACTCTTGCAGTTATCTCTACTCTTTCATGAATCATCTATTTCTCCTAGTAGAGCAGATCATTTCCATTAGAATACATTCCTGCCTTCAAGACTGTCCTAAACAAATACTATACATATTTTTAAACTACTGTAACTAACAGTGTGGCAAGTGATTGGGTGTATAAATAAACAAGATAAACAATAACTTGATAATTGCTGAACACGAGTGATAGATATCTGGAATTTTAATCATATTAGTCTCTTTTACGTCTGTGCAGGGCAGGGATTGAAAGTAGACTTCCCTTAAACACACCCTGTTTTATACACTTGACTTTAGAACAACTGTAACTATTTTACATAATTATAAAAGATAATAAGCCCTGGCTGGTGTGGCCAGTGGATTGAGTACCAGCCTGTGAACCAAAGGGTCCCCAGTTCAGTTCCCAGTCAGGGCACCTGTTTGGGTTGCGGGCCAGACGCCAGTGGCCCGCACATGAGAAGCAACCACACACTGATGTTTCCCTTCTTTCTCCTTCTCTGCTCCTCTCTCTAAAAATAAATAAATAAAATCTTAAAAAAAAAAAAAGATAATGAAATGTTTTTAAATCCCAAAATAAAGCAAAACAAAACAAAAAATATTAAACTATTTCAAGTGAATATAAAACACTATAATTTGACTGATATCCCTAACACAGATATACATACTTAATGAGTATGTTGTGTGGTTGGAAATCAGTGTTTTCATAGTGGGCATTAAGAGATGTAAGAATGAAATTTTACATTTTTAATCCTTAATTTGAACTGGAAATTTCAGTAGAAATTCAAACTCTATATTTTAAAAAAGACTAACAAAAGTCATACACACAAAAATAATCCAAGTAACTCTTGAACAGTTTTCTGAATGGATATATACTTAGTCATATATATCCTAAAAGCAAAATTCATGCAAAGAGATAGTAAACTTTACAGACAACGTTACTAGTAGTAATATTAGCATTTTAATTTTCAAACTGTTTTGTGTGTATTGTAGAACAGAGGAAATAAATAGAGCAATGTTGCCAGAAACTAGTATTTTCATACAGAGAAGGAAAATAATATATGGAAAAAGGTGAGGAAGTACCATGTATGGTGGATTTGAAGTGGAAGTATAAACTAAAATACTTTAAAAATGTAATTTAACCTTTTATGTAAAAAGTGGGTAAAGGGAACAGTGTCCCAGTTCCAAACAAAGGATTTAAGTGTCAATACAGCCCTGACTGGTGTGGCTCAGTGGGTTGGACATTGTTCTGCAAGGCAAAAGGTGGCAGGTTTGATTCCTGGTCAGGACAGATGACCAGGAATCATGTGTGTGAGAGGCAACCTGTCGATGTTTCTTTTTCACACTGATGTATCTCTCCTTGCTCTCGTCCTCCCTTTTCCTCTCGAAAAAAACAAATAAATAAAATCTTTAAAAAAGAAAATACTGCACCCTTTAGCTATACCCGCCTATCTCCCCATTTCTCCAGCTCTACACCACTACTTACTTTCTGTCTCTCTGGATTTACCTATTCTGTATATTTCATATAAATAGCATCACAGAACACGTGATATCTTGTGACTGGCTTCTTTCACTTAACATAATGTTTTTGAGGTTCAACTATGTGGTACCATGTATCAGTACTTCATTCATTTTGTGGTCAAATAATATTCCACTGTATACAGATTCTATATTTTGCTTATCCATTCATCAGCTGTTGGGCATTCTGACTGTTGCCACTTTTTGGATAATACTGCTATAAACATCCATTAATAATTTTTTTTTATGTGGACACATGCTTTCAATTCTCTTGGGTATGTACCCAGAAGTGGAATTGCTGGGTCATATGGTAACTCTGTTTAACAATTTGAGGAACTGGAAAACTGTTTTCCAATGCAACTACACCACTTAACATTCCCATCAGCAATGTATAAGGGTTCCAATTTCTCCACATCCTTACCAACACTTGTTTTTTCTATGGTTTTGTTTTTATAATCATCCTACTGAGTGTGAACTGGTATCTCATTAGGTTTTGATTTGTAGATCCCTAATGATAGCATATAGTTGGGTCTTCTTTTTTATTTTTTTCAGGCTTAATTCCCTTTTTTTCCTTGTATAAAATTCTGTGGTAGCCACAGCTGGAGCCTGGATCCTCTACACAGAAGCTCTGGTGTGGGTCTTTACAAGATGGTCAGTGAATTCCTGATAGGGAGACTTGGTGAACACAGTCTCTTTTCTGAGGTCAGGGGTGAGAGAGCTATAGGTCTTAAAGATGGCATCAAAAGTGACCTTGGAGAAGTTGCCTAAGGTGGCAGTGCAGCTCCTGGCTAAGGTACAGCAGTTGTCAATACCAGCCTTCAGCAACAGTTTCTTGGGCCACAGAGGCTGAAAAAAGGCCAGTGCCACTGAGGGCAGGGATGAGGTGCACCAGCACAGTGCCACAGCACCCAGTCACCTTGCAAGGGACAGTGTGGGGCTTGCTTATCTTGTTCCCAAACTAGCCTCACTACAAAGGGACAATAGAGAGCTTGGCCAGGATGATGGCCCCACAGATGGCAGTGGCTGCTTTCTTTGAGCACTTAGCACCCAGACCATGTCCACTGTAGTACTAATAACAAATGCCTTGAACTGGGTCCTCTGGCCAACACATGTCTGCTTTTGCACAGGAGTAATCGAAACCTTGTCCTTGAGGGATGCTCCCAAGAAAAAGTCAAAGATCTCAGATGCCTTGATGGGCAGGGAGAAGAGATACATCTCTTTCAGGGGCTTGATCTTCATTCATGTCCTTGATCTGCAGGCAGCTCAGCTTGGTGACAGGGATCCACTCATTAGGGGGAAATTTACAAAGTGCCTTACCAATGTGCCTCCAAAAAATAACCCCTACCCAAAGAAACCTGATAGCAGAGGAATCAGAGTAGTGCTGCTACTACCCATGTTCCATTTATAAATCTGTTTTTATTTTTCAATAAAATTAGACAAAAAATATTACAAAAGTGCATTATAAATTATTTTATAGCTACATTTTCCAAAATCACTAAAAAGCACTTGATGCTCCTGTATTGACCAGCATCACAAATTTTATTTTCAATCTCAGTTAGATGTCTTCCATGCTTCTCTACAATTTCCCCCTTTCTCTTAGAGCCTGCTTCAAACACTTACCCTATCCCACTTCCTTTACTTTCAGATGACCTTGCCTCCCACTTCACCAAGAAAGGAGCCAAGAGCTAAAATTCCTTATTGTCCTTCCAACTCCAAATTTACCCTATCTCCTCTACCTCAGGGAGAGGTTTCTAAACTCTTCCTCACTTCATTTTTCCTTTTTTTAAAAGTTAATTTATTTTTTTTAATCCTCACCCAAGGATATGTTTATTGATTTGAGAGAGAGAGAGAACGAGAAACATCGATGAGTTGCCACCCATACTTCCCCATGCCCCAACTGGGGATCGAAACCACCACCTTTTGGTGTACAGGCGATGCTCCAACCAACCAAGCCACCAGCCAGGGCTCTTCCTCACTTGTTAATTTCCCCTCCCAAAACTATATTCCATCCTTTTGTGTGCATCTTTTTTTCCCATCTACTAGATTACTCTCCTCTGCTTCCAGACACACTCAAGCCACCTAATCCTAAAAATCCTTCAATACTGCTTCCCAGTCAAGTGACCATTATTTACTAACAAACTTCTGGAAGTAGAGTCTACACTATCTTCTCATCCAAACCTCTCATTCATTGCTTTAATACTGTGTTAAACGCCCACCATGGAAATCAACAATATCTTTTTATTGCCAAACCCAACAGTGTCTTTTCAATTCTCATAACACTGGCAAAATAATTGTGTTCCTGCTCGGTTTGCACTGCATGACTTCCCTGATTTTCCTACTACCTGAGTACTCTCTCTCATTGACTTCTTTTGGATCCTCTTTTGCTGTCACCTATTCTAGATTCTCAATGATTGTCCCTGGCCACATTACCCAGTTTGGTAGTTCAGTTATATTTATAGTTGATAACTCTCTCAAATCTCTATCTCCAGCCCCCATCTCCCTCCTAAGTTCCACATCTATTGTTTTGTTCCTGCAGACAACAAATACTGGAGGCCACAAAGACTCTAAAATTTGGCATCAAAAAGCCAAAATGAGAACATAAAACCACAAACTTTTCTAATCAATTGCATACATTACATCCAAAGTTAGGCAAATGACTAACCACCGTGACTGACTGACTGCCAGCAGAAGGGAAGTAAAGGCAATACACAAACCCTTGCCAAGTCTTTGCATGTCATACTCTTTAAAGCTCCTCTATTAACCAATCACTAGTTCTTTCAATACAAACCTAAACTGTATCTTCCCATAAAAACGTGTTCTTTTTCCTTTTTATTCTTATGACACCTTTATTCCTATGAAATACTAAAACCTCAGAATCACCTTCTGTTTCTCCTGTATACCTTTGATAATGTCTTTAAAATTTATGCAATTTATTTTGAAATGCATCCAAAAAAATATAGATGTGATAAAGCAGATATAATAAATGATAATTTTATATAATTTAGGTGGTGGATATATTCACTGTATAATTCTTTCAACTTTTCTGTATGTTTGAAAACTGTTACAATAAAATATGGGGAAAAACCTGATCACATTCATTGTTCAAACGCATGCTCTTTTACCTCTCCTATGAACTACACTGTAAGTCTAACTGAGCTCTTTGTCCGCCCCATTCCTTGCCATTGTAATCCTCCTCAAAGGTATCTCCCCAGAAATCCCTGACTCCTAATATTCACATCCTTGTGAACTTGCCTCCCACGTTGTACCGTGATTGATCTCTATGACCAATATGACGGTATATCACTTCCGAAATTAGGTTATAATCCTACCTATGCCTTCCAGCTTCCATCTCAGCATGCATTCTTTATATGACGAATTCTGGGAGAACATGTAAATCATCTAGGAATCTTGGTAAAATGCACATTCTGATTCAGCGGCTCTGGGGCAGGGCCTGAAGTAGAGCATTTCCAACAAGCTCCTAGTCAATGCAGATGCTGCCAGTTCAGGGAGCGAACCACAGTGCTGCAAGTACAGCTAGTTAACAAGGTAAGAAAAAAAGAAAACTTGGAGGTAGATTTCTATTTTTCCCCTGCCATATTTAAACACGTAAAGATAGAATCAAGACTTTGTAGTAGTTCAGTGCAACACAGTCTCACTATATTCAATTCTACAGAGCAGTGCTTCTTAACCATCAATGTGCATACAAATCACCTGGGTATCTTATTAAACTGCAGCAGTAAGTCTAGAGCAGGAAATTCTGCATTTCCAGAAACCTCTAAGCAACACTGAAGCCTCTGATCCAAGGAGAACACTTTTTGAATAGTAAGGTTTTAAAAGGCTCCTATACTTTTTGGTTTGTCTGTTTAACATATTTGATTATAGAAAAATGTAAAGTTTCCATGTCAAAATTACAAAAAAGTTTAAAAATGAATAACAAATTTAGAAAAAAAACATTTGCAACATCCATGACAACATATACTCATTTATCTTTTGTATCAACTTTCCATTGCTGTATAAATTACAATTCTACACTTTTCAAGTTTCAGAAACATCAGCCAGAAAGATAAACTCTTGAAAGGGTTCACAAATGCCCATTACACATTCCAGCTTTACCTGTAACTACATCATCAGCCAACATATGTGCATGCCTACGCCCCAACCATACGTTACAACTACGTACACAGCAGTAAAACCTTAACTTCTGTAACCTTACTCTGAAAACACACTTTTTTAAAATTTATTCAATTGACAAATATTTATTAAGCACCTAACACACTACTGTTTTGATAATACAGCAAACCCACATAGAAGTCATTAGTTTAACAGTCTTCTCCTCTTTCCCTTCAATTGATCTTAGGTCTGGTTTGCCTATTTATAGGCCAAGCATTTCATCACTCTATCATTGGATTAAAATCTCACAGGCTACTTAGTCCCAGTTTAGAGAGAGAAAACACAGACTCTTCTTCACAATTAAATTCTACTACACGTTTTTCTCCTCACACAATTGTTTAAAAATATAATGAAGACATTGCCCTGGCTGGTGGGGCTTAGTGGACTGAGCACTGGCCTGTGAACCAAATGGTCACAGGTTCAATTCCCAGTCAGGGCACATGCCTTGGTTGTGGGCCAGGTCCCCACTTGGGGACATACAAGAGGCAACCACACATTAATGATTCTCTTCCTCTCTTTCTCACTCTTTTCCCTCTCTCTAAAAATAAATAAATAAAATCTTTAAAAAATAATATAATGAAGATACCATAGAACCCACCTTTTGAAAGTGCACATACAATTCAATCATTTTTAGTATATTCAAAGTTGTGCAATCATCATCACCATTTAATTCCAGAATATTTTAATCACCCCAAAAACAAACCACAAGCACTTTGTCACCCCAATATCCCCGGTTCTCCCAGCCCATGGCAATCACTAATCTTTCTGTCTCTACAGATTTGCCTATACTGGACATTTCACATAAATGAAATCATACAATATGTGGTCTTTCTGACTGGTTTTGTTCATGTAGCATGGTTTTCAAGGTTCATCCATGTTCCAGAATGTACTGGATTGACCAAAAAATCCACTTAAATAAAAGACACATTTTTCATTTTCACTAATTACTTTATTGACTTGGTTATTTGGAGTACGTCGGTTATCTCCTGCCTGGTATACTGTTGACTCTTCTCAATTAATGTCTCGATTGGAGCGCTATCAACATCAATTGGCCTACCCGACTGCGCAGCATCATCATCCAGCAAGAAATCTCCAGCACAAAACTTCATAAACCACTTTTGGTATGTCCAATCAGTCAGAGCACCTCTCCACATACTGCATAAATCTTTTTTTGTGTTTCAGCTGTGTTTTTACCTTTCTTGAAATAATAAAGCATAATATGCCAAAAATGTTGCTATTTTCTTCCATCTTCAATATTAACATTGCTACACAAAAAAATCAATTTTTGAAAGTTGTTTTTTTAAATGCAGGCTGATTTGACAGCTGTCACAATACAATCTAACAAAATTGTTTCAAATGAAGTTAAAGACAACTAAGGGCTACTAGAGCCATCTTTCAGAAAAAAAATCAAATGAACTTTTTGGCCAACCCAATAGGTATCAGTTCTTTCTATGGCTAAATAATTCCATTGCATGAATATACCACATATTATCTATTCATTAGTTGATGGACATTTGGAATATTTCCACTTTTTGGCTATTTGAATTATACTGCTTTGAATATGTATGTACAAGTTTTTATGTAGACATATGTTTTCAGTTTTCTTGGGTATATATCAAGGAGCACCCTTGCTGAGTAATATGCTAACTCTATGATTAATGTTTTGAGTAACTGCCAAACTATTTTCCAAAGTACTGAACCATTTTGCGTCCTCACCAGCAATGTATAGGAATTACGCTATTAAATTTTCAAACAACAAGGATGTTATAATTGCTGAAGGAAAGAGAAGATGTGAGGCCCCACACCCTGTTATAATAATTCTATATGAAGAATACTGCATTAACATAAGTACTGTAGGTTTCTGGCGGCAATATAAGAAAATAAGTCCGAGTATATTGAGCAAGTTAAGCTCTCAGAGCCAAGGGTTCTTTAATCGTAAAACAGGGACGCTGTGTGTTATGACATTAATGTTGCAGTCGCCATGAAAATTAAAACAACACAAAAGTGCTTTCCAACACTGATAACTCGTGATTCAACCCTGGGCAAAGCACTAGGGGGCAAAGGGCTAAAAGCCCAGATCCCTCCCTCACTTCCTTCACGTTCCTAACCCGTGCGGGGAGGGTTACTGAGTGAAGGCGGGGGCTGCAGCCACCTCCCTTCTCGCTGAGGCCGGCCCGACAAGCCACGCAGGATAAATTGTAAGAGCTTAAAAAACAGAACCGGGTCACTTCAGCCCAACATCGTCCTCAGGCGAGAGATGCTGCACCCTCTCTTTAGCTTAGCAAGTCAGCGCCAGGATTTTTTTTTCCTTTTTTAATGGTAATAAACATTTATTATTGTCGCAGCAGAAAACGAGGGGCAAAGAAATACAAGTATATGCCTCCACCCACGATCCCAGTCTTTTATCTGTACAATCCCCTGCAAAGGTAAACAAATATGAAACCTGACCCATTACGAGCTCTGGCGATATAGCAATCTCAATGGCCCTCACCTCCAGAAAAAAACCCGATCGGAAGCCCCTGGGAATGATGGCGCAAAGGTTACCTGGTGGTTTCCTCCAGCTCGACCCGGCTCCGTCCAGGTGCCTCCAGAAGGGTAGTAGCCATCACCTCCTCCACCTTCTCCCGGCCAGGTGGTCTCAGGCGGGCCGCCCCCGCGCACCCGCCAGGAAACGGGAGGCTGGGGAAGTTCAGGACGAGGAGGGTATAAAGGTGGAGGTGGGTGCACGGGCACATCTCCACCCCCAGGCCCGTAGTAGCGGCCATAAGACGGACCGTCACTGGGGCCGTAGCCCGAACGCCTGAGGGCCGACATCCGCTCCACTGCTCCGAAGGGCTTCCCGCCCCCCACGGACGGCTCAATGCGCAGGCGCCAGCCAGCGAGCGGGAATGGACAACAGTGAAGGGGGCCGACCAACAATAGCCAATCCCAGGCCAAGTCCCGCCCCTTCGGCAGCCGACTCCCGAGAATTGAGGAACTGATGTCCGCTACTCTGGGGTCAGCCAAGCAGGAAAACGAGGGGCAGCATCATGTTCCTTAAAAGGGAGACTACATTTTCCTACCACCTATGCAATCTAGATTCCTCTGCCCCTCTCTTCAGGAATGGAGAAAGGGTGTCCCAAGACTGCATGAGGGCCCCGCCTCTTCCTGAGGACGGGCACGTGATACCGGAAGTGGGTGGGCATAATATAGAGGAGGTTCCGGCGTGCCCCGGCGACTGAAAGCCGGGGCTGAAGTGTTGGTCCCGTTACTTGTTATCGTCCCAGTCCCGCCAAGGCGGTGACTACGGTAGGAAGAAGAAGGTGTTGGACACACTGGCCTTTCGCCGCTATACATTGCAGCTTTATCTTAGCTCAAAATGAACTACATGCCCGGCACCGCCAGCCTCATCGAGGACATCGACAGTGAGTTGCACATCTTCGGGTGAGGTCTGGGGTGAGACCCTCCTTCCGGACGGCTTCCTCTTTCGAGGGAACGCGTTGAATGAGTGTGTGTGTGGCGGGGCGGAGGGCGGCCAAGATGTTTTTAGCACAGTTCTGGGTGTTTGGCGTTGACATCCTTCACGGGATAGAGGAGCCATGGGGACATGGCTACCTTTCTCGTGCCCGCCTTCTAGCCTACTACCTCCACTACGTCTGTCCTGCAGTCTCCACCAGTTCACGGGCTGATGAGCCACAAGCTGTAGAATTCAGTCCTGCTTGCGAGGGACGCAGCAGCTGAGGCCCAAACACGGAATTTACCCTTCGCCCAGTCTACTGTCTTCCTCTGTGTTATTTCGAAGTGCCAGGTTGTTACTGGTGGATGGATGCGAACACCTAGAGAAAGGATTCATCAAGAAATGAAAATATTAAGACAACAGCATTTGGATTTAATTGTCAGTAAGCATAGGCATTATGCTCTGTAGCCATTTGCAGTATTATTTTACCGTGAGGATCTTTAGCACTTTCAGGTCATGGTAGTAGAGACCATAGCCAGTCAAGGTATTGATTTTTCTAGGAAGGCAAAGTCACTGGAAACTTCTTCTTTTCTTCTGTTAGACAGTTGGGTTTTTTTTTTCTTCTTGTTTTTACTAAGAAGACCTTCCTTATCCCTAGTCATTGTCCTGAAGAGGAGCTCAGTCCTGTACAAAAGAGGAGCCACTTAGCAGTTGTCCCATCTTTCCTTTTGCTAAACTCTCATTTGTGAATTATTCCTCAAGTAACATTTTTTTGTAATCGTTGTACTCTTTTAATCCTGTGATGTCTCGTTAACTTGCAGTTAATACAAAATGGTTTATACACAGTTCTGAACAAGTTACCAGTCTTTACAGTTGTTATGTATACAAATTAAAGAGTGTATAATTAAACTTTTTATCGTCTGAATCGTTTTCTAAATCCAAATTAGTGATTTTGCTATTGAAGGGAAATGTAGTGTAAATTGGACCAAATTCATGTAAATAACCACTGTACAAACCTACGTGTAATGTAATGAAAACTTCAGTTTTACTTGTCTGAGGATGCTCTTTTGCTCTCACGTCTCATTATATATCTGAATTATTTGAGGTCCTAACACAGTCTGTCATTTTATTTAAAGGAATTTTTGTTCTCAAACCTTCTAACCTTTTTTTTTTCTTTGTAGATTCCAAACCTTTACTGAAAAGTTCGAAACCATTTCCTATGCACTCTTTAATGCTCCCCCCAACTTTCCTCCTCTCTTCCTTGTCTTTTTAATATTTTCACCCATCCTCTCATTTGAGTAAGAAGTATTCCTCCCTTTCAATTTGTGTCTTTTATTACTGTTTCTTCCCACTGCTTCTGGAACCTTCTTCCATTAATATCCTTTTTCTCTCATACTTTCTATCTTTCTCTCTCCCCCTGAATCCTTCTCTTCATGTATATTCTTGCCTGGCCATCTCAACCGTTTTTTTTTTTTTTTCCAGTTGTGACCCTTTTTAAATGTCCATCCCTTTTTTCATATCCTTACCCACAAACCTCTTAAGTCATTTCCCTGACCACCTGCAATAGACTAGGTCCGTTACTCCTGCAGTTTGATTTTTGTTATCAACACACTGCTGCAAGTCCATTATTAAAAGGCATCAGTCTCTTTCACTCTTCTGAGTTTTCCCCTCCTTTCTGCAGCATTGTGATATTATTACATTGTCATACTGGATTCTTAATATGTGTTCTTGATTTCTCTTAACACTTGCTAATTTTCTTACCTCTCCAACTCTTACTGTTCCCTAAAACAGACTGTATCTTAGGTTCCACCTTTGACCTGCTTCTTTCTTTAGGTCTCTAAAAGATCTCCTGGACTTCAATAATTATATCACCTCTTTGTGGCCTTATCCAAAATTGCTTTTTCTAATTCTGACCTCTTTGGCATCCCAGTCTTACATTTCCAACATCTTTCAACATTTCTACATAAGTATCCTGATAGCACTTCAGAATTACAAACAACTAATAACCTTCTACCTTGAGCTTGCTTCCTTTACTTCCAACTTTTGGTAAATGGTCCTCCCTGACACGGTGACTCAAAGTTCCTACGTGTTCTTTAACTCATTTCTTTAGCACCCTACTCTCTCACACCTACCCACATAGACAAACTTAAATAGGTGACAGATCCTACTACAACTGCACAATCTTAGTCCTTCATCATCTCCCTTCTCGTCTCTCCCTTGGTTCGGGTCTCTTTATGCTTCAGACTCTGGGAACAGCCTCAGCCTCTTCCCCCTTTTTTGCAAGTTCAGCCTCCAGCGTTCTCTTGTTCCTTGTGAAGTCAAATCCAAACTCAACCTGCTCTAAGTTCTTTTCTGACTTCAGTTCTTGTCATTTCCCTTCACACCCTCAACTTTTCGCCAAACATATGGTTACATAGTCCTTTTTTTGCCTTCTGCCTAATTATAGATTTCCCTCCCCCTCCCTGTCACTCTTCCCGTGGCCAAAAATTATCTGCCTGCCTTTCAAGGACCAACTCCAATATCTCCTCCAGCTAGAGTTTCTCTCAGTGTCCTATAATTAAAATGTACTCTCTTGTGGTAACTTAATTATAGCCCAATTATAACTCCCTTCAGGAAAGAATCACTGTCTTGTTCCTCTATTCTGCATCTAGAAACTATTTTATGCATGGCATTAAAGAAAAGAATGAATGGACTTTATTAGCTATTCTAGTGACTGGCTTATTGTCATTTTTCAGAATCAGCCCAGCCACCTCTTCAGAGAGGTTTTCCCTGGCCAACCACTCTAGCCACTCACTCTTCTGTAGCTACTTTCTCTCCTTTTATCATACTATTTTGCTATCTTACTTATTATTACATTGTACTAATCACAGTAGATTGATTTGTTTGCCTTCTTCCACCAGGAATATAAATTCATAAGGTTGTTGATTTTCTGAGTCTTATTCTGTACTGTATATGTAGGCCCCAGAGTAGCACATAGTTCTCAATAAATACTGAATTTTTGTCCTAGCTTATTACCAGCATCTCCCTTTTACATGTCTGGGGCATTGTTTTTATTTAAAACCTTCCCTGATTCCAAAGTGTGAAATAGAAGCTCTTCTTCTAAGATCGGGAGGAAGGAATCCTAGAATTAAGATTGTAACGATCATCTAGACTAAATTTCTCAATCTGCAGATAGAAACTAACATGACCCTGGCGGGGGTAGGGCACTTTAACTGTCAAACATTAGGGTCTAAAGCCGGTCCGGCTTCCCGGTTACTCATCAGTCCTTTAGCCAGTCCACAACACTACTCAGACTCTTTTCACCACTAACCTTGTAATCCAGTGATTTTCAACCTTTTTCATCTCATGGCGAACATAAACTAATTATGAAAATTCTGCTACACACCAAAAAAATACATTTTTTGCTGATCTGACAAAAAGATTATAATTTTGATTCATTTACACCATACAGCTCTTGTTGTGTTGGCTGTTATCGTTTTGTTTTTTGTTTTGTTTTGGTTTTATTGACAATCTAAGGGAAAAGAGGTCAGTGCCCTTGACTACATAGTCAGGGATTGCATCTTTTGAAGATTCTTGCAGCACACCGGTTGAAAATTTGCTGCTCTAATCTAAACTCCAGACTACCTTAGTCCTCCCGCTAATTTCCCAATGTACTCCGCCTTAAATACCTTGGAACAGTAAGTGGTAGAGCTTAAACTGTCAACTTTATTTTTGTTACCACATAAACTCACTGAAGCTAATAGCTTTCATTTTTTAAAGATCTTTTTTTTCTGTCTCCAGAAAAGCACTTGGTTCTGCTTCGAGATGGAAGGACACTTATAGGCTTTTTGAGAAGCATTGATCAATTTGGTATGTATTAGTTACAGACTTCTATTGTACTCTGGATAATAAGAGCTGCCCATTGTATTTTTTGTTATTTTATATTGTAATATATGTATCTGCAACTTTTTCATGTGTCCGGCATAATAGAATACAGTTTTGAGTCATTACATCATTGTGTCCTAAATTATGATTAGATGGGTCAAAGACTTGTATTTTCAAACTTGTATTTCTAAAATGGGTTTTCACTAGAACATATGATTAGTGTTTTGGCCTTTTTTTTTTTTTTTTTTTTTTTTTTAGTTTTCCCCATTAGAGGGAGCCAAAAGATACAAATAAACTCAGTCCACTGAAAAAGTTGCTCATTTGTACATTGGCATTGGCTTGGGAGAGACTACTTTTCAAAGCAGTTCATGCACTGAAGGTAGTGCCTCCCTATCCAATGAAAATTGGGTAGAAGGCATTTTCTGAAGCTTGTGAGGGACCCCAACATTAAGGTCAAGATTTTACACTTAGGGATGCATCAGACTCAACAGTCTCAGTCTTTGTTTTGCATCCTGCATTTTTCTAAAGAGATCTATATTTGCTGCTGTTTTAAGAAATTTCTTAGTTCATATCAACATTTGTTTGACATCTGCTAGGTCAGTGGATTTGGGCATGAGGAAAAAAAAATAAGACAAATGGTACCAATTGAAAGAAGAAAATTATTCTTAACAAAGCAGGATTCTGAATCGTAAGTGAAATTTATCAAACTACTTTGAGGGACAAGTAATATTGACTCTACTCTCAGATTACCAGGAATGGTTATCTGACAAAGTAAAAAAAAATAAGTTTTTGCTGTATCATAATTCATGACCACTTGTATTGGGTTAAATGAATCCTAAACTCTGAAACAAAGTTAAATCTTTGGTAAATCATCACATACATATAACCTACACAACACAGAAAACCTGTTTCCTTCTTTAAAAAAAAAGATTTTTAATCTCTGCAGTTTAAAGTCTTTCAAATGCCCCACTCACTCACATTTTCTTACAGTCATATTGATATTAGCAATTAAGTGATTAATTTTCTTTTTTTTTCCCCACCATCACTCGTGTATTAGTGCAACATAATCCCAAATACTCTGTTTGCAATTGATTAAAAGTCTCAAGTAGTGTGTCATAATGAAATAGATTGTTTGAAATTTTAGTCTTTCCCTGAATTAGAAATCGTTGAACTCATGTTTAGCTAAATCTTTTCTACTCAAAATAAGTGAGTTGTGGACCTTTACCCAAAATTTGAACTAAATATCTTTGTTTCTTCCCTATACACTTATAGCTAATTTAGTGCTACATCAGACTGTGGAGCGTATTCATGTGGGCAAAAAATACGGTGATATTCCTCGAGGGATTTTTGTGGTCAGAGGAGAAAATGTGGTCCTCCTAGGAGAAATAGTAAGTGAAAACTGTTAAGCTGCTATGGGTCTTGATAATCATGCTAGTTAGGGTTTCTTTCTGTCTTTTCAAGAGGGAAAAAATATATTTTCCACATTTCTGCCAGCTTCTCACAAGAAACCACCAAATTAGCTTAGGAAATCCACAATTGTAAAGTTACAGAGAATAAATAACTTTGTTTCAGTGCCTCTTGGCATTTTGAAGATTTGATCCAAAATCTTCATTAGAGCCAAATATCATTGATTTTACCTGATATCTTAAAAATATACCATCCTACCCTGGCAAGCATGGCTCAGTTGGTTCGGGAACATTGGCTCCGAAAGGTTGTGGGTTTGATTCCCAATCAGGGCACGTACCTAGGTTGCAGGCTCAGTCCTCAGTTTGAGCACATATGGGAGGCAACCAGTTGATGCTTCTCTCTCACATCAATGTTTCTCTCACTCCCTCTCTCTCTAAAAACAACAATGAAAAAATGTCCCTCAGGTGAGGATTTAAAAAAAAAAAAAAAAGAATACCATCCTATAAATATGTTCATTAACATATTATTTCTGTTATTTCTGATAGAAAATTGAAAAACTTGAATAATTCAATAAAGATTTATATACATTGTGTATTTTGCAGTCATTTAAACAATTGGTTCCAAGTAGTTTTTCATGAAATAAAGTTAATTAGCTGTGTTGGGAGGGAAAGATGCATGGCATGTACAGTGTGATATCCATGTTTTTTAAGGGGGGAAGGGAAAGGATGGATATAGGAGAAGTCTTTCTGTGAACCATCCTGATAAAGGAGCTCAGCTTCATTTGAATCCTTAGCTCACAACCAATGAAGAGGAAGACTAGTTGGCAGGTGAAAAGTTAAATCTTCTAAAGTGTTGTTACGGGCGGGTGGGGCGGGGAGTGTGTGTGTATGTGTGTATACACACATGTGTGCATATATACATATAAAACTATTAGAATATTTTATATTCAGGGTGGGGCAAAAGTAGGTTTACAGTTTATATGGAAAATAGTACTTTAATTAATAAATAATAATACAATAAACTGTTTTGCCTACTCACAACTGTAAACCTACTTTTGTCTAACCCTGTACATAAAACTACTACAAGTACTCAACATTTTATTTATTTTTTAAATTTTTATTGATCGATTTTAGAGGGAGAGGAATGGAGAGAGAGAAACATCAATTTGTTGTTCCACTTATCCATGCATTCATTGGTTGATTCCTTTATGTGTCCTGATTGTGGATTGAACCGGCAACCCTGACGTATTGGGACAACACTCTAACCAGCTGAGCTACCTGGCCAGGGCTAAAAGTGTTCAACATTTTAAAAAGAGAAACCTCATTGCCCTGGCTGGATGTCTTAGTTGGTTGGAACATCATCCCAAATGCTGTGGGTTCGATCCCCGGTCAGGGTGCATACAGAAGGCAACTGATATGTGTTTCTTTCTTTCTCTCTCTCTCTCTCTCACTCACTCACAAAATCAATAAACATATCCTCAGGGTGCAGATTTAAAAAAAAACTTTTTTAAGATAAACCTCATTTCATGTTTTACATGAAACATTACTTAAAAAGTAACTTATTAATACCTTTGATTTGATCTTGCTGCTTCTGATTATTGGGTTTGCCAGAAAAATCAAAATAAAACCTTTGGCGTTTCCTTGATTCTATCTTTTCCTGTTGTTTTTAAAGTTTTCAGTAAAGTTTCCCAGTACCTAGCCAGATCTTAAATCAGGTTTACAGAAGTCTTTTGAGTTGAGTGATTTGGTCCACAGCTATTTTTAAAAACAAGCCATTTGAGAAAATGAGATAATTCTAACAGGTTCAGGTTGGTTCAGAGGCCTTGGTTTGAAATAGTTAGCTAGAAATGACTAATCAGTACTGCTCAAATGCAGTTATAAAATATATGGAATACCTTTTTTTCAGTATTTTTTGTGGTTGATAATTTTTGTTCTGTGTATCATTTCTTGTATGTTTATGCAGCAGGTATTGTCACCTCCTTGTACTGTGTAAAGTTGAAATAAAGCGCTATACCACCCAGAGCTGTGAGGGAGACGTAGTAAATGACTGAAGTGGTCTGCCAGTGTATTAAGAGGGGCCCTCTCTGGACAGTAGGATTAGGGGTGATTTTTTCCTTTCTTATACTTTCCTGAGTTTAATTTTTAAAGAGGAAACATATTACCTTGCTATCGAGAGTAACGATTTAAGTTAAAATATTTACACATACTCTGCTTCAGTAGTGAACTACTGAATACGTACTTATAGTGGTGAACGTCACAGAAATGCTTCCTCTGCCAGTTACATTGGCACAAATTACCCCTTTGTTAGGTGCATGTGTATGTGAGGACAAAAACAAACTTGTGTGTTTGTTCTTGGAGATTAATTGTTTCCTGGTAGCTCCTTTTATGGAGAAAAGTACTCTCTTTTTACATATTATGGTTTGGATGCTGCAGAATTTTTACAGTGGTACCATTAAAGAAATAACAGGGATGCTTACGTAGTTACAGGAATCAGTAGTTAGTTTGGAGAAATTAACTGCCAGCTGTAGGAAAACACATACCCAGAGACCACCTAGATTCGGTAAACATTTCATTGCTTAAGAAGTCCCTGGATTCTGCCTCAAGGATCCTGATGTACAAAGTCGTAAGTAACAAGACAGATTGCTGGGAAACGGTATCATCATAACCACCCAAATAGCTCAATGAGTAACATATTGAAAAGTCGAAGAGGCAATACACTAAGCTACTGAACATGATTTTCCCTTCAGCTTCTACTCACAGGTTGTGAGGGTAGATTACACTGGATAACATATATTTTCCTGGATGCAGTTAACATTTGACACAGCACAGGGTTTGGTTTTGTAATTTGTGTGGCTTTCATCTGACCTCTCTGGCGAGAATCCTCCATCTGCTATCTCATAGTCCATGGATTCAGAGGCCTTGGCAGCATCTGAAGATTAGTATCCAGTGATAGGCCAGAACACCTGGAGAGTTTGTATATGGCTAATGCCTTCCCAGAATTTATTGCTGAAAGTCAGAAAAGAGGATAAGAACTAAGAATGCCCTGACTGGTGTGGCTCAGTTGATAGGGCGTTGTTCCGGAAAGTGCAACGTTGCAGGTTTGATTCCTGCTCAGGGCACAGGCCTGGGTTGCAGGTTTGGTCCCTGGGCCAGGTATGTACAAGGGGTAGCCAATCAGTGTTTCTCTCTCACATTGATGTGGCTCTCCCTCTCCCTGCCTCTGAAAATAAATAAATAAAATCTTTACAAAAATTAAAAAAGAAGACCTTGTCTGTATAGACTTTCCAGTTACAAGAACAGAATATCCCTTGTTCGTGTGGCTCAGTGGACTGAGTGCTGACTGGCGAACCAAAAGGTCACCAGTTCAGTTCCCTGTCAGGACATATGCCTGGGCTCCGGACCCCGTCCCCAGTTGAGGGCATGCGAGAGGCAATGGATTGATGTTTCTTTTGCACATTGATGTTTCTCTCTCTTTCTCCCTCCTTTCCCCTCGCTGTAAAAATGGAGTTAAATTTAAAAAACAGAAAAAATACCTGTATGGTCATTTTAAAGATAATGAACTTAATCTGTGGATAATAATAAGATGCTTTTATAGCAAGATTGTGCATTTCAAGATTGGTTGGCAAATGTTTACAAGGCGTTTACCCCAGGTGGTGTGGTTTAGTTGGTTTAGCATCGTCCTGCAAAGCAGAAGGTCACAGACTCCATTCTGAGTCAGGACACGTGCCCAGGTTGCAGGTTTGGTCCCCTGAGGCGCATACAGAAGGCAACCAATTGATGTTTCTCACCCCCTCTTTCTCCCTCCTATTCCCTCTCCTTAAAATCAAAAGTAAAATACTTTTTAAATGTTGATAAGCTCTTCAAAAATAAAACTATTCAGCATATTTTGCCATATTAAATGAAAAAAACTAGTATTTGCATTGTGGGGGTTTTTTAAACTCAGTATATACATGGAAAAATTGGAAAAGATATTCAGCAAAATGTTATCCCTCTGTACTGGAATTAAGGATTTTTTTAAATGTATACATTTTACTGATTATGCTATTACAGTTGTCCCATTTTTTCCCCCCTTTATTCCCCTCCACCCTGCACTGCCCCATCCCACCCCCACCCCGTTCATGTCCGTGGGTTGTACATAGAAGCTCTTTGGCTTCTCAACTTCCTATGCTGTTCTTAACCTCCCCTTGCCTATTTTGTACCTACTATTTATGCTGCTTTTCCCTGTAGCTTTTCCCCCATTCTTCCCTCTTCCCCTCCCCTCTGTTTTACTGTTCACAGTTTTTGATCTTCTTTTTCTTAGATAAGTCCCTTTAACATTTCATATAATAAGGTCTTAGTGATGATAAACTCCTTTAACTTTACCTTGTCTGGGAAGCACTTTATCTGCCCTTCAATTCTAAATGATAGTTTTGCTGGATGGAGTAATCTTGGTTGTAGGTCCTTGCTTTTTCATGACTTTGAAAACTTCTTGCGAGCCCCTTCTTGCCTGGAAGGTTTCTTTTGAGAAATCAGCTAATGGCCCTATGGGAACTCCTTTGTAGGTAATTGTCTCCTTTTCCCTTGCTGCTTTTAAGATACTCTCATTATCTTTAATCTTGGGTAACTTAATTATGATGTGCCTTGGTGTGTGCCTCCTTGGGTCCAACTTCTTTGGGACTCTCTGAGCTTCCTGGATCTCCTGGAAGTCTTATTTCTTTCGCCAGAGTGGGGACAGTCTCCATTTTTTTTCAAATAAGTTTTCAATTTCTTGTTCTTCCTCTTCTAGCATCCCCATGATTTGGATGTTGGAACATTTAAAGTTGTCCCGGAGGTTCCTAAGCCTCTCCTCCTTTTTTTGAATTCTTTTCTCTTCATTCTGTTCTGGTTGAATGTTTATCCCTTCCTTCTGCTCCCAATTGTTGATTTGAGTCCCGGTTGCCTTCCCTTTACCATTGGTTCCCTGTATATTTTTCTTTATTTCACTTTGCTTAGCCTTCGCTTTTTCCTCCATTTTGCGACCATACTCAACCAATTCAGTGAGCATCCAGATTTCCAGTGTTTTGAACTGTGCATCTAATAGGTTGGCTTCCTGTTCTTTGCTTAGTTCTGTTTTTGGAGCTTTGATCTGTTCTTTCATTTGGGCCATATTTCTGTCTCGGTGCACCTTGGAAATCATTTGAAGAGACAGAGCCTTAGGTATTCACCAGGGCGGGACAACCCAGGTCGCTGTGTTGTGATGCTGTATGTGGGGAAGGCGTCCGAGAGTGAACAATGCCACCAGCTCAGCTCTTCAGTCACTTCCCCCTCCCCAACTACCCACAAGCAAATTGGGCCCTTCTGGTGCTGATTCCCAGGGGGGTGGGCTCGAGCGCCTTCTAGGACCTTGTGGGTCTCTCCAGTGGACTCTCCTGTCCACTGTGAAGCTGGGAGTTTCCCCTGCCGCCACAACCCCCACAGCTTTTTACCTCCAGAGGTTTTGAGGCTTCCTTTCCCTACACTGGAACGCTGGGTTGTGTGGTCTGTCTCACTCCCCGGCTTGTCACCCCCTGCTTGGTTTATCCACATGCAAACATGGGACCACCCAGTCTGCCAGCCGCCACCTCACCCGCCTGGTCTGCCAGCAGCCGCCCTACCCAGCGTCCCCTCTGCCCCAGCTGCCCATCTCTGCCCCTCCTACTGCTCTGAAAGAATGTTTCTTCTTTTATTCCCTGGTTGTTGGACTTCTATACAGTTTGATTCTCCGGCAGTTCTGGTTATTTTTTGGTTTCAAATGTGGTGGGGTTCTTCTTTCGGTTGTGCGAGGAGGCAAAGTGTATCCAGCTACAGCCTCCATCCTGGCCTGGATTTTTTTTTTTTTTAATAATGGAAAAATAATTTTTTTAGTAAGCAAAACAGTTTTTTAGTTAAAATCAGAGAACTGTATTGGGGTCAAACTGGCTTAGTAATCTAACTGATCTAACTGAAGTTTTCTCTAGAAGACTTGATTGTCATAAAGGACAAAAGAGTGTTACAATTTAAAGACTCCTGATTAATGCAACAGAGGAGCAGTTTATTGCCTTGCGGGGAGAGGGTGCTTCTTTGAATCAGTATTCTCTACCTTCTTGCTGAACAACAACCCCCAGAAATTAGGCTGACTTTGATAATGTGAAACTACAAAACTTACCTAAAGCCATCTTGGCCTTGGTAACTTCTCTTTTGGACTCTCTGGGGTTGGAGAAATAGCCCAATTTTTATTTTTTAAAGGAAATTACTTCTTCACTAATGTAGGATTTCAAACAACCTAAGGCTTTGTTAAATGCACTATTACTGACCCCGATTACCACAGTCATACGAGTGTTTATCCTGTCGTAGTGTGGCCAGCCATAGCCCTATAAAACTTACCCATTCCTAGGAGAAGGGTATTTCAGCTGCAAAACAATCATGAAAAATAACCCAAACCTGACATAGGAGTCCATTTGCCTTGAGATCTGTAGTATTTTCTCTTCTTGGTCATCAGTTGAAGTTTTTTAAACCTGCTTGTTTTGTAGGACTTAGAAAAGGAGAGTGACACACCCCTTCAGCAAGTGTCTATTGAAGAAATCCTGGAAGAGCAGAGGGTGGAACAGCAGACCAAGCTGGAAGCCGAGAAGCTGAAAGTTCAGGCTCTTAAAGATCGAGGTCTCTCCATTCCTCGAGCAGATACTCTTGATGAGTATTAACTCTTTTGCTCAGAGGCTATTGCTCTTAGGGAGCAGGGGCTGTCCTTGAATGATAGTGACATTCTGGTCACCTCACACATTTGACTAGAGACTAGAATCTTGAAAAGTCATTTTTCTTTTGAATCTTTCACATATGCAACATGAAAAAAAATCATGTGGCTTTTTTTTCCCTTTTTAATAACAAAATTATTGTTTAAAAAAACAGCTGGATGGACTCCCTTCATGCATCACTATGGAGCCAGCAATTACCCCATATTGCTCTTCTCATTCCAAGTTAGAGTTTACAGGGGACTTTCTTCATTTGCTTGTAAATAAAGTATGAATCTCAAAATGGTCATGTTATTTCCCAAGTTTGGGTTGCCTCCAGTGAAAGACAATTAATTTTCTGGTCTCGAAGGTATAAACCATTCTGTCACTTCCAAGCTGCTAGTTACGAAGGAATGTTTTCATACTAAATATCTTGTGGGTCCTCCTGTCTCCCTACTGATAAGAAAAACACACTTTCAGCCTTCAGGAAGGGCTCTCAGTGAAGTTTCATGGTTACTGGTTATAACAAAAGCCGCAAGTTTGAGACACATTACTTACTAAACTTGCTATTCTGGCTTCACCGGCAGCTATTCAAAACTAGGTCCCCATGAGGTCCAGCATTTTAGTAAGGTGACTTTTTCTCTAAATCTGTTCATTGAGTTCGCTTTTCTAGTTCTTTAGATTGAGTTGAGCCTCCTATGCTACTGTCAAGAAGGAACGCAAATAAAATGGTGTTTCAGTAGCTGATACATTTAGGTTCCTCCTGGTTGACACCCACGGTGATGCCACATTTCTGGTGTGATGCTGATTGAATGGTGAGTGTAACAGGCTATTGAAGAGAGTGCAGTATAGTTTGATGGACAATGTACTGAACTAAGAATTCAGGAAACCGGTTAAAGTTTTGACTTTGTTCTTCCCGTGGCACCTTGGGTTTGAGCAAGATGGTTCTCTTCTCAGATCGGTTGGTTTTGTTTTTTTTTAACTGTACGATTTCAGGTGTTTTTCCTTTTCATAATCGGTTGAGCAGAGACTTCCTTTTTGTAAGATTTATATGCAATTCCTATGTCTGAATTATTTTACAGCATCACATATACTTAACATTTTATGACCTCAGATGTTAGCTCTAAATGCCTATAAACCATTTGACTGCCAAGCTAGTCATTGAGTTGGTTTTAAAATAGATAATTTATGAAGAAACAGTTGTACCTAATGATTTTTCAAATATGTCTTGTCTTTAATCTTACTATATAATAACCAGAATTTGTTTTTAACTACTCACAGGGGGTGGAAGGGTACATGACCGACTTCTGAAAAACATGTGAAACTACATGACATTCTTAGGGAGTCAGCAGGATTACAGTACTCGTTTTTCTGAACACCAGTTTCAGAACATCTGACCCCTTGAAGGAATTTGGACTCACTCTAGTTACCTTGTTTTTTCAGTCTCTAAAAACTCTAAACACAATAACAAGTTATAGTTTATTCTTATGTTAAAGGAGGGGAGGGGACTGAATTTCAACAAGTCAAGAATTTCCCAACCATAGCAAGGTTTTGATCTTTTAGACCTTTGTTACACAGGAAGCAGCTGAGAATTATACCCAACAAATGAAACGACTATTCTGCCAGTCTCCAGGATGCTCAGCAAAAGCCTTGGCCTTAGCTGTGCCCAGCCCCCAGGGATTTTTGCAGATACTAAAAATCATACACTTACACTGTCCATACCTTTGTTTTATCTTTAATACTTTTTTCCAATAGGGGTTCCCACGAGACTACTTTCAAAGAAGACAAATAAGATCTACCAAGGCCATCTTTATTCCAAAATAGCTGAGTACAGCAGCATATCTCTTACTCTTCCAGCTGGTCCATTTCCCTTCCCTTGGCCCTTGATCTTACATTGCATGCTCCTAGCTAAGTTTAAACCATGGTATCTGCTCCACTCCCTGACTCTGATACAGCTAACTCCCAACTATCCCTGGATACTCAGTGATAGCCAGGTGCCCTTATACTGTCTGCTGTGGGAGGTTTCTCAGGAAAGCGATGTCAACATGAACCCAAAAGGTATTACAAAGGTAAAGAAGGCTGGAAAATGGCCTTTGTTTTTCTCACAAAAGCGCTGGCTAGCAGCCTCGGGCAGAGGGCAGCGCAGAAAGCAGCAGAGGCCAGCAGGCAGAGCAGGTGCTCCAGTCAACGACTGTGGGCAGTTCCCAACCTCTAGGCTTTCGCAGCAGTGCTCCACGGCTCAGGAAGTGGGTTCCAGAAATTGGACCTGGCTAGGAGATATTAGCGGAGAGGCAGTTAATGAGCAGTTCCCCACCCTTCGGTTCCCCCACCCCCAAGTTACACATATGAGGGAGGACCCAAAAATGAATTTATTTATAAAAAATAGTGTATTGCTACATGTTTAAACTTCAGTCTCCTTCAAAGTACTCTCCATTGGATGGCACTACGTCTATCGAGACTTTTTCCCACTGCTCAGAGTATTTTTTGTACTCATCGATTTTGATGCCTTTTAGAGCTTCTGCCTTTCTATGTTTCACCTCCTCCACATCAGCAAAATATTTCCCTTTGAGGAATTTTTTCATCTGGGGAAGCAAAAACTTCACTCAGGGTAAATAGGGAGGGTGGGGCATGAGAGGCCATTTTTGGTGAGAAAATGCTGAACACTCAGTGCAATGTGGGCAGGTGTCCTTTAAATAACACACCATGAAGTGGGCAAACACATTTAGTATTAAAAAAAATCCCCTGAAGCCAAAGGCAGCCTCTCACAACAATGCCAGCCTGGTGCAGTTACAGATGGGTTCCTAGAACACTCACCTAGTGGGGAGCCTGTACTACAAGAGACATGCCCTCCGGGAGATAATTACAGAGTTATTTTTATGTCCTCCCTTGTATGTACTTAGGTGCGTGTGTGCCTATACACACATATATGTACTTACGTGTATATGTATATACGCATATATATACATACACACCATACATATTTTATTTATATCTCTCTATCTATGGAGCTTTCTCTCACCTTTCAAAAGTCACACTATAAGATGAGCTCCATTCAACTTCCTTTCCCATTAGGAGACATCATTCCCAGGGAGGTACAAAGAAAGCATTTCAGCTGTAGATGTCACAGGCCGATTTCTAATGCTGAACCAACCTTCCTGCTGCAAGCTAACCAACCCTGCACATAATCAAGGAAAGAATAGCAGGAGAGACTCTAGTCTGAACCGTCACCTTGGAGTTAATGTGAGCTGAGCAGGAATGTAAAGAGTGATACTGCTCATATGCACATGTGCTGTACCGATTCAGGGACCCCTGACAATGGCATTTGGCCTGTTAGGACTACATTAAATCCGGGAGAGGCGAAGTCTGCAAATGAGACTGAACATAATCCACTTAGTTTAAACCTCGTTGCAACCTACTAAGTCCCGGTATGAATTTAGTGGATTATAACCAGCATTTTTTTTAATATTGGCTCTTTGTTGTTTGTGCTCTTTATTTATTTATTGTTATTCTATTACACTTGTCCCAATTTTGCCCCCTCCATCTAACCTCCCCACCCAGTCAATCCCCACACTGTTGTCCATGTCCATGGGCCATTCATACATGCTCTTTAGTCCCCCTTCTTTCCACCATTGTCCCCCTTCCCCCTGCTCTGGCTTCTGTCTTCTGTTCCATGTTTCCATGTCTCTGGTTCTGTTTTGCTCATTAGTTTATTTTGTTCATTAGATCCCTCTTAGAAGTGAGATCATATGGTATTTGTCTTTCACTGCCTGGCTTATTTCACTTAGCATAATATTCTTCAGCTCCATCCATGCTATTGCAAAAGGTAGGAGCTCCTTCTTTCTGCTGTGTAGTATTCCATTGTGTAAATGTACGACAATTTTTTGATCCAATCATCTACTGATGGGCACTTAGGCTGTTTCCAGCACTTGGCTATTGTAAATAGTACTGCTATGTACATAGGGGTGCATAAGTTCTTTTGAATTGGTGTTTTAGGATTCTTAGGGTATATTCCCAGCAATGGAATCCCTGGGTCAAAAGGCAGTTCCATTTATATTCTTTGAGGAAATTCCATACTGTTTTCCACAGTGGTTGCACCAGTCTGCATTCTCAACAGTGTGCACTAGGGTTCCCTTCTCTCCACATCCTCGCCAGCACTTGGTGTTTGTTGATCTGTCCATGATGGCCAGTCTCACAGGAGTGAGGTGATATCTCATAGTGGTTTTAATTTGCATAGTTCTGACGGCTAGTGATGTTGAGCATCTTTTCATATGTCTATGGGCCATATGTATGCCCTCCATGGAGAAGTGTCTATTTAGGTCCTTTGCCTATTTTTCAGTTGGATCGTTTGTCTTCCTGGTGTTGAGTCATATGTGTTCTTTATATATTTTGAAGATTAAACCCTCGTCCAGGGTATCTTTGATAAATATGTTCTGCCACATGATCAGTTCCCTTTTCACTTTGATGATGGTTTCTTTGGTTGTGCAGAAGCTTTTTAAATTGACATAGTCCCAATTGTTTATTTTGTTCTTTATTTCCCTTGCCCTAGGAGATATATTGGCAAAAATGTTGCTACATGGGGTATCTGAAATTTTACTGCCTATATTTTCCGCTAGGACTTTTATGATATTATAACCAGCATTTTTTAAAATAGATTTTATTTATTTTTAAAATGAGGGGAAAAGAGGGAGAAAGAGAGGGATAGAAGCATGATTGTGTGAGAGAAACATCAATCGGTTGCCTCTCTCACACACCCAGCTGAGGACCTGGTGTGCAACCCAGGCACACACCCTGACTGAACAGGAATCAAACTGGCAACCTTTCGGTCCACAGGCCAGTGCTCAGTCCACTAAGTCACGCCAGCCAGGGCTATAACCAGCATTTTTAAAAATTGGAATAAATAAAAAAGTATATTACATAATAAAATTAGGTTGTGTGTGAAACTTGTTATATGAATGTGTATGAATATTGTACACATGTATGAAATATATTTGTTACTGTGGATAGCTGTTAGACACACTTGAAAAACTGCCTTAGTTTGTAATAAATTGTTATGTGCTATTGCAATCAGGAAATAAAGGTCTATGTCCCTTCCCCATCTTTCACCTCATGCCTGAAAATCACCTATGCCCTGGATGGGGCTAGAATTTGCCCCAGAAAGCTGCAGGGTCCTTCTTTCACAATCGTAGGATCTCTGCTCAATTTTCACCTTCCCTGACTACCTCTTTTAAGTAGCACCCCACTCCCTCCCCCTACCTAATTCCTTTCCAGCTTTATTTTTCACCATAGCAGGCATCATAG